TACAGACTCTGTGCTTAGGACTGTTTTAAGTTTACTCCTTTAAAGAGTTAAAGCCTTGCTTAGTTTCTCAACCACAACCAACCCTGGTAATTCTTCAGAACAGTTGTTACAAGCCCTCCACCCAGTCCCTATCTGTCTGTGTGCGGGTGCTGAACAGTATAGTTGACCCGGTCCTCTGACCTCCCATTGGAGGAAGCATACAATTTCTCTACCAAAAGAAAAAGAGGAGAGTTATCATACTATTTCAAATTTCACAATCAAAATCCAGCCAACTAAATTAGAGTGAAACTGGTGGTGTAGACAGACTGTGTGTGAGCGCTTGTGTGTGTGAGCGCTTGTGTGTGTGTGTGTTGACAGGGTTAAAACTTGAAGGACATTTAGTCAGGTGTGATGAAGCTGTGAAGACGCAAGAAGATCTCTTAGGGAAATGTTTAACACCTGTCTAAAGACAGGCTGCTGCCAGGTGTCAGTATGTGTGTGTGTGTGTGTGTGTGTGTGTGTGTGTGTGTGTGTGTGTGTGTGTGTGTGTGTGTGTGTGTGTGTGTGTGTGTGTGGACACTTTGCCACTCACTTACGATCTCACAGTCTGTTCTTACGATGTCTCCCCCATACTGAGGGGTGTCTTCAGTGTGACGGCCATCAAACTAAAGATAGCAGCAATTTGAGTTGTTTAACTTTTCACCTCACTACAATGACGGACAAGTGTGTTGATCATTGTATGAATTTCTTTGTGGGAATAGGTTAACGTGACATTTATGAAGCTCTGGTCTGTCAGAGGACTAGATAAGTGCTATAAGTCATTCCATTTACCATTTACAAAGGGACCAATAAGTTAAGGTGACCAGTTTTATTTTTACCCTGAACTGTTGAAAAGCTGAAATCCTACAAAATAACAGAAACTTGTCTCATCAGTTCCCAAATGTTGTTAAATGAGTTGTTAAACAAACGACATAAAGAGTCCCCCGATGTAAAGTGAACCGTTATTAAAACTCTTTTGTTCCCATGTCGTTCAGAATTCTGAACAATGTTTCGTAAAGATGTGTGGGTTGTGCAACAGCGTCATTGTGTTCCTCTATGTTTTTATATTCTCTTACCTTTGTTCTCTTATCTCTCACGCTGTGTTTTTGCAGATCTGTGCGATATGGGTAATGTGCAATATATGTTGTGCTGTCTTGCATTGGCCTTTCTCTTTACATGTGGATGTGTTTTTCTATTTTTCTTAATTTATTGATTGGAGTGGAGGCAGCTGAATATTTCGGAGCACTGTGAGTCCAAGACAAATTTCCCAAAGGGGACAATAAAGTGTATCGTAACTCAACGTAACAAAGTGATAAATATGATCCTGTCCCAACCTTTTTTGAAAGGTGTTGCCGGCTTCAATTTCAAAATTGGTTTAAATGTTTTTAAAAACACCATATTCTGTTTTCAGTTACATTTTACACAGCATCTGAACTTTTTTAAAATGGGGTTACATTTATATCCTTGTCATTTATTGGACTCCATTCACTATCACTTCCTATACTGAGACTGAAACGTTTAGAACTTAAGATAGTGATAGAAAGAAAGTGAAGAGGTTCCACAAGGTACTGTAGATGAAACACTTCTAATCACCGTATGCATGTACCCTTTAGACAATATAATTAGTAAAGACTCATCAAACTTCTATTGTTAAACAGATTAAACTCAATTATATCTATCATTCGGGTCAGCTGGTTGGTAGACACACTATGAACATTTCATAGTAGGTTGAAAATGCTCTACTTCGTAATGTTAACTGTGAGTATTGGCCAAGGTTTGCCTTGCAGTTATTCTGCTAAAGGCTTAGACTGATGAGAGATTTCACATAGAGCTCTCTTCCTCTTTTACTATTATCATTACCAGCTCTATCAGGAAACGGAAATGTGCCTCTGCATGGTATCTCATCCTCTCCATTTCTCTCTTACCATTTCCCTCTTACCATTTCCCTTTTCTACCCGATCAGTCAAGGCAAATAGCAGTCCATCCAGAGTATGGTCCTGCTCGGGGTTTGAGTTAGGTTATCCTTCCTAATAAGGTAAATAACACTTGACTGGAATTGATAGCTCTCTATAAAAAAATGTTAGAATGAGTATCATATGCTTTGCCATAAATGAAAAGTTCCCTTGATTTGACTGCATTTGGCTGTTTGTGTTAGTGTTTGTGTCTGCCCTTTTGCTATTTTCAAAAGGTGATTTTACATGATGGAGGCAGATGACTGGCGTTGTGTGTGCGCAATGTGTAGGACTGTGTGTGGCTAAGAATTAAGTGTTTTTTATTGGGAAAGACCAGACTTGCAATGGGGCTAGAAGTCGCTTGTGGTGTTTGTCTGCAGGTGTATTGATGAAAGTGATGGATTAATTATGCATGTGTTGCTTTTATGAATGCTGGCTAATCTTGACAGTGACTGATCACTAAGCTAAAGTTGATGTCCATGAGACAGAATCGCTACACTCTCCATCATCTAGACTGACAGACACAGGTGACTGGTCAATTTGATCTTCTTGTCATTAAATATAATGTATAGCTTTTCATCCCAAAATGAAAGCTGGATGTTAATGCTGGCAGGACAGATTCCTATCTTCCAGTGGGTCTAGTGGGACGATTCCAGGGGTCCAGTGGGAAACACATATGAATTAAAAAAATGCCATGCCTGATGACTGATGTGCTACGTCTGTTTAAACTAATGAGATGCAACTGTGCTGCAATGAGCATGTCTTTACATATTCCTTTTTAGTTTGATACCAAATATGTGGAGTGTTTTTTTAAGTAAAGATACCAAAGGCCGCTGCCTGGCTGCAAACAATCTTTCTGAAAAGTTGAAAGATTTTCCACTTGAGCGCTCAGAGCTCTTTTTCTCCGTACGGCCCCCTGCTGCTCCGAACGCTCTCTACTCATGGAAAACAACTGAAAAAGATATGCTGGTGCTCAGAAAAAAAGGCGAGGTGCACACCGCATCTTGCTATTCCATCAAGTATCAAGTCGATGACAAATATTGACTGGTGCACCAACTGTTATTACAAGGAAAGTCCTGGATTACTCCATAAATGATTAACTGTAACAAAAGGTAGTTGCCAAGATACTGTGGTCATAGAAAAAAAAAACCCTCCCAAGAATGACCCTCAAACATGCCTACAAAAACAAAACATTCATTTTAGGCATTCTAAGCACCTTCCATTCAATGTGATGAGTATTTGCAGGTAGTGTCAATGATACTTTTGAAGATTATCTGCATCTCTAAAAGACATGTTTACAGTCTTGTAAGTCATTGGTAACAACATGGATTTACAGAGTTTGGATGAATTCAAAAACAGGCCTAGTACTACTAGTACAGCTCTTTAATAACACCTGTTTAACAATGGTGATTTGAAATATATGCATCCCGATAAAAGACTAACTTGCAAACGAATGCTCATACAAGTAAGAAAACATGATTGGAATGGAATAAGGCTGAGAACTGGTCTTTTTTCGTTTCGCTCATACACAGTCTAACAGTGCAAGGATCAGTTCCAGAGCATGCCTCAGAGCAGCAGTCTGAAGCATCCACACAGAGGATTTGCAGCATCTCCTTCTAACTGAAACAAAGAATTCGTCGCAGCTCTCCGCTACATAGAAGTGCAATCTGTGACGCTTAGCTCCCAACAAGACCAACCATTTCTAGACTCTTGTACACATAAAGTAACATTTGATTAGAAATTGTACACCTCACAAACAAATCACAGTCGGCTGTTTGATAATCACAGGATGTAGATTAATGCTGAGTGTGTGATATTTTTCAGGGCTGAAAACTGCATCTGTTAAATCTGGAGACGTGGTGTTCCTTCTTTGGCTCTCCATATATCTACCAGTACCACTATTTAAACATTTCATAAAATGTAAAAATGCACTCAACACATCTTCAGAATGATCAGCAGGGTTGAAAAATGTTATTTAATGCAGCAGCATGAAGAGTTGGTTGTGAATCTCTCTCTCTCTGTCTCTTACTCTGATTCCTCCTGCTCTCTCTCTCTTTTCGTGTGTGAGGTATTTATCGAGTTATACCTGTGTGTTTTGGTGTTGATTGATGTTGTTGAATGTCAGTGTGATGGCATTCAGAAAAGTTTTCTTTAAATGTGTCTGATATTCTTATAAAGGGACAGGTCATTTGAGGCCAGACACAAAAATAAAAGATTCCTTCAGTCATTCATGCTTCAACTAACACTTCACTACAGATAGGGTATAAAGATAAATAAACAGCTGCGCTAAGACACCACCACAAACTCATTCTGCTTGAAACATGAGGCTAAACTAGCTCATTCAACAATGAATGATTCCATTAGCCAAAAGTGTCGACTTTAAGTTTTGATAACTTCCTGTTGGCCAACCCCTCCCTCTTCTCCAGGACCAACCTCTCCTCACAATATGGTCAATTCTGGCTCCAGAATTCAAACATAGCCACAGCCAAATGTTGAATGCTTCAAATACGCAGTCAAGAATCCACAGGGTAACGACTCACACTGGTTTATAGTCAATGATCATCACTGTTATATATATATATATATATATATGGGAATTCTATCCGACAATAACTTGTCTTTTAACTCCCTCATATATGGTTCAGAAATCTCTTTTGTCTTTTGTAGTTACTGCTCTATTTGTTTGTCTCTCTGTCTGCATCTTCTTCTATTCCTTAATCACGACACAGCCAGTTGCGTCAGAAGGCTTTTCAGCATGAGTATGTTTCTTTGGTACTCTTATCAAATGCATGCTCATTATGGATGCATATATGGTCTCTGTAAAAAAATATAGAAAAGATGATAGCCTAGACCTGGTCATTTTGTAACGTGTCCCGAGATAAAAAAAAACAAACTAGTTAGTCCATGCTTGATTGGTGTAGAATGCAGATTTACTGCTGGTGTAGGAAGGATGGTTGTGTGTGTGTGTGTGTGTGTGTGTGTGTGTGTGTGTGTGTGTGTGTGTGTTTGTGAGTGTGTGTCATTACTTACTACTTATAAGTCTCAGAGCGAACATACTCAAAAACGTGGGAGACACCCAACTGGAACTGGTCCGCTATGGGAGTGACCCAAGGATTATTCTCAGCTTTAAACACCTGTTTAGGACCAGTCAGATCCAAATTACCTGCAGACAAGACAGAGACCCAAGCACAGCATTGGAACCATATCACCTTTTGATGGGTGAAATACAAGAACATTAATTATCCAGGAGTTATAATGAGGGCCCAGGGAACAAGCAGGGTGTGAAACCTCTTAAAGTGGTAAAGCAGGTGAGGGAGGAGCTGGGATTGAATGTGTCTTTGTTTTCTGTCCATTGCATTAAGCTGTAGAATAATATCAGTAGATGAGCAAAGGGAGAGCCCTCTGTCATCCAGGCCCTGGCCCATCAACCACACCATCCAGCTACACAAAAGCATCAATATTTGACATACTGAGTGGTATGTTTTGAAGCTTTTTTTTCACCCCGTTTTTGTGTTAAAAGCAGAGATGTTGTTAACATCCCTAAAACACCAAATCTTTCTTTTTGAATGTGGACCAAAGGAAGAATATCTGAGCTCTCAGGTACAGCTAATGGGGATCCTAACAAATAACCAAATAGCATTGCCTTAGGCCACCATGTGTAAGAGTTTACATGTGTGTATGTGTGATGTAGCATATATATAATATGCCTCTGTATGTGTGCTCAGTACCAAGTTCAGGTGGCAGGACGGTCAGCCTGTTGCCCTGGATGTGAAGCTCCTTGAGTTGAGCCAAATCCCCTATCTCCTTGGGCAATGAGATCAGATCGTTATCCCTCAGACTCAGCTGGACGAGAGAAACAGAAGAACTTAGTCAAACTGAATATCTGACATATTAAACATTCAGAAAAATGTGATTCTCTAGGACTTGATAAACATCAGTCGGCTGTTTCCTCTGGTATCTTCTGCATTTGATAATCCACAATTACTTATTGAATAAAACTTCCTTTTGAAAATGGTTCTTTGGAGAAACAATGTTCTGTTTCTTAAATGTTTTTATGATTTGAGCATCAAAGGCCTTTGCACACCGAGTTCAGATGCGTTTTTTTAGATCTGCAATCGAATACAAAATGTTCCACACGGACACCTTGCACACCGAGTCTGCTGCGTTTATTTTTCAATTCATTGATAAAATGCATGCATCAATGCATTAAGAGACTGAACGCCTCGTACTCATCATGCGGTGAAGTTGATTTTGTGGTTCCTTCACTAAATGTAAAAATACGTTGTCAGTCTGCTCCTGAAAATAAGACAAGAGTGAGGAGAGTTTCACCTGTCGAGATGTTTCTGTTGATAAGGATAAGCAGAATTATCTCGATCGCTTCCTGGTGTATTTCAGGACGTCAGCGGTCCAGTTTGATACGCTGCGCTCTATACTGGAACCACACATTAAAAAGAAGACCACCAATTTCTGCAAAGTAATCGATCCTAAACAGCAGCTGGCAGTATAGTTTCAGAGTCTGTGCGCAGACATGATTTTTTAACGTCTCCATGTGCGATGGCCTTAAGGTTGAATTCCAATTCAATGCTGCTAAAGATTGTTTATAACATATATGTAGTGACTTGCATTTTTGTTTTGTTGTACCATCTCTTGTTCAATGTTTAGAATCACTATATATTTGATTTGTTTAAGTATGTTTCCCTTCATTGTTAATCTACTAACCCCACGACCTCTAGCCCTGTGACTCCATCATGGCGGGCTCATTGTGTCTGTTGTCTGACATTAACTTACTATTTGCAACTTTGTCAGCTTTGAGATGTCTGCAGGCAGGAGCTCGAAGTCGTTGTCACTCAGATAAAGAGCGCGAAGAGTGGCTGAAAAACAAACTCTGTTAGTCGAGTTGAGGTTGATAAATAATACTGATTCATCCTCGCACACACTGCTTGACGCAGAAAATGAAAAAAAGAGAGGCTAACAATGCTGTCTCGCCATTTTTACAACATTTAGAAAAAAATCAGCTTTTTCTATGAAGATAGAACAGAAGTTTGGAGCACACTTGTGATCAAGTCTTTGTTCAAGTTCATGTCTGTGAAGGTCACAAGAGTTTATTCCAGTGAAAATATGGATTAAAAACAGTTTTCATTTCTGTAGAATCAACAATATCTGTGGAAGTTCTTCCAGGTCAATCTTTGTTTTTAAAATCTTTATGGCATTAGCATGTTTATGATCCACAGAGGTTTACATTTCTAGCTCCGCCCACCAGTCAGTTAAGAACTGAAGAAGCCTTTTGGGGGAGGAGAGGGGAAACAGTCCAGTTGTCTTAGGATCAACCTTTGAATTTACAATGACCTGGAACACTGAGAACCTACACAGACCTGTTTGTCCTTTACCCTATGAGGAACAAACACATAGCACTGTGTATGTGTGTGTGTGTGTCTTACTCAGGTAGAAGAAATTTCCAGACAGAGAGTTGTGGTTCAGGTTGTTGTAGGTAAGGTCCAAAACTTCCAGAGCTGGCAATGAACCGAATCCTCTCGGAAGGCCGTTCAGACGATTCATTCTGTTCTCACAAAGACACAAATCCAAAAGACTAGTTTCAAACAAAAACCCATAATTATGAAAATAACATATTCTTATTCTACGTCATTATATAGTTTGACAAAATGTTCTTGATCAGAACACATACCTGGTTTAAGAGTTGCCTTCCAATTAAAGGAACAATCATTCATCCATTTAAGATTATTGGACAAGAGCCGATCATATCAGGTAGAGAGTCAGGGCTTTCAGCCGACTGCTCATCATTCATTACAGCCTATATTATATTATATTATAAGATATCCGTCTGTGTCAACCTGCTCAGCTGAGAGGAGATATCAGTGTCGATAAATATGAGCAAAATAAACGAGGAGAAGAATAATTACTTCTTTTTATTTTAAAGGTTTACTTTTTATGCCGCCATTTGGAGACAGGATCGGATAGAGTCAGAGATCAGAGAGAGAGAGAGAGAGAGAGAGAGAGAGAGAGAGAGAGAGAGAGAGAGAGAGAGAGAGAGAGAGAGAGAGAGAGAGAGGAATGAAATGCGGGAAAGCAGCCACACAGGTCGGATTTGAACCCAGGCCGACCGCCTGGAGGATTACAGCCTCCGTACATGGGGCGCATGCACCAAACACTAGGCTACTGGCGCCCCAAAAGAAACACATGAAAAAAAAAAAAAGGCGACAGAAGCCTGATCTGCATCTCCAAACTATCCCAAATTGAATAGGGACAACATTTTTGAATCCCATCAGGTGGTGTGCAGTAGGAGATGGTGGCGGTGGCACTTGTGGTCATTACGACGCATTTCTCAGTATTTTGTACTTGTATATTGTTTGCACCAGTACATAAGACCCTGCTCTATTTTCAGATGAGAATACAGATATTAAAAGTTCAGTTTATGCAACAAACATTACGGTTAACGTGTCAAACACAAGTGACTTTTTTTTTTTTTTTTTTTTGGGATAAATAAATTGTGTTCATGTTGATATCCCTATTGTTAAATGGTTATGCTGTTTGTTGACTACTTGTCCCTGTGGTCTTACTCTCACTGAAGTCAGCAACCAACCAGGAAGAAAGCAGCTTCGATCGCCCACACGGACAGATTAGCAGACAGGAAGGATGACATGCACATATATGCCTGTCTGTGTTTGTGCACGACTGACAGGTCATAGGGACAACTATTCTATTCAAATTCAATTAAGTGTGTTTGACAAATGAGATTAAATTATTACAAGGTTCGAACACAGATGCACGAACACTCACACATACACACACACACACACACACACACACACACACACACGCACATCTACACACAGCCAACACAAAAATAAACAGACAGTGAAAAGTGAATGCACAACCTGAATATCAGTCGGAGGCTTACACTATCCAGATGATGTTTGTTTGTGGATCAATACACAACAAAAGCTCCCTTCCTAATCCCTCTGTCACTGAGACCCTGCCAGTGTCAGCCTGCACCGGTATGAAAACACACACATGGGAACCAACGGGTGGGGAACTAAACCTTCCTAAACTTCCTCTGCATAGGTTACATACAGGCACAAACATACTTGGTTCATTACAGCGAAAAGATTTCAGTTTGAATTCTCAAACACACAAATATCCATGTTCCCTCTAAGGGTCAGTTTACATGCATGGATTTGTAATCAAGCATCATAAAGCACAAGGGGCGAACAAAATGTCCTTTATCCAAGATGATTGCCTCCATTGTGGTGTTAGCATGCTAATGTTAGCACACTTTAGTTATCTCATAGCGTCATATTGCACATAAATTGACACTGAATGATCGTGATCTAAAGACCCTTATGTGACATCCAGTTAGTATGTTATTCTTCTTTTCTCTAGTCCTAGACTAAAACAGCTTTATACTTAAGGTCGTCCCTTCCATGTAAACACAATGTTAACACGGCATTGTACAGTCTTCCTTTAATTGTATATATTTATATTTTTTCACTTTTATTTTAATGTATTGCTTGTTTGTCAGAGTTTTCAGAAAGAGAAAATGTTAATGGGGACATAATATGGAAAATCCACTTGTACAGTGTTTGTGAACATGTATTTGGGTAACCTGAGAGTCTACCGACCCACAAAATGTGAAATAAATCCATCCAGTGCTTTGTTTGTGGTCTGCATTAGTCTTACAACACAGAGAAAAATGCTCTGTTTCAAATTTCTTCCATTTGTGATGTCACAAGTGGGATTCTGGTATAAAAAAATCCCCTCCCGTCCTTTGGTATCTCCACCCATGGACTCCAACCCCAGCCTAGAACAAAACTTTTGCACAGGTCCGCCATTTTTATTCTCTCTACAGACAAGTGATGTCTATCAGGAAAACTCAGGGGGGCTCATTGGGTTTAAAGAGACACACACACCAAAACGGAGCGTTCTAAGAGAGCTGGTTTATACAAGGTCACAAACCTCCTCTGGTGCTTGATTCATGTTATATTTTGAGCAAAGCACAGCACAGATGTTTCATTTAAACCACAGGGGACTGTTTTAAAAAGGTGGAAAAGGGGAACAATATGTCCTCTTTAAGAGTGTTTAAAATGGATTAATTAGTAATCCTGTTTAATAATCGTGAACACATCCTTTAGCTCTACAACAACACAGTTTTTCTTCTCTTGGAGGATTACTACTTTGACTTAAGTTAAAGATTTGAGTTTTTCTTCCACTGCTGGGCGGCACATACCCGAGGTTGAGGTGTTTCAGCTTCTGGAGGCTGCTTATCTGAGTAGGCAGCTCTTCAATCTGGTTGTTGAACATGTTTAGAACCTCCAGGTTCTTCAGCTCAGATATATTAGGAGGTACCACTGGAAGAAGACACAAGAAGAAAGAAATGACAGGCACATTAAACGCAAGCAACAACTTTTCCAAGATGTGCATAGTTTAAAAAATAAAAAATCTCTCTGCTTAGCAGCAGCCCTGATTCCTGACAGCCATCATTATACTGTAAGCTGCAGGGCACTGACACACCTCATGTAACATTAGCTGCTCTGTCGTCCCTCACTCTACATGAATCTACAACCTTAACATGCGAGGAGAAACATATTGTGTTTTCGTTCTTCATCTGGGTCTTCAGTTTAATTCCCCCGTGGTCTGTGGCCACAGAGGCGGACACAGATCAATGAGCTGATAACAAAGAGCAGGACATTTATCAGATTATCAAGAAGATCAATGGAGAAAGAAAGAGATTAAAGCAATGAAAAGAAGAGGAGAAGAGTAAACCAACCGTGCCCTGACCTGAATGCTGCAAGGAGAATCAGTGTTGGAGAGGTGAGGTGTTAGCATACTGATACATCAGTCGGACCTGAATGTTTGTGTATGTGTGTGTGTGTGTGTGTGTGTGTGTGTGTGTGTGTGGAGGATTACTCTTTTAACCTACTATTTAAGATAAACTTTCATATAGTATGAATTATTAAACTAATAGATAATGAAACAGAACAGAAACTGTACTCAGATGAGAAGTGCCACTAAACTGTTAAATATAACAACTATAAGTCAAGTAAGGTAGCCACCAGTAGCTGTACCATCAGTTGGGAGTTTGGTTAGTAAAGTTCATCTGTTGGTTTGGTTTATGCACAGTGACTGTGAGAGACATCTCAAAAGAACTTTCTAACATAATTCAGAAAAACAAGATGACGTTTTTTAGGGTTCCAGTCCCTTAGGGATAGAACCCCTTTTGTTTTTAATGGGAATTTAAAAACTCAAGGATTTGAGCCTCCAAACTTCTTTTCTACTCACATTATCTTTGAATCTGTTGCTCCATTTGACATGTCACCCATTTGCCAGTTAAGGTCACATTAGGGATTTTGAAGCTCTGCAAAAGCATCAGGGAGCGATCCTGTCCTCGTCCCAGGTTTCAGTCTGTGTCACAGCAAAAGGCTTTGTGCTATTTGCATACGACTCAGCTTATGGATTTGGTTAATTGTGTTGTCTTTGCTTGTGTGTTCTGGTGTTAAGCGTCCTTGGGTCCCTTCAAAGCTTTAGTCATTTATTATTACTTGTGAAGTTTTCCTCAATTTAAAAATGTAGTGGTCACTAGGCCTGGGAATTTCCCATAAACTCAGGATATGATACACATCACGATTAAGAGGCCACTATGCGATTTGTATCGCCTAAAGATCACTTCAAACCTGATTGGGGTAGAATTAAACTGCTTGGCACTTTATGCTGCGGGGACGCATTTCTTCAAGAATAGTGTATGTATAGTTGGATACACTTGAAGAACCGTACACAGAGGAAGGCCTGACCCCCTGCTACACACACCTATCTTTATAGGTTTAAATATCCAATTTAATAATATCATGGTGTCATAATACTTACTCAAAGTGAATTAATGACAGTATATTTATTATAACAGTGTTATGTCTAAAGCTGCTTTACACAAAAAGGCAAAATATAAAAGGTTTATTTTTTAATGATATTGAAAAAGAGACGAAGTTTATGGCCTGATTTCCCTGTTGATACACACAGTCCCTCCAGTGTCTTTCCCAATCCAGTCATTTTACCCCTTGATGACTGAGGGCTGTTTTTACATATTCATCTTTACGTAATGGATTATGTAAACTAAACAGCGCCATTCCACATTTTAAGTCAATAAAATTTGTCAGAAGTTGAGTGATCTATAAAAAAATAAATAAAGCAATATTAGGTGTTTGATAGGATCAGACCAAAGCTCTTCTGCAAGATGTGCAGAGTTTTTTAAGATAGAAAAGCACCAGTAGATAAAAAAAATCTGCATACTAGATTGTCAAAATGATAACCCATGTCAACTATAACATGTTAAAATGTTGTGTGTGTGTTTAAAATATTTTCTTGTTTCACCCACATACAGTAGGACAGTGACAGCCAGTGTCACCGGAGCCTAAGTGTTACATCTGACAAAGCTCATCCTATCAGAATGCTTTGTCTGTTCTTAAACTGGGCTCAGTAGAGTGTAGTGTTAACACCAGGTTTGATGTTACAGAGTAAGCACATAAAGGGACACTGCAGCACTTGGCGGGGTCACATGACCAGTGCTTACAGTAAAACAGACAACAGATAGATGGTCTAGTGTGTCTAAAAGGTTCAGTAAAGAAACGGCTGGTTTTAAGGTCCCACTGGTTCAGTAAGTTCAGAAATCTATTTCATTTAGCTGCCCCCCCCTCCCCCTCCCCCGCTCTCTGTGGGCCAACTGACCAGGGCTTAATCAATAAACCAGCACAACATCCAATCTAGGTGGACAAACCTACAGTGTTTATATGGTCCTCCATACAATATGAAATTGATTTCCAGATTTGCTCCTCTTCCTTTTGTTTGTTATAGTTTGTGAGTGTGAGCTGATTACCGGTTGTTGAGATCTCAAGAAGAAAAGCTCATAGCTCTGAGTCATTCAAGATTTCAGATTTGTATTTAATTTTTTTTTTTGTTTGATCGATGATTGAAATAAAAGTACAAATAAACAAATAAATACATAAATAGAGCCAGAGACATAACAGGTGACTTTTGGTTTTGATGTGTCATTTGAGTCATGAGCGCATTAGAGGCATGTTAGCACATGGGAAACACCAAAGCAAGCTCTCTCTATAAACCTCTAATGGAAGACCTGTCTCTCTGACTCCAGAACACCGCCATATTCAGCAGCATTACCCCCGTCCTGCCTGACACACTGTGCAGCTGTATTCTTCACCATATGATATTGGACAAGATGGTGAACAATAAGAGATGTTTTAAAAATAAATAAATAAATAAATAAAAATAAAAAAAACACGCACACACAGTGGTACTTCCTGCTGCTTCCACAGGCGGCTGACAAGGTGGGACAGTTGGGAGTTATTTTCCACGGCTGAAGTTAAAGAGCGTATATTTGCCAGTGCCTGCAGGAGGGTAACTATGCCAATTATGTTATCAACATTTTGTCTGACAGGCTAAAAATAATCTGGTTAGAGTGTGATATCTTCTCATCTCAAGCAAAAGATTAGAAAGCACAGGAGAAGGTGAACATGTCACTGAATGAGACAAACACGGATTTAAAAAGGTACGCCTCAAAATGTTTCTTCATTTGATGAAGTAAAATGTAAAAATCAAATGTCCACCTCAACATCTTGCTATATATTTCAGTATTTGGGTTAAATTTGTCCTTAACTGGAGGTTTTTAGTACCCATACCAAGAGAGATTATCTCATTAAAAACAAAAATCCTGTTTACTGTAATGTCAGAAATAACTTGCAGCAACTGAGAATACATTTTTTTAAATGATTAAGCTTGAGTCTCTTAACAGGAGGACCGCCAGTTCAAGGCAGGATGCTTTCGTCCCTGCATGTGTGGAACCCACAGAGGCAGAATGGTGGGGCGAAGTCATTCTGCCCCCGAGCCGCCATCGAAGATAGAAACAGAGGTTCAATGGGGGGAAGACAGTGATGGCAGGGCGGATCAGTGTGTGTGTGTGTGTGTGTGTGTGTGTGTGTGTGTGTGGCGGCACTTGGAGTCCAAGACAAATTTCCCTAAGGGGACAATAAAGTGTATCTCGTGTGTGTGTGTGTGTGTGTGTTGTTAGCAATCTGTAAAGGGCTATTGTCTACATTCAGGAAAGATAGAAAGATGGACTCTATGAAGGAAGTCTTGGTATAAAGTGGAGGAAAACTGTTTTCTCTCTGTTGTAAGCTGGTATGAGTATAGAGTCCATTGTTGGTTCACTTTTCTTTGTAACTTATCGAGGACTCTGCTCTGCCGCAAAATAAGAGAATGCAGGAACGCCAAAATAACTGAGAGCTAAAATGAAACGTACTGTAAATAAATATTTACTGTTTTTGAGTACAGTTTCATGATAACATGTTTTTATAATTAGAATTCAACCTGACAGGACAGAATATTAAGCATTTAAAACCAAAGCTTTATTTTGGCATTCTTGTGTTTAAATGTATTTTTATTACAAGTCAGATGAGAGTAGTGGGAATGAGTTGATGGGTAAATAGTGACCTCTGCTGGTAGAAACCATAACTACATCACTTAATTCAATAAGGCTGTTACTGAACAGGAGCTGCTGCTATGAACAACACTGACAGACTTTGACATTAAAAAGAGTGTAATTAGACTTTTTAAACCCAGCGGTGTAATGTAGAGAATGTACTCAAGTACTATATTAAAGACATTTAAGATACTTTCAGGGAATCTTTTCTCAGCATGCCATTTTCTACATGTACTCTGTCTGTACACATGAGGGGAGAGGGAATCACTATAAAATGTTACAGATAAATGTGATAATAAACTTTTACAGTGTCCAGTCTTTAACATGTTTGAGATAGACTTAGCTTGGGCAGTTTTGTTTTTTAATACTCTATACATTCCTTTGACACGGTTTTGTTAGACATTCAGGACTGATTCTTTTCCCTTTCTGAAACATTTTCTCACAACGATTATTTCTTAATGAGCGCATGTTGCTGATAATGACATCATCTCGCCAGATATTTATCAAACAGACCCAAGACAATGTTTACTTTTTATCATGTGACACAGTGAGTGTCTAACGTGATAGACCCATTGCACCGTTGTCTGACAGGTCATGTTTGTGTCAGCGAGAGAGCAGAAGGAATGAAGGGAGCAGCTTACCTGTGAGCTTGTTGTGGCTGAGGACCAGCTGAGTGATGTTCGATAGAGTGACTGAAACGACATGGAACATCAAGTCAACACAACATCGCAACCGACTCTGCAGGTTGTTTACTCATGCAACTCACTGGTGACCACAGTATACAGTGATGTACTTGCGGGAAGATTTTTATTTGTTAAAGATTATGAAACATGTTTTAAAATGTTTTTTTGGGGCTATCAGGTTAGTCCAGTCAAATGTAACTAAGTCAACGGTTGGGAATGACACTGCCACTTCAGAGACCCACACTTGAAATATAACCAGGCTCAAATGAGGATTGTGAAGATCATTGTATTGTGCTGTACTATACTGTGTTTCGTCATTGTACATCAATTTCATCTCAATTCCTAATAAATTGAGATGTTGTACAAAATGTAAATAAACACAGAATGTGATGATTTGCAAATCACTAAAACTCCATATTCACTGTAAACAACACAAAGACAGCTCAGGTCTGCAGTGTGTGCAAAACGCTGCAGCCAGATTTTCAACAGGTACACGTAAACGGGAGCACATCACCCGTGTACTCGCCTCCCTGTTGATTTTAGAATCCATTTTAAAATGCTATAACTTAACTTTAAGTGACAGCATGGTTTAGCCCCCTCTTATTTATCAGAATTTTTAATCCGTTACAAGTCAACAGGATCACTCAGGTCCTCTGAGCAGTCTGTCTGTGTCCCCTCATCAGAGGCACCAACTCATTAAATTCATTCAGAGCACAACTCAAAACCCACCTTTTCCCCCTGGCCTTGACATAAGTTAAAACAAATCCAATGTATATATATTTGTCACATCCTTCTTTGTTGTTGTGTTTACGCCTCGTCTGTAAAGCAGAGTCGAGGCTGTTTTAAACACGCTATACAAATAAACTTGACTTAACAAGTCAAATGCTGAAACTGAAAAATGTCTTTGTTTTTGAAAAATGATAAGCCCATTTTAAATGTGATGTCAACAACATGTTGGAAAAAAAAGTTGGGACATTGGCGACAAAAGACGGGTAAAAGACTGGACACAGGTTAATAACATGATTGGGTCTAAAAAGAGTATCACAGACAGGCTGAGTCTTTCTGAAGTAAAGGGGACAAGGCCTGAAACTAACACTGGGTGGCCGTAATCTTCAAGTCCCCTGACAAGTGCTGCTGCTCTCTTGCTCAGGTCACCCTAGTGAAAGAGATCTTGATCTCAATGAGTTAAATAAATGATAAAAACAGGCATGATTCTGTAGTGGACATCTCTACATTCACAAAATGCTCGCTGAACTTCTACAACGCAAAGAGGAAACCATTTAAAGACCAGATCCAGAAGTTCTGCCGCCTTATCTTAATACAGGCTCATTTGAAACGGACTGAGGCGAAGTGTAAAACTGCCTCGAGGTCTTACGGGTCAAAATTTGACTTTCTGTTTGGAAATCCTGGACGCCCAATTCTCTGTGCCAACATTGAGTGGGACCATCCAGCATGTTATCAGTGCAGCATCAGTGATTGTTACTGCACATGGCATGGGTAACCTGCACCTTTTGTGAACTATTGTAACATCATGGATGTACTACGTCCAAATGGTTGTGACACAATGACACAAATGAGACCCTAAACTGACCTACATTACAGAAGAGTGGCAAAACAGACCACTTTAAAAAAGTTACAGAAACTGCTCTCCTCGGTTCACAAAATGCTAACCAAATGTTGAAGAAAAGGTGATGCAACAGGGCGGTAAAAATGACTCTGTCCCAACTTTTTATTTGTATGTTTCTGGCATCAAATTCAGCATACAGTTTTCCAAACAGAATGCAATTTTATATTTTCTGTTACATTCCCGCTTAGATATGGGGTTTCATCATTTTGCAAGTGATTACAATCTGTTTTTCTTTACATTATAAATGGTTTTTTTAGGGGAATGGGGTTGTACACTTGGAGCAAGCAGCATTTATCATACAACATGTAGCAGGATCCACAGAGCACACAGCCATCACATTAAACCACTACATTAACTGCATGCATGTGCTGCAACTTCAAAGCAGTCCAGCAGCACAGTCTCTGTCCTCCACTTGTTTTTCTACGTCACGTCAAGTGAGCTGCAGTGACGTCATCAGCACAAACACGTAGCCTGCAGTCACATAGTTTGTGTCGTTTACTTACACACTGAATGTACTTTTATGTAACTTACAGAGTCCCGGGACGTCCATCATGTTGGAAATGCCTCTGTCGCACATCTCCACCTCTGGGATGTTCTTGTCCCGACTCTCCTCCACTATCTTCTTCAAGGACTTGGACATTTTTCTCCGACAACACTGATCCAAAACAGTAAAACGTTTAGTTAGGAAAGTCGTCTTCAAACGAAAACGTGAAATGACAACCACAACCACAACTAGCATGTAAAAGCAGCTGTGTTAAACCAAGAGAAATTAATAAAACTGCTTAAACGTACCGTTTACCGAAGATATATGGAAACCAACTAAATGTAAAGCTTCTGATTCCTTGTAGATACTTCGCTTCAAGCTCACACCCTACCGGAAGTTTATGCGAGAGCCACCACGCCATAATAGGATACTTCCTGTTCCTCACGTATGTACCATAGACTGTATGTACCGCAAACTGAAGCCAGCAGGCCTAAAACTGAACCAGCAGCTGATAAAACATGAGTTACCTAGTTTAAAATAATAATAATAATAATAAGACTAAACACATAAAAAAATAAAAGCAATATTTAACGAATTTCACAGAGACAACAGAAGACGTAGCCTAATCTAAATTAAGGCCAGCTCATTCAAGTGTAATTTCATTTAATGATTGGTTAATTAAAATGTTTTTATTTTATTTTATATTCATGCAAATTTGATGAAAACTTAAACATTTTAAAAAGATATTCTTGTACACGCATACACTACAGCCTGTGCTGTGTGTGTATATATTTATTTACCAATTTTCATCTATTTATTCCTTCTTAAAAATGTATTTCCACTGATCCACTGGTAATTGTATTTAATGTGTATTACTCTTCTTTAAGCTTGCCAGTAGGAGGAAGTGTTGTTTTATTTGTTCGCCAAACAGAAGTAAGGACTTCCGGTTTAGTGTCTTACCTTCGAAATAAAAGTAAAAATGTTTACAACATCAACAACAAACAAATGGTTACAGATGTGATCAGCCAAAAGGCCACCATCCATAACTTGTTTGGCAACAGATTTTGCTTCCAACTGGGACTCATAACTACATTTTTTCTGTCTCAAAATAAAAACACAAAACATCAGACACCTTGGATTTTAAATTTTAAACACATTTGACTGTTTATTCACAAACAAGGAAAAGAAAACAACACTCCGCTGTGGCCCCATTCAAAAACTGAATTTTGAAGCGTCCCTTCGTCCCTGTGCTGTTCTATAAATGTATATTACCAACCCAGACTCCGGACCTGATAGTGGCAGTATTGCACCATTTCGTTGCTGAGGCAGAGATCACAGACATTTGAGAAGAAGAAAAGCAGCGTGTGGTTATTTTGCCATGTCGGGTCTCCGGGTGATCGAGCTCTACAGTGGGATAGGAGGGATGCATTATGCTTTAAAGGGTAAGTTTATCATCGTTGCGGTCTGTTTTTCAAGTTTTCTATTTGCATTTTAAAGGGGTCCTCTCTACCGAGTTGTGTGTAGTTGAATGGGGGAAATCGGACATTTAATAGCGATCAACCAGTTTCCACTGTGCATCTTCACTCGGACTGACACAAGCTGCAGCATGGACGGGCAAGCTGAATTCAAATGTCTGGACTTTCTGGACTTCTTCTGGCAAAGCAGAAGTGCGAACTGATGCTTTCCCTGTTTAGTCCTCAATCTAAGCAACAAACAGCACCTGTACCTCAGACTTCATCAGAATCTGTTAGCCACACACCTAAGCCCAATACTATCAGATGCTTTTACACAGCCTACAACAAGACTGCTCATAATACCTGTTCATTGTGCAGTATCTTATAATCTGTTTGTTTCCCTCCACCAGACAGTGGCATACCTTACCAGGTAGTTGCTGCCATCGACATAAACCCCACGGCCAATCAAATCTACAAGCACAATTTCCCAGACACCCCCCTATGGAACAAGACCATTGAGGTGAGCAAGTCATTCACACCTAAACATTGTGTGTACACGTGTGTTAGACATTTCAGGTAGTTTTACATGTTGCATGATAAAAGAGACTCTGGACTCTTGATGAATAAATGGCCACATTTTTGGTCTTATTTGGGATTTCTGCTGTCAATAGAAACGTTTAGGTTGTAGTGTTCCCCGTTTAAATTGTAAAAATGAAACATGTTTTATTATAGCTTGAAGTCCTGCAGTATATAACGGATGGAGTATTGAGCAAAAGCCTGCAGTAGCCACGAGAGCAGGCTTTTGGTCAATGTTTCTTTGAGATCAAATGAAAAATGGAGTAATGTGTCTTGACTGAACTGTCCGATGTGTGAATGCTTGTGACTTAAAAACTGGCAGGTCTGTTGGTTCTGTGGGCAAACACTTCTTTTTACATCAGTTAAGAATTGGCAGGATTAAGTGTGTACTACAGATGAGGGTATAATTGACAACCAGCTTTGATATAAAGGACTTGTTTGAATATGGTAATATGTTTCTTGTGGTTTTGTTTTTTTATCTTAAGGGCATCACACTTGATGACTTCAACAAATTATCCTTTGACATGATCCTGATGAGTCCTCCTTGCCAGCCTTTTACCAGGTATTGTCTAATGTGTTTTTCATGCTTTTGGATCCAACATGTTGTAGAATCGTACCTCACTTGTGTAAGAGTACCTGCCAGACAATAAAAAAGAAACTTGTTTCCTTTGCAGCCCATAATAATAAGTTACTATTAAGCATACAAATTTAAGAAGTTGTGGGAAAGAAACGCCCAGATCCCTCAGATTCCAGGTTTGTTCATGCAGTTTAATGCAGAACAACTTATTTTCTTTGTTAGAAACTAACATGATCATGAGATGTATGGGACATATCTTCACAATGCTCTTATCACCCTGCAACTAGAGTTAGTTCTGAGAAGTTGTCAATCACAGCGATCAATCATGACATCACCCCATTTTACAGCATTGATTGAATATTTTATTTGTAAAAAAAGATCAAATGGAGTTTGGAAGTTCATTCCCACCACCAGGGGGTGACAGAGAAGAGTCTTGTTAGAGACGTGTGCCCTGTTGTGAAGGTTGGATCTGGGAGGGAGTGTAGACCTGGATTATAGAGTTAACGAGGAGCCGTTTTTTAAAAAAAAGTAATAATTTGATGCACGCAGTAACTGGGAGGCAGTGGAAGTGACATGTTCTTTCTCGGGTAAGTTAAAGACCAGCCAGTTTTGGATCATCTGCAGGGGTTTGATAGTGCATGTAGGAAGACATGATTTCAGTATGAAGTAGTGCTCCAAGCCGAAAACTGTAAAAGCTTAATTCTTAAGCGACAGTTTACAGGGGTAAGACATTTTCAGCTGATGCTGATAGTTATTAAACTCTCTATGTCTGGGTATTGGATGGATCAAAGTGGGTCAGTGGCTATAGCACTATCATCTGACAAACAGAAGATTTTGAGCCTGCTTGATGCCTGGAGCCTTGTTCTCTCCTTACCCTCCTTGACTTGCAACAGGAGTCAGGAAAAGTGATTTGCTGATCAAATCACTTTCATCTTTTACCACCGACTTCTTTAAGTGATTTGATCCGCAAAGGTTTTAATATTCCATGTTTGTTTCTGTGCAAAACCGCTGAAATCCCCGTCTCTATCCTCTGTACAGGATAGGACTTCAGGGGGACATTGCCGACCCGAGAACAAAGAGCTTCCTCTACATTCTTGATCTCCTGCCAAGGTCTGCAGATTTCTTGATTTGATCATGAATCAAATGATTTTCTAACCATCATTTGATTGACATTGGATCGGGGGGAGGGATATAGGATCTCTGATAATGTGATGAGGTGTGACCTCTACTGTTTGATGTCTTAAAGGAAATGTAGTCATTCAAATTAGTTCAATTGACCAATGTATCCCCATCCCATGCCAATCATTGAGTATGAAACACATGGTTTGATATACTCTGCAGCCTGGCTGGTTGGTAAGAACATTCAAACATAAGGTTCAGTTTGAGTCTTTTATGTTTATTCCAGTCAGAACTTTCCTATGACTCAATGGCTTTGGAGATTTGTCTTTGTTGGCTAGATTCCACTTAGTAGCAGCACTAAGACAACAAAATGCAGTAAAGCAACCCTCATGTATTCTCTCTGTATAGTCAAGGAGCAAAACGATAGCATGGTGTCTCTTATTAAACCCTCTCTTTTCACTCCCCAACTTGCATACATCATTGTGTGGCCAGGCTGTGCAGGCGTCCCCGTTTCATCCTGCTGGAGAATGTGAAAGGCTTTGAAACCTCCTCTGCCAGGTAACAACGGAGAAACCTACATGCTCAACATGTCAGTATCAGTATGATCAGAAGGCAGGTAGCAGGTAATGTTTTGAATATGCAGAAAGTTATGAACAATACAGTTGAATAATTAATAGTAATGAAATTAAAATAATAAGTCAAGAAATTTCCGCCATAAATTAATTCAGAAAAGGCACAAATTGTTGCATAGAAACTCACCAGAATGCAGGAAATAAAGTGTTTGATGCAAAATTCTGTCCCCCCCCCAATGTTGAATCAAAACCTACACCCTTGTGCTATGCGGACACAAGGCTTAATGGTCTTGTAATAGACTGGTGAAAAGGTGAAAACAAGGGAAACTGTCTTCATCGTGTTCTGTTCTGCAGGGAGCGTTTGGTGAAAACTCTGATGGAATGTGGATACACTTATCAGGAGGTCATGATCTCACCAACGAGTGTAAGTAAGGATTGTATTAAGTACATCAGTGCTGTTAGTCACACATGGTCAGAACTGTTTATATGACTTTTCTATTTATGAATGCAGGTTGGGATTCCAAACTCAAGACTGCGGTATTACCTGATTGCTAAGAGTTCCACTGAAAACTTCAGTACAGACACGTGTTCAAAGGTGAGGCTTCTTACAACTTTACATTAAGATTGCTTTTTAAAGAAGCCCATATGGCCAGATGGACAAAAAGAGTTCTAACTCAGTGTACAAGCAGGAGTGGGAATATTACACTTGGATGTAAAAACATACAATCAATCTGTTAATGTTAATCTTATATGAAGAGTATATGTTGTAAATTAAAGCACTGAATTCCCCAGGGGAAAAATGTGGGCTTAAGTGTTTTGTATTACATAAGGAGAACACTGTCTGTAAGTAAGGCTTTTAACTAAGTCTGTTATCTTAGATTTTAGAGGCCTTCCCACACTCTGCTGACAATGATTGTCCTGCCTTCCTGAATCCTGCTGAGAGTAATCCCCCTGAGGAGCCCACAGTCTCCAGCCCTTCTGATCCTGATGCCTGCCTGACAGGAGAAGAAGATCCACAGAGGGATCAGGTCCTGTATAAACTAGAGACAAGGATGGATGCCCAGAGGAAGATGAATCAGAACAAAGATGTGTCAGTCAGACAGATACAAGACTTCCTGGAGCCACAAATAGAAGACAACATTGAAAACTATCTCCTTCCTCCTAAAACTCTGCTGCGATATGCTCTGCTCCTAGACATTGTTCAGCCCACATGCAGGAGGTCTGTTTGCTTTACCAAAGGGTAGGTACAATCACTGTCTTAACCTTACTTTTACTTATTCCATTTACTCCCAAGCATGTGTGCTTGTGCATGTGTGTTTGTGTTGTGTGTGCGCTCGCTTGTGTGATAGCAATGCTGAAAATCAAAATCAAATACCCTTAGCCTTGTATTTGACGCTGACAAAGTGTAATAGGCGTGTCTTGCAGAATAATAGATGATTTGAAGTCCTTTAGAGTGAGTCAATAATTGAATGACCAAATGTAATTTAATAAAAGGTCATTAGAGTTAGCTCCTTTTGAACTCTTCACCCAAAGGCTGTAGAGCAGCTCTGGTCTAATGTAGAAGTTAAACAAAGTAAAGCTCATGACATGATGAAAGCTGTATTTGGTTTTTGCATCTGTTAAGAACAGAGAACCATCGAAATACAGTTTTCTGTTGTCCTCTGGATCAACATCTTTATCTTTTACTTGTAATCTCTAGTGTCTGATTTAGTACTCTTCTGTTTCTGACGTCTACATACTCAGATACTAACATTTATTGTTCTGAATATGTCATGATAGTAGATTGTAGATTGTGTGTTATTACTTAGTAACTGTTCAAATGGTCATATAATTTAGTAATGCCTTTGATTGTGTTGATGTGTTTATTCATAGCTATGGCCGCTACGTAGAAGGAACCGGCTCAGTGCTTAAGTGCTGCATGGAAACAGAGGTAAGTTTGGTTTCAGCACCGGCATATCTGAGGTGATTGTTTGTTTTGGGAATTAGTAACATGCTCCTTTACCTCAAATGTGTGGCAGCATCCAGCATCTAGCATCTCTCTCTCTCCAATTTAAAAAAAAGGAGAAATATACCTGCATGTCAAACTGTACTTTTGACCCTCACCCACACATTCATCACCTCCAGATTAGACTACTGCAACAGTCTCCTCTATGGTTCACCATCCAAATCACTCAAGAAACTTCAATACATTCAAAACTCCGCTGCTCGTCTCCTCACACACTCCCGCACCCGAGATAACATCACCCCCGTCCTTCATGACCTCCACTGGCTCCTCATCCCCCCCAGCGTATCCACTTCAAACTCCTCATCCTCACCTACAAAGCCCTCCACAACCTGGCTCCCCTTCTACCTGTCTGAGCTCCTCCACCGACACACTCCCACCCGCACTCTCAGGTCTGCAGATGCAAACCTCCTGTCCCCCCCCCTGCAGGACCAACCTTCGGTCCTGGGGGGACAGGGCCTTCTCCATTGCAGCTCCCACCCTCTGGAACTCTCTCCCTAAAAACATCAGCGACTCCCCCCACACTCACTTCCGACAAGAAATCCCTAAAAACTCTTTTCATCTCCGCCTACAACCACTGACTCTCATCCTCTTCCCTTGACACTATTTCTATTTTGAATGGTTCTCTTAGTTTTTGCTTAGTTTTTTTTGTTGCTTCCTGTCAAAACGTCTTTGAGTATTTAGAAAAGCGCTATATAAATCTAATTTATTATTATTATTACTTATCACGCAATCAAGGAGCCATGATTGAAGTGTGCACATAAATGCAGCTTTGTCCAGAATTTGTAAATTAGGTTGTTTAAAATGAATGGCAACATTTGAAGGCAGGTACACTGAGGTCTAAGTCCTGCACCTAAGCCTGACATCCAAAGATAGACATACACTGAAGTAGCTTCCAAATGTGTTCTGCATTAGATAGATAGATACTTAATTAATCCCGAGGGAAATTGAAAAGTTTGCAAAACCCAGTTCACCCATGTGCAATTTAAATGGAACCTATAAACTGTTAAAGGAACATTTGAAAAATTAGACCTGTGCATAAAAATAAGTAAGATGTTCTGAAGTTTAGAAAAACTGAAAGTTTAAGTAAATTTTTTTTTAAGACTGAAGAAAGAGGAGAATTTCACATCAGAGATGCTGACCACAACAAGAGCACTGGTTTGGAAAACTGTAATGTTAAAACTTTTGGAAATCAAGAGTAGAAGTCTGTGACTAGTCTTCTCCCTAGTCTTTGCGTTGGGGCTTTACATCTGTCATATTTTAAAGCATCCAAGTTCTATACTGTGTTTGACAGAAAATAACTAGTGCACAAATCCTTAACTGTTGTCATCTGTCATGTCCTTTTGAGAATCAGAAACATTTGATTCTTTCTATGTGTCTGTCCTCTGCAGATGGAGAGTGTGTTTGGAGGCCTTGACCAGTACTCTGAAGAAGAGAAACTCCAGCAGCTGTTGAGACTGAAGCTTCGTTATTTTACTCCCAGAGAAGTTGCCAACCTCATGGGTTTCCCTCAAAGCTTCTGTAAGTCAAAAATCTTCCAACACTTAGGTCTAAGTCTAGACTGATGTTCTCTAGACATCTTTTTTTAGATAAGTCGTTTGATAAACAATCAGTGGAACATCTGTGATCAGCTAATCTGCAAAAAGAAACAAAAAAAAAACAACACTTTCAGATGTGCTTGATCTCAGGCCCTTTTCTTAATTTTCCTATTCAATTTTTTCCTAACGCAACAGATCTGTCATAATTACATGATAACATTATGCTCGCTAATAGATTAACGTTATATACGAGATGGATGAGTAAACACAACCTACAGATCATTCAGACAGGAAAGAAACTACTTACTGTATAATTATTATATTAATAATAATAATCACCTCTGATGAAGATCTTAGTCCTCTGCACGGCCAGTGAATGTGTGTAAAGTGTTCGCTCTCATACACTGTGTGTTGTGCACAATTCAAGTGTTGACTCTTTTTTTTCTCTTTTTGTACTTACATTTCTGTTTCAGCCTTTCCAGAGCAGATCTCGACCAAGCAGAAGTACAGAGTTCTAGGAAACAGTCTCAATGTTATGGTGGTGGCAAGACTCCTGCAGCTGATGGTCTCCTAGCTGTAAAGACTGGAGGAGGACATTTTATTTATGGAGAAGAACGGTGCTGTGCCTGAAAGTGTACTTATTGTTGGGGACATGTCTGCTACATTTGTATACATAAGTATAACATGTTTATGTGTCATTTAAAGCAGTATGTGTCTCAAAGCTGAACTTGGATATTGTTTTGTTTTTTTTCTGAAGAGAAAAAAACGTTTTTTATATTGATAAAGTGAAAAACGAGTAAGTGAGATTTTCCAAGATTGTTTAATATCTACCACTATTTATTTATGAACATAATCTTGGCATCTTCTGCCACTTGGGTTATCCTTCATTTTTTTAAAGCGTTTCTTTCATCATCAAACTTCAGAGAACATTTTTAATGTAATTTAGACTAGAGCCTGACCGATTTATCGGCCAGCCGATAACATAGGTCGATATTAGTGCTAGCAGTTCTCTTTCACCAGCAGAGTGCGCTATATGGATTACAATGGACTGTAAATATTAATAAACGAAGCCTGAGTGACATCACCCATCTTTTTATGGCAGGGGGCTCAGGAGGATCATCGGCAGCAGCCGCTGTGCTGGAAATGCTTTCTCAGCCTAACTTTCAGACAGTATAATGAAGACAAGATGGTCTTCCTTATTAGCCGATACTGATTGCCACTGGATAACTAATAGGCCGATATTATCTGCTGGCTGATGAATCGGTCGGGCTCTAGTTAAAACCTTCGTTATTGTAAACATAATACATTGTCTAATAGTTTGAATGATGAGGGAAACAGACATGGACAAAACTAAACTGTATATTTATGACTGTATGTACTTTTTAAAAATATAATTAAATTGTTTTGGAATAAAAAAAACTGTTCTGAAGGTCTTCAGCCTCACCTGTTACCTCCTCCACCTGCCTTCCCAAGAATTCTAGTCTGTTACGCTTTTGATGGTTTTTGTGTTGCCTTTTACTGTTTTTCCCAGTGACTGCAGCCGTCTCTTTTATATCTGTCCCGCTCGCTGGCTGGTTTCTTAGATTTCTTTGTTTGTGCAGCGGTCTCTGGAGATAGCCTAACTTGTAAGAGTAAACCACTTCTAACATCCAGCTGGTCCTCCAGAGATCTACGTGCATATGAGTGCATTGAGGAATGAAAATCCTCATTCGTGTCCATAATGTTTGAATAAGAAAAATAAATAAATAGGTGCAAAAAAAGAGTTCTTCTTGTCCCTCCTGGACCTCCCAATGGCCATCCCACCCCGGAAATAGGAGAGGTGTTGTTGAACCCAGCTCACCTGCACTTAAAGCTATAGGAACATGGTGTTCTGAGCAGGTGTAGCCGTTATCAGCAGACACGTTTACAACCTCTCTTCCTGCAGGACTCAGGACTGTGGATTAACATCTGGGTTTATTTTACTAAGGAACAAAGGAACTGATCAATGACTTAAGTCTCCCTCTCAGACAGGATATTATGAACTTTTACAACACCTGGAATAAACAACCGAGCGGAAACAGGACACTCTGCTATCTACAAATTGACCCCAAAGACATGAACTGTGACCGAAACCAGTCTCTGCAAAGTCGTAAAATTTTTTATCTTTCTTTTTCATTAATTCTTTCTGGCTCAAGTAAGGTTTTTGAACTTTCTTCTCCAAAGTCTTTGCTCTTCAATTTTGAACGCCAATTCCTTAATTTGGATTCATCAAGATGGCCATCTGGTTAATCTGAATTGGAAATCGACGTATCAAAAGACTCTTAAATATTTTTTCCTGTTGGATCCTCTTGGAGCTTCTGAGACGACGGCTGAACCGACGTACAATCTCCATCCCAGCTCCACACTCTGACCAAGGTGTCAAGGCATCTAATCTGGCCCGTGGACCTCTCTGGGCCTGAAAAGAACCGCTTGCCAGAGACTGAAACGCGGGACCAGCCGACGGAGTTCAATTCAACACATGTCACAGTAAGACTGCTGGTGGCAAGGGGTGTTGGAAGATTGAGTCTTGAGTCGTGTCTATTCAGAGCCCTCCTTTAAATCCAAAAAGAATCCCAAAAGTCCTTTATCAACTTTTTCTTTTTGACCATTTTCTGATCAAGTCATTCAAACAATACCGCGTCTTATCTCATTACTAAATATATAATGTCACCATACATTATAATTGCATTATCCTGATCATGATAATCATATTCTTTATCTGTTTCATCTATACATTATTGTTTACCCCTTTTATGTTAAATTTTACACATAAAATTCAGGACTTTGTGTGTTTTCTTGTTTAACATTTCCAGAACTTACTTCTTTCAAGATATGAAACTGACTGATTAATTAATCAACTTAAACCATTAAAGTTATTTTCTTCCTTTAACAGGAAGCGGTGCCCCTTCTTAAATACGAGGTTAAATAAAGATATAACATCTTAATAATTTAATTACGCTACACAGGGCTGGAGTAGAGAGGTTTATAGGCATGATCAAATACAGGATAACTAAATCACTATTCTATTCTTTGCGTACCTTGAATTAAAGTTTTATGTGTTGAGGTGGTGTACCAATACAAGTACCTGGGGACCATCATCGATGACAAACTCACCTTCGAGCTCCAAACTGAAGCTGTCTGCAAAAAAAGCTCATCAGCTTGTTCATTTTCTGAGGAAGCTTAGGAATTTTAATGTTGACAGCACTTTTATGAAAATGTTTTATTCCTGTTTTATTGAATCAGTTTTAACTTTCTGCATAGTGACCTGGTACGGGTCACTCAGCATCAAAAACCGCAACAAAATGCAGAGCATTGTCAAACTGTGTGTCAGAATCACAGGATCGTCCCTTTCTGACCTTTCTTATTTATATAGAACAAAGTGTCTTAAGAAAGCACAGTCAATCTTGGCAGATCAAAGTCATCCTTTGTCCAAGGATTCAAGTTGCTGCCGTCAGGCCTCAGATTCAGCCTGGCAGCATGCAGGACAATGAGGACGAGAAACTCTTTTGTTCCTGCTGCCATCACCTTTTTAAACCACTAACCGTATTGCCTCTGTTTCTTATTTATTGTCCTTTCTATGTTGTTTGCTCATTGAGGGCTGTATGTATGTGTGTGTTTTACTGCTGACTGCAAAACAAATTGCCCTCTCGCAGGGATAATAAAGCTAACCTTGAACCTTTTGGCCTCCTCCCAGTGCTCCGAATATCTTTCCCCTCAGTCTTTATTATTTCCCAACAGACCCCGCCCAAGCTTGTCAAGGTTGAATAACAGCATTGTGTACCGCAAAGTTTCTGTTTCTCAGTTATTCTTTGAGCAGAGTGGGAAGTGATCATTTCAATGAAATGGAGCATGTTGTGTTGCTGCTGGTTCTTGTTGCTCCCGTGGTTTACTGCTATAGTTCAGGTCTAGTTATGGATAGCTGTAAAGACATGCGACCACACCACTCTGGAGTGAGCCCGCAGACAGATCCTGCACCCTTTAATGTCACTACAGACAACAACAAGTACACACTTGGAGAGGTGGTGACAGGTAAGGATTAGACTAATCTCTAATGGGTTAAAATGCAAATATAGTAAGGTAGTCAATCAATTAAAAAAAAAACAAGTCTGAATCCATCTTCTGCACTTCAATGATTTGTTTCTTTTTTTCTGTTTTTATTGTCATCGCAAATTCAGCACTTTGGGTTTCCAAAGCTAGAAATTAAATCTATTACTAAGATAGTCATGTAACATTTGATTGCTCATTAAATCAATCACTCTAATATTAGAGAATTTTTCGTTTTTATATTGATAAAGTGAAAAACGAGTAAGACTCCTGCAGCTGATGGTCTCCTAGCTGTAAAGACTGGCAGGGGGCTCAGGAGGATCATCGGCAGCAGCCGCTGTGCTGGAAATGCTTTCTCAGCCTAACTTTCAGACAGTATAATGAAGACAAGATGGTCTTCCTTATTAGCCGATACTGATTGCCACTGGATAACTAATAGGCCGATATTATCTGCTGGCTGATGAATCGGTCGGGCTCTAGTTAAAACCTTTGTTATTGTAAACATAATACATTGTCTAATAGTTTGAATGATGAGGGAAACAGAACGAGGACAAAACTAAACTGTATATTTATGACTGTATGTACTTTTTAAAAATATAATTAAATTGTTTTGGAATAAAAAAAACTGTTCTGAAGGTCTTCAGCCTCACCTGTTACCTCCTCCACCTGCCTTCCCAAGAATTCTAGTCTGTTACGCTTTTGATGGTTTTTGTGTTGCCTTTTACTGTTTTTCCCAGTGACTGCAGCCGTCTCTTTTATATCTGTCCCGCTCGCTGGCTGGTTTCTTAGATTTCTTTGCCAATCGTGATTTCTTTGTTTGTGCAGCGGTCTCTGGAGATAGCCTAACTTGTAAGAGTAAACCACTTCTAACATCCAGCTGGTCCTCCAGGGATCTACGTGCATATGAGTGCATTGAGGAGTGATAATCCTCATTCATGTCCATAATGTTTGAATAAGAAAAATAAATAAATAGGTGCAAAAAAAGAGTTCTTCTTGTCCCTCCTGGACCTCCCAATGGCCATCCCACCCCGGAAATAGGAGAGGTGTTGTTGAACCCAGCTCACCTGCACTTAAAGCTATAGGAACATGGTGTTCTGAGCAGGGCTGGAGTAGAGAGGTTTATAGGCATGATCAAATACAGGATAACTAAATCACTATTCTGTGTACCTTGAATTAAAGTTTTATAATGTAACATATGAAACATTTTCTCCTTGCAACAGTAGAACCTCACACCTTCAGCTCTCCCTTTCCTTTGCACACATACAATCAACTACCAACCATTCCCCATCTACCCTGTTATGTGGAGGCAAATGGAACACGCGTACACCTGTGGCCTCCTCCCAGTGCTCCGAATATCTGTCCCCTCAGTCTTCATTATTTCCCAACAGACCCCGCCCAAGCTTGTCAAGGTTGAATAACAGCATTGTGTACCGCAAGGTTTCTGTTTTTCAGTTATTCTTTGAGCAGAGTGAGAAGTGATCATTTCAATGAAATGGAGCATGTTGTGTTGCTGCTGGTTCTTGTTGCTCCCGTGGTTTACTGCTATAGTTCAGGTCTAGTTATGGATAGCTGTAAAGACATGCGACCACACCACTCTGGAGTGAGCCCGCAGACAGATCCTGCACCCTTTAATGTCACTACAGACAACAACAAGTACACACTTGGAGAGGTGGTGACAGGTAAGGATTAGACTAATCTCTAATGGGTTAAAATGAAAATATAGTAAGGAAGTAATAATGAGGGGTAATAATTCACAAGTTATAGCCCTTTGAAGTTGAAGATCCTTTGAAAAACAAACATTATTGAGGAATTTAGGGTTTTATATTTTTGTAAATTTAATTATCTGAGATTTCCTTTTACAGATCTTTACAACACACTGCATAGTAATGATCTGAAACATGAAATATGTATTGAAGACAGTCAAACTTATTTGTGGTTCTTACATAATTCACAATTGTCACATAGTCTGTCAACATAATATATTACATATAATATTTCAACAGTTTTCATTGGATTTAAGGTAAAACTTCAAATGAATACAGTTGTCTAATGTGTTTACATGTAAACAGGAAAAGCCATTGTATTGCCTGACATAATAGTTAAATAACTTTTTTTTATCATATTATAAATATTAAATATACTGTATATTTTATTTGTTAATTATGGCAGATAACCTAGTAGTGGTGACGATAAACAACATTATCATTTATTAATAAAAAAAATCAAGTCTGATTCCATCTTCTGCACTTTAATGATTTATTTATTTTTTCTGTTTTTAATATCATCGCAATTTCAGCACTTTGGGTTTCCAATAGCTAGAAATTAAATCTATTACTAAGATAGTCATGTAAGATTTGATTGCTCATTAAATCAATCACTCTAATAGTATAATAGTACTGATAATTCATTTTGAGTTGGACACAATGGGCCTGCGAAACTGGTCTGGAATGTTTTTTTGTTTTTGTTTTTTTTTCTTTCAGTGACGCTCCAGGCTACAGCCTCGATACCATTCATTGGTTTCCTGTTACAAGCGAGAGAGGTGGGGGGCTGGTCTCCTGTGGGCTCCTTCATCCTGACAGATGAGTCTACTCAACAACTCACCTGCAACCAGAAACTGGTGAGTTAATTCCCATACAGCTGACTTCAATATTTGATCCCAGGAAGAATAGCTAATGCTCATACTGGTGCTAATAAGGATCCAAATAAGGAACGAATGTGAGCACCATAAAAGCCTACAACATGCAAGTTATATTATTTCATAGCTTTATAGAGTACTCCAATCTGATCTGTAACTTTTGTATAGCAGCCTGCTGCTATGATTAAGGACAATGTCTCTGGAGGACTCTGTTCAATCTTTAACAAATGTTATCTCTAGACACTTTACAAAAGAGCAGGTAAAAGACCTTACTCTTTGTTTTATTAAGTTACAAAAGAGCAGGGTCTCATTAATAACCGTAATAATAATAATTACATACGCGCAACACAGGGCCTGAGCCATTTCCCACGCCAAGTAAATTCTGAACACAATTTAGAAGCAGGGCAAATGCAAATTGGTGACACAGATGGCGAGGTAGTGAATTGAAGCTTGCAAAATGTCTATTGATGTCTCACATACATTTAATTTCCCTAAATATCAAACTTTATACTGACAGATCCACGTCGTCATAATCAGTCAAACTTGCAGTTTCATTTATACGCACGCATGAAGTAAGCCTTTTTCAATAAGTAACTTTCAACATGAAAAGTAAGGGGCCCCCGGAAGTCCCAAAAAGTAAAAAAATATATTATTATCTAACTTGTGCGCACAAAATATTAGGTTGTGCAGACACCATAATATCTTGTTACTGATGTATCTCCAATAATGCTAATTTCTGTTACAATAGAGCAGGTAAAAGACCTTACTCTTTACTATATTATCTACAAAGACCCAACATTACACCATCATAAGCACAGCACATGTGTTCAGACATATCAATGGATGGAAAGATTCAGTCAGCCCATTAACAATGACGTCAAGACAAATGGAGGGAACAGAAAGAAAAAAGCAACAAAATCTTAAGACATTAAAAGAGATATCGAAGAGCTGCACATCAGAAATCACGTTATCCAATCAAATAGACATAAAGGGAACACATAACTCAGCATCACTATAGCAGTGTTAACTGAAAAATGTCTTGCTGTTTTACAAGTGAAATGCAATATGGTATTGCCCAGAGCCCGTAATAAAGTCAATGTAGGCCTAAGTATCAAAAAGAAAATGAGTCTGAAGCGTGAAAATGTCAATAATCAAGTGATAACCCTTTAGATTGAACATGTAACGACCTCTCTCTCTCTCTCTCTCACTATGTGTGTGTGTCTTCATGTAGAACTCAGCTTTATCCCACAAATCAGAGTCGGTTAAGACCTCCATTCAGGTGAAGTGGAAACCAGAAGTGTCAGCTTCTGTGAAACCCGTTCAGTTCCAGTAAGGTTTGCTTCAACTTGTTGGTTCTTTTCCACTGTTCTGTTAGCCATGTCAAGCAGATGAAGCATAATCCTCCTTGTGTATTTCCACCATGTTTATTTGATACGTGTTGGGGGGTGTCTGCAGGGCTGCCATCGTGCAGAATTACAGGACATTCTGGGTTGATGTTAAAAGTCCTGCCCTGACCTTCAGAAAAGACTCTACTGGTGGATCTACAAGCACCCCACAAAAAAACAGTCCTACCACTACAACAGCACTAGCAATGACAGCTGCAGTAAATCAGCCTGCACCACCTGCTGTAAGCAATAATTACGATTAGGAACATCGTAAGACTAACTGTCTTCATATGAGACCAGCAAGTACAGCTCTATTAGGCCCTCTGTCCACCTAGTGTCATTTTATGAGCATAGCTTGCAGCATCTTTTTTTCAGTTGTTTTTACTTGGGATCCTCCGCTTATGTGACTACACAGCTTTTGTTTTTCTGCAGAAAAATATCTCCAGCAAAGACTGTGGTGTGACCAAGGTGTGTTTCAGTCAACCTTCAAACTGTGACCCCACAGTCACCGCTGACTGTTATTTCATGTCAGCCAGAGCGTTGTCTCCCAGTGACGTAGCCGTACACTACGAGATAACAGGACCCTCTGATGGATACATCGCCATTGGATTCTCAGACGACAGGATGATGGTAATATGACAACGAATGCTTCATTACATGAAATATTTCATTCTTTGTATCAGTTATAACATTTAGGGTCTTGATATTGCAGCGTACATTATGTTCTTATTTAAATCAATCTTTTAAAATCTGTGCTTGTATAGAATGAGGCACTACTTCCTCTACGGAGGAAATTAACACATTAGTGAGTTCTCTTCTTATACACACATACAAACACTCATGCTAACACACAACACACAGACCCTGATGAAGGCCACGCGTCCGAACGCATCGGTCTAATTTGTTATTAAAGGTTGATCTTCATACTTCAAGTGTTGCTGGAGGATTTTTAAAACCCTGTCTGAACACAATCCCTCATGTTTTTTTCTTCCTTCTGTATTTTCTTTAGGGAAATGATGACATATATATCTGTGTCATAGGAAGCAATGGCCTCGTGCAGTTGCAGCATGCTTTTTCAACAGGAAGAAAAGCTCCTCAAATTGTTCCTCTGGTACTGACGTTTTTCCAATAATGATAATCAGGAGACTTTTTTTCTTGTAAAATGAAAGACTTTATGCTGTAGTATTATTAGTTATTGCCACTTCTCTCACAAAGACTGGACTGCATACTATATGCTACTGTGTTTATTCAACTCCATTCTGAACTTATTTCTGTCCACCAGGGGAATGTTTCTGATGTGAGCGCGTCAGTACAAGGCAGAGTTATCAGCTGCTCCTTTACCTCCATGAACATCTTGTCTACTCTGAGGACCACTGGCTCCAACAAAACCTACCATATCCTGTTCGCCCATGGACCCAGCAACAACGGTAATGAATGATTTGTGTTAAAATGCGGAAGATCTACTTTTGATTTGTTGTCAGGGATGAAGCTACTTTCTCCTAAAAAAATAGTCTCCAAGTTTTCATGCCAAGGATCACATGGATATATATATATATACTCCATTTGATTCTTTTATGTAACATACTACCTTTATGGGCAGCATTTCTCGAGTGGTATGTTACTCACTCATCTGAATAAGAATCGTCTTTATTGACCAGGGATGTGTAGCTACATATAAGGAATTTGTTCCAGTTTTAAATTGTTCTCAGTTTACATTCTCAGAAATAGACATACTTGCGAATTAAACAAGTAAATGAAGATATTTCTGACCTATAAGGGAGTACACTATGGATGTGATAGTCAGCTTGGAGATTACCCATTACTCACTTAATGCCATTGGAGAAAATGCTACAGGTGTGAAACTGACTGTTTTCCTCTCCTACAGGACAAATCAAGTTCCATAAAGCTACCTTCAGCAGCACTGACAAGATAGACATTTATAGACCTCAGCTTGTCAGCAAAGGTGGATTGCCTAATTTCATCAAAGCACACGGTGAGATCCTGCCCAAAGATGCAAACACTACATAATAATATCCCAGTAACTTTTAAAGTAAAAAAAATAATACACTATAGCATTATTGGAACCAATTTTGTCCATCACCTTTGAAAACACTGGACATATACATTTGCTATGAACAGTCAGGGTCGATGGGTGATGATACCCTTTTATGATTCTGGTGACCCTTGGCTTTTCCTCTAGTAATCTTTCAGACAGGCTCTGCATAGAAATGTACTGATCACATGAATACCTCCTTGAAGATGATAACATAAGAACATGAGAGACATGATTGGCCTTGGAGACACGGCTGCTATATTACTTAAAGGGCCAGAGTCTATACATTACCAACCCCAAGCAACTGAAGGAGGAGGAGCCAGCTAACACCAGGACGTAATCACAACATGCAACGCGCAAATGAGCGGACGACCACACAGGGTGTTTCTATCTGTGGTAATGTAAAACAGTTGAGGAAGCTCTACTCCTGCAAACAGTTAATAATAATCTTAATACATTTCTTAATAATAACATTTCCCCAAGAGGACAATAAACTGTATCGTATCGTAATAACCAATTTGCAAAGATAAGCATACTTCTGGGCATCAACATTACCAGTGACCAAAAGTGGGCGTGTAAGAAAAAGAGAAGATATTGTTCAGAGAAGATCAATGGGTTGAGGAAATATACAGGTGATCAAGAAGAGTTCTTCAAGAAACTTCCACAGACATGGCCAAGGAAGGCCCCGGAATAATGACAGAAGGCAAGGTTGTACATTAAAAAAGTCTGGCAGATGACTCCAACATTTTCTGATTGGTATCTTCACTTATTAGATCAACGTCGGATCATAAAAACCAGCCACGGCAGCATTCTGACATTTAATTGTTTTTCAGGAGCACTGATGCTGATAGCTTGGATGACCATGGGATCCGTAGGAATGATGGTAGCCCGATATCGGCATGGATATGCTAAAGGAAAGAAGCTGTGGGGAAAAGATATCTGGTTTGTGGTGAGATACCATAAACACTGGGCTGTTTTTACTTACTGTGTTCTTGGTCAGAGCCTGACCTCTCTCAGCTGTGCTTGATCCTGCACTTGTTTGTTAAATGAGCTCTGTTTGTGTCCAACTTGTACAGTAACATATTGTACTATTTCTGTTCCTGAAGGTCCATGTTGCTGTGATGAGTCTGACAGTAGCAACCACAGTCATCGCCTTTATCCTTCCCTTCTCGTTTATAAAGGCCTGGTCTGGGGTCAGTACACTACTCCAAATCTCTGTGATCCTACTATGACTTATTATTAACTTTCCTCAGATATGTTTGGTCAAGAGTTCTCAATATAACAGTTGCATTTCACAATAAATCAGTATTTTTGTGCTGTTTGCAGGGGGCTCATCCTGTGTTAGGCTGCCTGGTTATGATCCTTTCATTCGTTCAAATCACACTGGCTCTGCTTCGCTGCGGACCTGGACATCCAAAGTAGGTATACTGCCGTGTGGGTGTGGCTCATCGGATCATTTTTCATATGACAAAGTCTAGTCATTATGTCTAACAGCCTGATCCTCCTTTTTGCATATATGAAACAAACGGTATCAAAACTGAAATTCCTATGGTGTCCAGGGAAACTTCTTAAAATCGTACTAATTTTACCTTTTTTATCAATGATGAAAAATGACGTACTTTATGAAACAAGAAATTAAATGCACAAACCAAGAAATAAGAAGAAAGCCACCAATACACACAACTCAAAACAGTCCACTTTAAGATTGGGTGTTATAACGTGCTCCATCAAGTTAAATTAAACTTTTCAACCCATCTATGTTTGGGATGTAATTAATGAGTGGTTATTAACAGCTGCCACTCAAGGGACAAAGTTTTGAACTCATGCATTCATGCAGTACAGTGTGCAAACTCATGTTTTTGGTCCAGGGGGCATAGTGATGATGTCTTTATGTGCTTAGGCAGCAGTGGAAAACTCTGGCCAGTGGCATCTACAACAATTGATTATCAACATTACCATGAAGGAGACTGGATCTTTTATGGAACTTTATGGCTCTCAGAGACTTGAGAGAAAAATTGTAAAAAAAAAAAAAATTGAGAATCTTTTTTTAATAAATTGTAATGTTAATAAAAAGAACCAGCCCTCTGTTCTGAACACTTAAACATAAAAGTCCATGGTGGATAGTCAGTCATCAATCAATCAATTAATCAATCAATCACTCAGTCTTTCTTTGTATAGCTAGTGAGGTCATTGTATGATTTAATTCAGTCTTACTTATTGTTCCTTTAAGAAATGCCCAGAAGCTGATTGCGATCACGTTAATAGTTGAACACTGTTGTGGAATAGGAAGTGGACTCCTATGGTACTTCCTGTTACTTTTGTGCTTCTTAATTTTGTTCTTAAATTAATTTTAGGCTAACTACAATACATCCAGTGTTATTTTACTTCTAGCAACAGTCTTTTTCAGCTGCTGATCATTTGATGTTTGGCCTCTTCTCTTTGACAGGAGGTTTCTGTTTAACTGGACTCATGCTTTGAACGGACTGGGAATAAGAGCTTTATCTGGTAGGCTCTTGACTCACATCACATTAAATACAACAATTGTCCTCTCAACTTTTGTATTTTTTTATAACATATTTAGACATTTCATGAATTAAATGCTCAAGACATGACTTAATAAATGTGAATATGACATCACACAGTGGCAGGAGTATTTACGGGCTTGAAGTTGATTGACAGCTCTCTGGACCAGTGGCTGATGAAAGTGATGGGTGGTTTTGTCGGCTGGGAAGTTTTGTTCTTCATCCTGTTGTTTGTCAATTTTAAATGGAAGGTTCCCAGAAAAGGTAAATTCACTTTTTGTATTTTTATAATAAAAAAAATAAAATAAATATATATATATATATATATATTATTGTTGTTGTTGTTTTTGTTGTCAGTAGTAGAAGTATTGTTGCCTTGCTACCCCTCAATATCTTAGCGATGAGCAGGTACAAGTTTAAAGGCTATTCATCGAAGTGTTTTGCAGCTTCTATAAAGTGATCTATAAAACAAGGTTTAAAAGTAAAAGTAATTATATACATCTACACGAGTCTCATTCTATTAGGACTGCCAGTGCTGTTAAAATCCGGTTTATTATGGTATCTTGTATTTATGTATTTGTTTTAGCTTAACAGCAACAGTAGTTCGCAGACTCTCCCGACGAGTATTTACAGCCTAAAAAATGTTTGCTTTTAAAAGCTTGTTTAGAGACGCACCGATTTATTAAGATGTTCAAAATAAAGTAAAATGATGAATGTGATGTAGGCTATAACTAATGTGTTTTACATTTTTATGTTTGGATTACAGATACTTCAGAGTCAAAGAAGGTAAGAATGCATTTTAAAAGTCAAATATCAGAGAGAAAAACTGCCTGCTAATGTGAATTGCTTTTGTTTTGGCAGATAACACCCGATGTTCTCCTGACGGTTCTGTTCTTCTTTGGAAACTTGTCCTTTCTGGTGGCTTTACTTGTTGGAATTGGGAGGTCATAAGAAGAACCACAATGAAGCCAAATCAACCCTCAGAGGATATCTATCAACATGAATCAAACATTAGCCAGCTTGATGGACAGTTTTCTATTGTTGAGAGTTTTTCTATTTTCAAATAAAATGCTGGAATTTATTGTTTGAATGTTTAATTTGTTGGACCCCTTCAGAAAAATAGTATTTTCTTTTTTGTGTAGCTTCATTTCTTTTAAATGTAGATGGAAAGGGTTATAACTTGTAAGCATAAAAGTAAAGTCTCAATATGTATTTTACCATGTTGACATTTGACATGATTTTTGATTCAGTCACTTCTCTGGGAAGCCAGATTAGCAACTGTGTCCCCTAACCTGTATTGTTCGCGGTGTCGTGGGCTTTATGGACTTGGTGGGTACCCGGGCTGAGCGCAGACACAAGTCGGCAAACAGCTGGGTGACCGGCCGAGTCAATCGAGGCGTTCTCAAAGCAGACAACACAAGGTTGCGGTACGTGGGCTAACGCGCTTGTTGAGAGGAAACAATGTTTAGTCCGTGTTGGCCACAGACAGAGAGGGCTACAGCGGACGTCCATTAATCCCCAAATGATAGCTTCCATCCTCACAACATCACAAAGGAGAAAAGAAAACACAAGCGCTCATACGCAGGGCATAAACAGGAGAAAGGACAAGCAGTTGATACAAAACATTAGTGTGTGGCTACCTGGTGCCGTGTCTTCTGCTGTATTTCTGTTGCTCTTTGTTGATTAAGATTGACCATGAAACTCAGTCTGTGAATTGTGTCCTAGAGACAGCGCCTTCACTGTGGGCCCATGTTTGTGGTTTGAACATTTTGATTTGCACTGTTGGCCATCCACATTTATAAATTGTGAAGTTTTTCATTCTTTGGGTGTTCAGCAGGAATGTTGAACCACATTCGAAATAAAAAAATGGCTACTTTGTTGTACTTTTTAAAAAGAATTTGTTTATTATTACAGTTTACATGTATTATGGACATCAAGTTGATTAAAAAAATAAATGCACATCTGGAGTTTACCTTAAAAACATTAAGTCAGAAACAGTGAATCTATTCATTTTTATTCAGCTGCTCCAGATGAGTCTGAATCCTGAAGGCAGGGTGGCATATTGGGCTTGGAACACGATGAAGACGTGATGGGAGGAGGCTGTGAATGGAGCAATATTGGTTTCCTGAAAAAAGTCAAACAAAACAGTTGTTTTAGTGTTGAGTATTTCATTCCTAGCCGAGATACATCTAGCAGATTTTGGTCATAACTTATACTCTGCATTGTAGCAAGGGGATTTAAACATGTAGAAACCTTCTACACGTCAAAAGAGACGCTGTGTTTCTACCTCTGCCTTTTACAAATAGTGCTTTGGAGGATGACCGGTAGAAGGCACCACACATCATTTATGCGAACATATTTAGCTACATTACTTACCATGTTGTTATGTTAAAGGAGATGGGACATACTGTTCTCTTTTTGTTTCAAAGTGTACATTGAGCGCTTCATTTTCACAAATATTAAACGTACAGTATATAAATCCCACCTCCAGGAGGCTCTCAATCAAAATGACAACAAAAAGATGAGGTCGAGGCCAGCAGGGAACCATGGGAGTTTGTTTATAGTATCTGCATCCCATGTTAAAGCTTAATATGAGATGGCATTCTTGGATTACATACCAATCCACAGTAAGGTCCAACAGGCGCTGAGGAGGAGTCTGGACCATCATACAACTTCAAGAAGTTGTTCTGGCAATCACCAGGGTCGTCAATACTGATCTGGGCAAAGGTCACTGTCACCACACGACCTCTGGGTGCCTTGATGCTCCATTCACAGTGGGTACCATTGGGATAGGTGCCCGGGTAATTTGGACTTGAGAATGAGCCATGGTCTCCAAACAGAATGCCTCCACAACCTGGTGAACAAATGATTGAAGAAAAGACGTTCAGGGAAACGGAAAGCCATGAACCCTCTGTACTGTGTCAGAGCAACATTTTCAAGAGCAGCTATCTTTCTATGTGTGAATGTATGAAATCCATCACTGAATTTAAATGGACAAAAACAAACTTTTAAATAAATGATATTGTAGAGGTACACAAGGACAAAACAGCTAGCAAAGATGCTTTAAAGGCTAACTGTGGCTTTATGCATAGAAAATAACAGCATACAGAGAAAGCTTGTGGTTCAATTGGTGAGCAACTTAAAAGACATAGGAATCTAACAAACAGGGGAAGGCGTATAAGTTAGATTTTTATTTCCTAAAGGTCCCATATTATGCTTTTTCTGGTTTTAATGCTCTTTAGTGTGTTTTCCAAGTGTCCTGTGCATGTTTAGGCACATCTATGTGCAAAAATTCAAAGTCTGCGGAAACGTGGCTTCTCCTACGTCCTCCTGTTAGCTGTAGCATTAGCTGCATGTAACGCTCGGTTCTAGCCCCCCTCGATAAAAATGTGTCAGTCCAACGTCATTGTCAGTGTGAGATCACTGATCTAAGCCCATTGGCTCGTTGTGGCAAGCCCTGCAGCTCATGTTGAAATTTCCGAGACGCGTGCTGAGCAACTGACCAATAACGACAGAGTGGATCGGCAGACCAATCAGAGCAGACTTGGCCCACGTGGGGTCTAACAGTGTGGGCTCAACAGAGTGTAGCTGACGGACTCAGAGCGTAGAGGGAGCAAGGAGGAGCAGTACATGAAAACAAACACTTTTTGTCGGACTTTAGCTATTGTGAACAGAAGCAGGTACATTAAATATACGAACCCCAAGAAGGGCATAATATGGGCTCTTGAATGTGAAAAAAAGAATCCAGTGTTTTTGGACCTTGGGTAATACCACAATAAGCCTCGATCTCACACATCATTCAAGGGTTAGATACATATATTGTTCCCTTAGACATTGTTTGGCGCCTTGCTCCTAAATTCATTTCAAAGAAGAGATAAGTTCTGACCTTGAGGGGAGGAGGTCCATGTGGCCTCGAAGCCATCTCGAGCACTGGAGAAGTCGCTCTTGAAGCGGAGATAGAGTTGATTGGATTGAGGGAAGATTGGGCTTGGCACGGTGTTGCCGCAGTAACGATCAATCAGTGGCGAGTCTGCTGTACTACCATTACGGATCTGAGGGACAAAAGCAAATGTAAGGGATATCACTTGCACTTTACAGAGAATTATTAGCCAGAAAGCTCATACAGATCAGAAACATGCTCTGTTGCACATTAACCTGAGTCCTGATTGATCCGTTCACATGAGGACAGCATGATACAGGTATGCATTGAGGACACATTGAGAACTGATTACCCGGAGCCTATTTGGAGCATTTTTCAATAATAATAACAACAATAACAATAAAAATGTGCTTTAATAAACACAGAAACTTGAAGAGATTTCCTTTAAGTGAGCGAGGTATGAAAAGTGTGAAAGTGTGTGTCCATGCATGTTGCAGGTGTTTTGTTTGTCTCACCTCCAGGTAGTCGAATCCACAGTCAGTGTGGCTCTCCAGATCAAAGTTGTTAAAGAAGAAAGAGATGTAACTGTTTTGTGGTGCTTTCAGAACAATTGTGCAGTCCATGTTGTGGGGGTAGATGTCAGGCCAGCCGGGACTCTTCAGGTAGCCATATTCCTGTTCATAGGTCCTGCTGCAGCCTGGAAACCACGGACACAAACAAAGGCAGGACTTTTAACAATCAATGGCCATTGTTTGGAAACTGCTAGTTCGAGGACTTTATCATCAGGAAAAAAGGAGTCATCTTAACCTGGAAACTAATCAAAACATTTCTGCATAGAAAGTCACTAGAAGGAGAAAAAAAACATTTTTGTTACATTACCAAACCTTTCACAATTAGTTGCATGGATTTCCCAATGCTTACTGAGTGGAGAGTTGTTTATTACGTCTTGAAAAGTGAAGCTGTCTGAACTCTTTGGGTGGTGTGAAAATGATTTCTTTTAGCAGCAAGTGACTTTCCTTACATTTCCTTTTCTTATACCAAACTGTCCCATGTTTGATTGTTATTTGAAGTATTTATTAAAATAAACATTTGATTAACATTTTGGACTAAGTATGACAGGTTAACTACAGGTACTCACCAGCAATCTGTTGGGTGAAACTCAAGCCATTTCCAGCCACGAAGGCGTCAGATTTGAAGTGAATGAAGACTGTTCTGCCGTAGCTGTAGAAATCAAGTGGATGACCGTCTGATGCACAGATCTTATGTGACTGGCCGTAATCTCCCTGGAACACGAGAAAAATGTGACCAACCTCGTTCAGAATACAGCACATATTACAATTCTGCTCATTTTGATGTTTTCCTCTTTAGTTTCAATATTTTGTTAATCTCAGTGTTTAGAATTCATTTCCTGTTTTATTTTGTATTGTTCTTCCCTCATGTTGTTTTGAACCCTGTGTATTTTCTGTTCATATTCCTGGTTTAAGTTTCCAGTCCTTCCTGTTTTATTTTCTCATTTGTATCCTCACAATTCTTTTTCCCTGGCTAGTCTGCAAAACCAGATGACAGACTCATATCTGACTTGACTGAGCTTCAAAATCAATACGTTTTAGTTGACTTAGACGTCTTTCTTGAGTGGAACTTTTTATTTTTATCTTGCCAAAAAGCTGTGCTGAATTAAGAATCCCACTGTTAAACTAATGTGCTCCTCGAAGCCTCAAATTGCTCATAGTGTTTCCTTTTCTTAAAGTTACTTCAATCTGCTAATCTAAAGTCTATTTCAGGCAGATATTTCTATTTAACATGAGTTTCCATAAGCAATACATTTGAATTTATGGACACTATTACAAGAAACATGTTAATTTTCTCTTCCAACTTTGACCAAGTTTATTTTCTTTAAATACATTTTTTTCACGGTGGGTTCCATTGTGGATAAATGAGTTTAAGGTAGAAACTGGTTAAATCCCCATCTCTATTTGGTAATATCTCAGGGATCTACTTTAAGTAATGTGAAATTACAGTACATCAGTGTATTGTACGTTTTTCTTTCTATAACAAACCACCCTGTGCTCCAGTCCCTGTCTGAACTCACCACAGGCCAGTCCTTTATCTCCAGGTAGTTGGATGAGCAGCTCTGGCTGGGCTGGAGGACGAACGTTTGGAATGACACTTTGACGGTCTCCTGTGCGGGAGCATCGAGGATCCAGCGACAGGAGGTGTAAGAGGGATAGGCACCGGGGAAACTTGGTGATGTAAAGGTCTGGACGCTGGTTGTGGCATTCATAGTCCCACCACAAACCACTGAGGAAAGGCACACACATGGAATCAAAAGACAGACCATCATGATCACCTGAACAATCCCAATGGAGTCGAGACATTTAAAAATACTTCTATAGCATACTGAAAACATTGTGAGCTAATCACTGCTCAGAGGACATGAGCAGATTCTGCAGACAACAATCCCAAATTGACACAAAAATAGAAATAACATTTCAGTATTCCAATATGGCAAATTGGCTTGAACAACTGGCCAATTTTCAAAGTTCAAAGAGTTATCTGTGTTTCAATGTTAGCTTTGTCGCAGTAAAGTACATTCAAGCCACAAGTTTAGATGGTATATGTGAATTTCAACACCATCATGTGGTGGGTCAGTATTTATATTGAATGAACTAATTGGTGTTAGTTTTCAGATGAAAATCAAGCCTAGTGTAGTGGAGAAAGAAGAGAAAAAGTCTTACATGGCATAGATCTGTAGGTAGCATTGAAGCCTTGTCTCTGGACTGAGCTGTCAGTGATAAATTGGATGGTAAGGAAGTTTCCGGCTGACACAAAACTTGAAGGGATGGTGTTTCCACAAAATGTCCCAACCAGAGGGAAATTGATGTTGTCTCCATCATACACCTGGGTTCAAAAAAATACAAAACCATTAAGAGACATTCAAAGAACAATAGATAATCTATTATGTCATAGCACTAATGTCCTTAACCTCAAAAAAGAAAAAAAATTATGCCATATCTCCTGCCTACATTTTATGTTTGATGTCCATTTTGTCCAAAAACAAATCTAACTATTATTATTAATACATTTTTTTAGTTTATTTTACAATTTCAGATAAAGAATCTTTTTTACGGGAGTGTCCTGAAGCAGCACATGGGAACAAACTTACAGACATACATCACATAAAAAATGACACAACACAGGTCATCATCATATCCATGGACCCAGAGCAGAAAGTCCTTATATCTACAGTCTTCCTCCAACACCTTCAGTCTACTCTTAAAAAGATTTAAAATGACCAGCTTCCCCAGACCCAAACCCTCCTGTAGCAGATTCTAAGTCATAGGAGCAGCATACCTGAAACTCATTTTCCCCATTCTCTCCAGACCCACTTGAGGAAAGCGAAAACTGTGGCTTCCAACATACAGTATTTCAAATGAATAAAAATCAATGTTGGAGGCAAGGAAAGAATTGCCTCATAGATACCGTAAAGACGTGCTGATGATTGTGTGCGAGTGTTCAATGCAGGTCAGTCAACTTGAGCACACAGCGTAGAATGACGAGTTTAGGGCCTTGAGTTAGTTATGAACCTCAGAGCACCGTGGAATGATCACTTCATGACATTTGATAGAACAGCATTTCACCAGATGTAGAGACCAGGATGTGTGCACTTCTCCACTAATTACTTTAAATTACTTTTCTAACAAAATATCAAAGCACAGCTCAACATTGGATAATAGTCAGTGCTCAGTTGAACTATGTTAATATCACAATATATTGACCTTATTTTTTCCAATAAAAGTTGAAATTGCTGTGGGTTAATTACTTTGACGTAGTCGTAGCGGCAAGTCGAAGAGCTCTCAAGAGCGAAGGAAGTGAAGGTCAGATTGATAACCCTGTTAACCGGCATCTCAATGGTCCACATGCAGTCCATCCTGGGTTCATAAGTCCCATCAAGGTTTGGATCTGGAGAACCAAGCATGCCCATGGGCATGGACAGATACCCACCACATCCCTGTGCTGGACCTGCAGGTAAATCAGAGACACAGTTATTAACCACCTTTTAATACTAGCTTGTTATGACTTAGAAAACAGTACATGTACGTATGTATACATGAGTTTATATATTATGTTTATCTTTTAGGTGCAGAAAAGGATTATGAGAGGTCTTTCAATGTTAGCTAAAGCGATCTCTGAGGAGGAGTTTATATTCAAGTAATGGGATCATCAAAGACATTTAAAATCCATTAGGCCGCTATGCCAACCACTATTATGGGAAAACAAATCTTTGTAGAATTGCAGGTTAGTCTGTTACAACTCAGTGATCATTATGCTTGTGCTGTAAACAAATGTTGTAAGCTATTTTATCTTAAATGATTGTTTTAAACACAGTTACATTCACCTACCTAGTGTCTCAGAGTAAACAGCCCTCCAGCCAATCCCATTGACAGAGGCATCAGTGCGGAAAATGATGAACAGCTGGTTGGTGGACGAGCGCAGATCTGGTGGCAGCGCTGTACCACAAAATTTCCCCAGCAAAGGTGCCAAGGAGTCCTGTCCATCGTACACTGCCACGTAGTCATAGCGACAGGAAGAAGATGCCTCCAGGTGAAAGGTGTTAAACCTGTAAACACAAATAGACTTAAAGAAGAGCCTAAAAAACATGAAATCAGCTTTAGAGCGCTTTCATACAAAAATACTGATTCATAGTCACATATTTACTCAGCACTAGAAGGACACAAGTGAAAAACCCCTGTTGGAACTACGGCTCCATGAACTTAAGTATATCATCATCCTACATATGTGAATTAGGGGAAAACATGGTTGTACACAATAAGATATGGTTATGTCAATGTATCAAGAAAGTAATGGTTTGGGACCCTGGCTTGCAAACCAGTTTCAGAAGATTTTTTGGGGAGAAAGGACATTTTTTGAAAAATATTTCATGAGATTTGTATGAATTTCAGATGTTCATATGATTAAATTAATACATTTAACATGACATTGCTTCTCAGCAGGGAGAGAAACATCATTAAACTACAACTGCTACTGCAATTAGTTAGCTCAGCAAAAGAGGATTACGGTAATTCAAATCAGAAAGGCTGACACAGAATGCTGGGTATTTCAAAAACAGATGGAACGAGGGGTATTTCTTTTGTCTTATTTGATTATAACAAGCAGCCTAATATTATCAGAGCTAAAGGACTGACCCACAGGCGCAGAGCTGCACTGAGTGCTCTCCAGACAGAGTTGTCAAAGTTGCTTTGCAATAATGATTGGACCTTGAACTGTGATCAAACTGCCTCAATGTGTTTCTCAGTAAAAGAAAAGTAAATGAAAACTAAATCAACCTGTTTGTTTGAGAAAATATTTTTTAATGCCTGAGACCGAATTACCCCAAGATGACAGCATTTGCATCAAAGACACTCTGTATGATCGAGAAAAACAACAACGGAAACACGTCCTTACAGCACAGTCGTCTGACACACACACACACACACACACACACACACACACACACACACACACACACACACACACACACACACAACTGAATGACATAATTAGAATGCTACTGCTCGTAAACTAGTTTTATTGTCTTTCATTGTAACAATAAAACATGTCAGCTGTCATTTTTCAAATACTAAAAACAATCTATACTGGTTTCCCTTCTTACAGCTTACTTCACTAATGTACTTTTGGTTCTAGTCTGGTGAAATTGGTGCAGCTATTGCAGTCTTACTTGAGATCCAGCACCCTGTTTGGTTGAACCATGATGTGGTAGGTGCAGTTGATGTTGTGGTGGTAATTGACCACGGAGAGGGCAGGGCTGCCCACTGTACCCATCGTGCTGTTGAAGAAACCACCACACGCTGTAGAGACACACACACACACACACACACACACACACACACACACACACACACAATGTGAAAGTGAGTCTTATAACTTCACTTCATAATTTGACCATAAAAAGGAGAGTGATTCTTTAATTCACATTTTCTTATGTGCATATGGCTTAAAATGCCAAATTGAACGCAGAAGATAAACTTAAATATGCAACTTCACCTTTATATTCAATAAGTTGTGCTTGAAATTCAAATAATTAACATTGTGCACATTGCTTGGTCAAACTATCTTTGATGTTTGTAAATGCCAAAATTAACATAAAATGAATGGAATAAAAATAATGTTTCTTCATGTAAGAATAACAAATAATTATAGCAATTTTCAAGTTGTTTGTGGTTACGGCAAATCTTTGATGGCTATTAAAGTCAATTATATTTACTGATGTTTACTTACGTATGGCTGTGTATTCTGCCAGGAAGCCCCTGTGGGTGACCACAGAGTCAGAGTAGAAGTTAAGTAACATGGGGCCAAAGGAGGTAAACGGCCCTGGAATACTGGTACCGCACAAAGTGGCAACAGCAGGGCCACTAGAGGCCAGGTTGTAGATCTTTAGGCCATCATACAGACAGGTAGAGTGTGCTAGAAAACACAGAAACATTGTGATTTCATTTAAAGGCACAGTGCGTAAGTGTAAAGTGTATCTTTGTTTAGAAAACATTCATTTACAAATGAATTTAGAAAACATTCATTTACAAAAAGGAGACAGGCCGATATTGTGATCACAGTAAGATTCTTGAATTGCATGAAAAGTGAGATTTGGGCCAGTCATAGTCACTGTTAACTGCTGTGGAAGTTCAAATTAACAGGAAATCACAGTCAACACAGAGAACTGCCTGAAACTGCCAGGAGTTGCAAAAGGTTGACAGTATACTTTTACCAATACAAACACTTACCTTCTAATTGAAAAGTCTGAAAGGTGAGGACAACCACAGTCTGCTCTCCAACATTTATGGTGTAGTTGCAGTTGGAATTGTTAGGGTAGTCAGCTGGATAATTTGGGGAAACCACCCGGCCACTTGAAGCTGTGAAGTTTGCGCCGCATCCTGATGAAAAATGCATACAAATATTCATACTACATTTATTTATTCAATTTTCGACCCATACAAGTGTCTTTTTTTGGAGCAATTTTCTCTGCATTTGTATGGATGAAAGTCAGTTCTGTCTTTTTTTCTATAACAAAGTTTTCTTGGCTGTTTGGTTCTTACTGGTGATGAAGGAGGCTGAAAACCCTTTGCCCTGGGCTCCAGTGGCCTGGAATCGGCTTGTAATGGTATTATATGGAGCAATGACTGGGGCTGGGGCCACAGAGCCGCAGTGTGTTGACAGCAGAGCTTCAGTATTTTGGGTCTGACCAGACCATACCTACAAGAAAATGCATATTGGTTCAATTGTCGCCAAATGGACATTATTTAGGTACTTACTATTTCTAAAAGAGCGAAAAGCCAACTTTGCACATGGCTTTTTTAAACAATATGAAAAAGCAACATAACTTTATGGCATCACAATACCAAAGCATCAGGTAAATGTTTCTCAAATCAATTGAATAAACTACCTAGTTTCACTGTGATGCCTTACACCAATGATTACAATTTGAAGGACTATCTTGCAATACCCAAAATGTGTACCATTAGGCTACCACCGGCTGGATTACTTGTTACTTGTTCAGGCATACTAGCTCTTAGCTTTTGCATGCTACCATCTATGTTTTGCTTCTGTGGTTGGTACAAGGCAGTAGCTGTGACAGCTGTTCATACACTGATTTAGTTCCATGAAAAATTCCATCCCACGCTAATTGACTAAAGCAAATGCCCTTTGAGCAATCCAAGACACATGAACAAACCAACTTGATGTTGAGCTTTGTATTTTGGAGATTTGCTGCTGTGATTAGGAAGATTAAAGTTTAGCTTTTAGTCCAATGGTGTCAATCACCAAGATTTTGCTTTGGTTTCACTAAGTTACTAAGTGGTGTGACCGTAATAAGGAACTGCATTCTATATTTCTTTTCTAACATTTGAACTTGTGTCTCGTGTAACTTAATGCTAATACCTTGATAAAGCTGCTCTGGCAGCTCCCAGTGCTGTCTGGAATCTCAAATTCACTGTTGAAGCTCATTTCCAGGTGGTTTCCCTCATGAGCAATAATCTGCCAGGAGCACTCCACATTGGCAGGGAAGTTCTGGGGATAGTTTGGAGACTTGATTGTTCCTGTATCAGCATGGATCACTCCTCCACAGCCTGTACGAAATCAACAAATGTGACTAACCAGACAAATAAAGAACAGAAATGTTCATTTAGCGAGTGTAAACCTACCTGACGAATCAGAAGACCAGGAGGCAACAAAGCCTCCCCTTGACACACTGTGGTCTGCCAGGAAGACTACAGCAAGCTTGTTGGATCCTGACTTGATGGTTCCTGGGGAGGTCGCCCCACAGTACTGACCAATAATGGGGGAGCCAGGGGATCCACCATTGAAGATTGTGACAGAGTCCCAGGTACATTTAGAGTGGTCCTCCACGTTAAAATAGCTGAAGGTTAGCTGCAGTAAGACAAACGATATGGAAAGGACATTTTTACAGCTAAGATGCTACAAAAATGTGAAACAACCTGAGCAATATCCAAACAAACAGTGATTTCTTAATCAGCAACTTAAATTAACAGCCACACTCAAATTCTTCATATTTCATTAAGAATGTGAGGATAACTAATAATTGGACTGAGGCCATCAAAGTGTGCCCATATACTGAAAAGATCTTGTTAGCCCAAATTAAAGCTCCAATCATAGTATCCCTCTGCTTTTGCAATGTAAACCTCCCACTACTCACAATGGCAATTTGTGTGCATTAAAATGCCACTCATTAAAAAAAGATGTCTTCAGTTAGAGATGGTCCATTTTTATTTAAATACAAGATTATGTCATTCTGTAGATTGTCAGTTTGCCTTGCTATTCTTGCGGGGTAAAAACCCATAAAGACTTTACAGTATTGTGATGAGAACAAATACGTTAAAAGACAGTCCATCATCGTAAACTCCTCCATCGTAAATGTGTTGAATTTTCCAACGACGTGGCCATTGGTGCCAGGTTTATAAACTCACCGTAATTGTGTGACCTGCTGGAGCCTCTAGCAGCCAAGCACAGCGACTGGGACTTGGGTAGGTGCTGGGGTAATTAGGACTGGATAACGCGCCTCCCTCTCCTGTTTGCAATCCTCCACACTCTGCAAAATTGGATTAAACCCACAATTAGAGATGAGACAAACTTCTATCACATAGTCAAGTATATCATGATGTAGTTTCTTACCAGAGAACAAGTATTTGGCCTTGAAGCCCAGGTCTCCCTGGGAGGCATCTGTCTGGAAATGGACCCAGAGCTCTGGGGTAAAGACCACAATTGGAACTGTGGGGGTGGTCTGCCCACAAAACTTTGCCAACATTTCGCCATTTGAATCACCTGGGGGAGAAAGGTAGGAAGACAAAAACAAACAAAAACAACATAAAGTATAAATCCATCCATATTTAGGGTCCAAGCAATGAAAGGGTGAGAAAGCCCTTTTGGGACCCTTAGGCTTTTTGTTCTTTAGCCAGATTAATAGTATTTTTGGAGGCATGAACATGCCCCAAAACTCACCAAAATGTTGACCTTTTGTGAAGCATTGTGAAAAAGTGCCATTGAGATAACATACAATTTTATATTCTTAGCCTCTAACATCTAACCCAAACAAAGAGTTTTTGAACTTGAAATTAAACTGTCAGCTACGGACAACTTAAAGATCATGGTCACATTTAGACTCTCAGTACACTACTTTATGAGCAAATTATTCCAAGACTCCTGATCTGACATCTATGTGTAGTTACTTTCATTAGTGCATCCATAGCCAATGCAATCTGTGTGGAACTCACCTAAGCGAAACTGGAGGTAGTCTGAATCGCAGGTCTGGTGGTTCTCCAGGTGGATATCTTCTATCAGTACCACAATAGAAGAATTGATGTGATGATGGTTCCTGATTATCCACTCACAGTTGAGGTTGTCGCTGTAGTTGGACACGAGGTACCCAGGGGAAGTGAAGTTCCCACCGGCAGCGTTGGTCAGTTCTCCACCACATACTGAAAGATGGCAACATCAAAATGTCGGGTCACAAAGACGGCGACAGACAAATTAACAAGATAAAAAGACAGAAATGACAAATATCCAATTTAATGACAGAAACGTTGGAGAAGATATTTGTAAGTTTTAACCTAGCATAAATTTAGATTTGTGGACTTGAGTAACTGTAATTTCCTCAAAATGAGGGAAATAAGGACTTTCATAAGCAAAAGTCCATTTGTAAAAGTACTGTATATATCTTGTCATCTGTACACTGCAGAATGTTCAGGCACATGCAGAAATATATTTTAACATTTTTTTCATTGGCAAAACATTCTTCTTTTTTTTTCTTTGATGGATAATTTGTATTTTTTTGGCTTTAGGTGGAAGTTTAGTTTGACTTTCGTCTAAGGTATCATCAAACCTGCAGGTTCCTGAGACGAGTACGAAGCTGTAAAGCCCCCATTGGAAACAGAGGAGTCCGTGCGGAAAATGACAGTCATGGTGTTGCCGGAGGAGCGCACTTCGGTGCCTTCTGGTACGGTACCACAGAATCGTTGTAGGCGAGGGGCATCGTCAGCTAACCCATTCCTTACCTAGATGAAGAAGAAGAAGAAAAAAAACTGTCATGGAGACTAGGTTGCTGTGTCTGAAGCAAGACAGCAACAATAACAAGATCAAGTCTCCCATTTAAGTATTTGAGTAGGTTTTGTTCAGGTTTAACTGTTGAATTAAACGGTGCAGTGATAAATTAACAGTCAAAAATGACAGCATCAAATAAAAGTTCAGCATGAATCTACTTGATTTATAATGCTGTGTTGTGACAAGAATAAAAGAAAAAAAACATGCGTCACTTAAGAACTTTTCTTCACTTAGTTCCTGTAAAATCTAGAGTGAATTCAAATTCTCCTTTCTCATTTAAAAAAAGGGTCTTCATTCTCAGACACCATTACAGTTTGGAACCTGAGCGAGTTCCCTACCACCTGACTGGAATCCTTAATTCAGGGTAACTTGTTCCTAAAGTCTCCAGAAGTAGAATGGGAGTCACAGATGTTAGCTCAGTAGCTCCTCTCCTGTGGTAGAGGTGTTAAGACTCGGTCACGTCTCTATGTCAAACTTGTATGTACTTCTGCATATTTATTTCCAGCTCTGTACCGAACACGTTAAGGCAGAAAGTCGTCCACCAAGAGCCAGCTGAAGATCTAGATTTCTGCTTGATTAAGAGAGTTTACAAACCCTGGTGCCGTATTCTTAGGCATGGTGGAACACAGCCATGACCTGTGTTCTGTTGGGTAATCTAGTAATTGCTAAATATTTCATATAATTGGTTAACCAAATCACACAGAGCAATAACACACCAACACTGAATAGTGTCTAACCTTGCTGATAGGCCTGGATTTTTATCAGTTCTTGTTTTTTATTTATTTAAATCTGGTGGTTATAGCTGGTTTCAAAAAAATACTAGATATAGGTACATATTGGTAGAATGGGACTCACTTCAACGTAGTCATATGTACATGAGGTACCAGAATCTTCCAACCGCAGATCGTTGATGGTGAGTGTTACCCGGCGACCTGGCAAAACAACTATGTCCCAGCGACACACTCGGCTGTGTGGGTAGAGGTTGGGGTAGTTGGGAGAGGAGATAGTTCCTGAAGGAGCGTTCAGCTCTCCTCCACAGACTGTTGTAGGAGGAGTGAAGCAGAGACATTTTTTAGTAGCAAAATTTGCTGTCAGCCTACAACAAAGTAAACATTTATCTGACTGAGAGTAAATACGGGGCCAAATAATGTAACACACTGAACATGAAAATATGAATGGCAAGGTCAGACAACTAAAGAAAGGGCCAGTAACAGCCAAACTGCAAGCTGTGAGCAAAGATGAAAACGGGAAAAAGGAAACTGAATGTCATGAAACGAAAATGAAAATGATCATACCTTCAACACTGGCTTCAAATGTCAGACTGAAGCCAGCTGCATTTCCACTGGTGTCACTGACAAACCTGACGTAGGCAAAACTGTCAGACGTATCCAAGGCAGCTGGAAGGTTACTGCCACAGTGTCGGCCGAGCAGGCGCCCTACACACACACACACACACACACACACACACACACACACACACACACACACACACACACACACACACACACACACACACACACACACACACACACAGTTATTTCATATACAAGTATAAATTAAACTGCCATGATGTCATCCTACTTATGTGTTTGACATTTATCAAAAAAAATCAGGAACTCTTGTTCTTCCATTATTTTCGATTCCTTCTTACACTTTGGCTGTAAATGCACACAACATTTTTTTTTATGTATGTATGACATTTAACAGTGGGATACATGTAAGCACTACAACATACTGTTTCAGAATTTCAATCTCTACGATGAACAATTTGTACACACAGGTAATCATGTTTAATGTTCTCAAGGTTATTTGATTAAATGTAAACGTGTGCTGGCTCTTTAGACACAAACATGTGGATGAGTGATTCTCTAGTTTCCTCACCTGAAGCGTTGTAATCTCTTATCTCCACATAGTCAGCAGTGCAGCCTTGAGTTGTCTGCAGGCTGAAGCTCTCATAAGTAAGGGTAAGGTAGTGTCCTGTGGGACCCTCCATGTACCACTCACAGTTGGAACTGTCGGGATAGTTGGAGTCTGGAAAGCCGGGACTGTGGACTGTTCCCCTCTGACCAATGTATGTACCTCCACATGTTGCTGTGAGGAATTTAAGATGCAAAATTAAAGTAGGGCCAGTGCATACCTGCAGGATATGCACTTTGCTTGTTAGGCCCAGCATGTCATAATGTACAGTAGATCCATTATCCAAAAACCAAACCCTGGGCTCAGAGGTTTGGAATAATCTTTTGAATGTATGTGATGACGGTGGTTTCTCCTACCTATTGAGTACTTTGCCTTGAAGCCTTTGTGCGTGAAGCTGGTGTCAGTTCGAAACCTGAGCAGCATCGTGGAACCTGTTGAATGTTGGGTAGATGGTCGGGTGTTGCCGCAGAGACGGGAAATCAAGTCAGCATTTGAAGTGGAGCCATCACGTACCTCCAAGTAGTCGTACATACAGCTGAGGAACACATTAATGAATACATATGTACATCAAATGTGAAGATCATTATCCCAGGGTTTCTTCAACTGGCCTATGACATGTCATTTAAAGTCTCTAAAATATCAGGGAGTTGTTACACAAACGTGTGAAGGGTTTAATTGTTAACATATAGGCTGTGCTTTTATATAAAAAGGATAGAAAACTTGCATTCTTGGCAAAACAAAATGCAGAATGTGTTCAATTTCCCCAAATTGTACAGCTGTTGTTGTTGTTGTTTAATCCATGAAGCAATGAGAAGTTTTGAATGTAAAAATGAACAGGCTCAAAGAAGAATTAGCTGCAAACCTGCTAGAGGATTCGATATAGAAATCATCCTCAAAGTCAATTTGGACAGCTTCTCCATTTGGTACAGTTATGACCCAGACACAGTCGATGTTCTGGGGGTAGTTCTGTGGATAGTTAGGTGAAGTAATAAAGCCGGGAGGATCGTTATCATTCAGCTCAATGAAGCCCCCGCAAGCTGTGGAAACAGAGAGCAAGAGAAATGATAAGGAGAGAGGAGAGAAGAGGAGCAGGAGAAGGAGAGGAGGAGAGGAGAGGAGAGGGCGTTAATACTGGATCGCCAAAAATTGTGGGTTTTTTTGTTTTTTTTACATTGAGAACAAAGCAACTTGTTGATTTTGCATTCTTAATATTATATAAGGCATACTTATTATAAAAGTATAAAACCTGCGTATTTACTCAAAAACCGCCTGCTTGTGCTTAGATTAGCTTTGTTTCTGCTAACAATATGTGACTGTCTCAGATATAATGTTTTTTCTGCTTCAACTCTTCTCCTCTCACGCAGAGCTAGGGTTTCCAAACGTTCCTTAAAATACTTAATTGTTCTGAAAACCTTGAAACAAAAAGACGTGTTCCTCATGGAACCGATAAAGAAAGTCACTTTGTTCCGTATCTCGCTGCAGTCTCTCTCTCCCTCTCTCTCTCTGATACAGACAGCGACAAAGATCTCTAGCTCTCTCCTTCTATTGCACGCTCTCTCTCTCTTTCTCTCTACTGTCCTCTAATGTCTTCTTTTTATTGCTTTCAACAAAATCAAAAAGGAATAAAAGGAAGAAATACACTGCAAAAAGGAGTGGATGTTGTACCTTGACTGTGGGCTTCAAAGGTTATTTCAAAGCCACTGGCCTCAATGGTGGCGTCAGATACAAAGTGTATGAAGAGGTGATTGTCAGTAGTCTGGAGTGGAGAGGGCGGACTCGAACCACAGAGTCTTCCCCCAAGAAGTGGAGACGAACCATCCGGGCCATTTCTGAGCTGCGGAGACAGAAGTGAATGTAATAAACAGGGGCTGTAACCACAAAGCATCCTAAATACAGAAAGTTTCTCCTGGTGACAAAATTCTCAGAAAATCATCGGAATCATGATATTTTCTGAGAATTTCCCATAAAATTAAGGACTAGAGCCTAGTGCATCCGATCACTATGATTGGGCCCAATCGATTTCACTGTCCTTCCATGGCCATTATCACCAAGGCCTAGTCCACATGTAGGCGGGTACTTTTGAAAACGCAGGTTTTGGCCCTTCGTACACACGCAAACTGCTGAAAAAGGCACCTTTTGGAAAAATCCTTACAGGGTGAAGATTTTCAGAAACTCTGTTTGAGGTGTTTATGTGCAGACAGGGAGTTTTGGGCTTGTAACATCACACTGTGAGCAGGTTTCTCCTCCTTCTTTATGTGTTATAATGCGACGCTGTCACTTATAACATAACCAAATGAATGCTGGTGTTAACGTTGCTAACTGGACTTTTTACAAACTTACACATACATACACAGTTGCTCTCCCACTATGTTGACGCCTGAATGGACAACTTTCTAAATGAAACGTCATTATGATGTACAGATCTTGAGTATTACATATTGTTTACCTCCACATAGTCTCCTGAGCTGCATTCTGTCCCATAGCCTTGGATTTGGAAGGGGCTCTGGAAGCTGGCAGAAACTCTAAAGCCAGGTGTCACCATCACATGCCAGCTACAGTCCTGACCAGACGGATAGTTCTGGGGGTAGTGGGGACTGCTCAGGGTTCCCCTGTCTACATGCAGGAGACCACCACAACCTGGAAATACATGTTTTATGGTTATTGTTAACTTAACATGTAGTTCAAAGTTGAAAGTAAACGTCTTCCTGCTTAAATCCCACAGCTCAATGAGTTATTTGTGTTCAAAAAAGACATTATGTTTGTCACTACACGTCTTAGTTATAACAAATTAACAATGATAGCTACAGGTCTAAAATGTCCCCCAGCAGAGCACACCTAGGCTGTTTATTTAATTCTCCTCACAAGGCAAACACCCTGAAACACATTCTGTTCCTTTTGCGATATTCAATCCCTTACAAGCATTGTTGTCAGGGCTTCAACAAATGTATTTTAAATATTTGGTTACTGTCCTGCATTGAAGTGAGTGACAAGGCCTTGCCCCAGAAGAAGAACTTAAGTCTTTCAAAGTATTTCCACTCATTTAACTAAAATCTTCAGAGACAAATAAATGGTGATTCAAATATTGAATGATTCATTTGCATAACGGAGGTTGGTGTTATAATGACTGTGCAGGGTTTGCTACTATGTGATATATTTTCATGGGTCCCAGAATATGGAGAGACACCCCTGCCCATTGCGATAGCTATCTTCTGGATATGATGTTTAAAAAAAAAAAAAATGACTCATGTAATGACTCATGGGCTGAACTCTTTCCTGGTGTGAGTGAGTGAGTGAGTGCTTCATGTTTTCCCGCTGTGAAATCATCAAGTTCACGAAGGCTCTGATGGGACTTTACAAGGACAAAGATATATGTGATTGACTGGCCCTCCACCAAATGTAAATACATGTTTGAGGGAAAAGTCCAGTAAGTAATATGTTGCCTCGGTTATTACTTTTGTGGTGATTTAAAACATGTTGTCTGTGTTTTTTAGTAAAATCTTCACAAAGCATGAATATTTGGTTTTTTTTAACTTTAAATTGTTTAGATACAGACTATAATGAAAGGAGGTGGGCTTATTTCTCATTATATAAAGGCACATTTTGTTTCAAGGCAATGTGTGGGGTCATGATAGTGTGTCCCATTACTCGTTTTTTTGTATACCATCACATCACCTCATGGACTCATGCACTCCTATATTGCATACCAGTGCTTAGGGTTTAGAGTGGACATTGGAACTGGGCCATCATGTGCTTTGTTTTTCCATTAGGTATTCTCCATCTGCCCTGATTGAGTATAAAAACAATGATTGTGGTGCAGAAGTTAAGGCTCTTTCCCTTGGCTTTAGTTTATTCATGTTTTACCTCTTCCATGAAGATCCTTCTAGATACTATTTATGGATTACACAAAGACATACATGAATGTGGTCTGTCTATGATTGATGGATGTTTTTGTTAAAAGCAAATGTAAACAGAGAGAGTGCTTCTGGTGCACTACCTTTGGAGTAGGATGCATTAAAACCTCTTCCACTAACGATGCTGTCTGAGGAGAAGTGAATGTACATGGAGTCTCCTGTTGAGTGAAGAGAACCTGGAGGATCCCGACCACACACGCTGGCAAGAACTGGGGAGAGACTTGATGCCCCTGAGAACGAAAAAAAACAAAAAAAAACTCACAAACATGAACCAAAAAGATATCACAAATGGAAAGAAATGCACACATACATAAGCATCATCTTCATAAAACACATGTCAAGCAATTAAGCAGAAAAGCCTTTAGATTAAAATGTCCTCAAGTTAATAAAACACATTTCAATCAGGTGTATCCAAACATTTGACTGGTACTGTATATGTTTATGTCTTACCGTCTCTGATGACAAGGCTGTCAAAGTAGCAGGTGGGGTAGTCCTCCATATCCAGAGACAGGATGTTAAACTCTACAGTTGAGTCTGGAGAGCGTATCAGCCAGGTACACTCTTGGTTTTCAGGATAGTAATCAGGCCAGCCAGGAGAGAAAAGGAAGCCAGGAGTCTCCCCTGGCATTAGCAATCCCCCACAGTCACCTGACACATGCAACAGAAGAGCATGAAGTCATGAGAAGTCAGCCATGAGATCATTTATTTTCTTACATACATACACACATTACTGCAAGACTTAAAGGGATATTTATTTTTTGGTCAGACCTGGTGTGATAGTGGGTGGGGGTCCAGAGTCCTGGACAGCAGTCCATTCCACAAGAAAGCCTCGTCCTCCCACCACTGTATCTGACGTGAACTGCAGCGTTACAGCGCTTCCAGAACTTCTAAGAGGAGGGGGCAGGGCCAAACCACAGAACGTCCCAATGGGGTAGTAATGGACACTAGGCCCATCAAATATCTGGAAGGAAGCAAAGGGATGAGGTACATTTTTATTAAGGGACACCGATTTGAGCTCTCATTGCCATCACCTGGCTCTCACTGTCAAACAAAATATTGGAATTACTCGACGCCGCGATTGTGACATCATACAATCTTACTTTGAGATGGTCGTAGTAGCAGTCATACAGGTCCTCTATGTCTATGTCCAAGAAGCGAATCTGGACGAAGCTGTCTCCCTCCACAGTTATGGTCCAGCGGTAGTGGGAATTCATGGGATATGTTCTGGGATACAGTGGGGATGCTATCTGCCCAAACTCCCCTGTCACGTCGTTACCATACACTAAGAGAAAAGGGAAAAGACGGCGTTGGATTCATGCATTTCTCTCTACATTATTTGAGGGATTTCTGAAATGTTATCAAGGAATAGATGAAGAAAAATGGTTTGCTGTACAAATTTTAAACCTGGAGCTAGATTGTCAGGGTTGGTATAAAGAGAGTTGGCTGTAGGTCCCTCGCCTTTCTCACAGAGTTAAACAATTTTTTTGGTTTTGTTCTCTAGTTTTAACACTTAATTAATTGTTTTATCCTAACATGTATTAAGGAAGTACATGTGCCATTATGCTGCAGCATCATGTTTGCTAAGTCATGTTTTTTGTACAACTTGATCAACAACCTTCAGTAGCTTATAAAAAACACTTTTTTGGACTCTGGTATGTACATTTTCATCTAACCCTAAAATTCAATAAGATACTGATGACATATTTATTGTTAAAGAAACTAACTGTAGAAAAAACTATTACTGTTCATTTGAAGGTAGGCTATGCAATTTATTTTGGATGCACTTTTGGTTGAAATTCACCTCGAATCCCAACAGCTCGTCTAAACTGTAATCATTTCATTTCATTAGGACCAAATACAATGTAAGGTACTCCTGCCTGTCTACCTACACACCTTCCCCGCATGCTCTCTTCCTGTGAACCTGTTGCACATTATTTAAATCTTCTACAAGCTAAATATAGCTAGCTAGTTTCACAGAAATGGCATGGAAAATGTATAGCCACAAGGTGCAAGTAGTTACAATAGCGCATACACTACTCTAATATAAATGTTCTGATTTCTGCACACAGAAATACTCACAGTGTGAAAAGGTGGCTCTGAATCCTGCTCCGCTGACAGATGCGTCAGAGACAAACTTAACCCACAAGATGTGACCAATCACAGAGGTGTAGTTGGAGGGAAGCGAGTTTCCACAGAAGCGCCCAACAAGAGTCCCAGTAGAGTTGCCTTCTCTGATTTCCAGGTAGTCATTTTGGCAGCCATTGTCTCCCTGAAGACTAAAGATACTAAACAAAACACAAGGAGGCTAATATTAACACATGTTCATATGGTATCATCAGCCATATAGGCACTAAAACAAGTGTGAAACATGCAAATGCTTGAACAGGGAATGTTGTCATCTCTTAATAACAACTGCACATAAAGCCCAATAGGGTTTTTTAAAACCCATTTCCAGTAAATTCAAATAAGCTTAAAAGAGGCCAGCAAGACCGGGTGGGAGGGGGGAAAGAAAAAGTCTGAAAATTAAGCAAAAATAAGATTATTTTTAGGAATGACCAGAAAATGAATCAGTAAAATAAAGCTAACATTGAAAATAGTTGTTTTTGTTTTATAACCTTAAAGAGATGGTTATTTTCTAAGAATCTTACATTAATCTATTTTTGAGGACTTGCTTATTCTCTCTATTGTTTTCTGTTGTAAACAGAATAATTCAAAGACTTCTGCACTGCTGGCTGTTTAAAACAAATCATCCAAAGACGGCACCATCGGCTCTGGGACACTGAAGACGGTCAAGGGTTGTGGGATACAGAAAAAGCAAAGACTCTCCGCGCTGAGATTTACGCACATAAATGAGAGCTGCAGACGGTTCCCTGGTGAGCTCCTGATGGTCCACACACACTCCACATTGGAGGGTAGGCGTCTGGATAGTTGGGACTGTTGAATGCACCACTTTCCATCACCAGATCTCCTCCGCAGCCTTAGCAGAAAAGAATGAGCTTTCTTGAGATCTTGTGACAAGGAAAATAATGACTTGAACAGTGTTTGTGTCTCCAGTTAATACTTTGAGCAGTATGTCACAGTGCAGCTTACTGGAGGTGGATGCTGAGTAGGTGGCTCTGAATCCTTTTTTGGAGACAGAGTAGTCGGAGATGAAGTTGACCACCAGAGAGTTACTGAAGGATGTAACTGGATGAGGTATTTCAGAGCCACAGTAGGTACCTGACAAAAATGTCACATGTTTTTATGAGGCTTTTAACAAAACAACCTAACATAGAAGATATTAGAGGAATAAGAAACCCTGCAACGCTCTTCTTGTTTCCTTTCTCTCACACAGGCACACAATCACACCCACACACAAGCAGTACAACTACCTATGGAAGGTGCCTGGTAGTTGTCTCCATCCAGGATATTCACAGAGTCATGGGTGCAGTCTGAGTTGATCATCTCCACCTCAAAGTCAGTGAATGACAGGGTCACATGGTTGACTGACCAAAGAGAGACAAATCAAAGGTTTAAAGTACACATTTTTTTTTATACAACATTCTAAAGGTTGTCTAGTACGGGCCACTGACTGACAAAACTCACATGGTTCCTGTGCTTTGATGATCCAACTACAGTTCAGATTAGGCGGGTACAGAGCTGGGTACCGTGGTGATGCAATAGCCCCTCCCAAATCGTCTGTTATGATGGTTGCACCACAAGCTGGAGAAATGAAAAAAAAAAAACGACACAGTCAGCTTCTCCCTCAAGATAACGGTTAAGCTGTTTAACTCAGACTTTGGATTATGGATCTCTTTCTTTTAAGCCCTCCTATATAATTTTCATCAACCTCAAATTAAGAAATAACCAGGGGATTTAGACTGCTCCCTAAGAAATTGTCATTTATATACAATAATATTAATCTTGTGATTTGGTACTGTGGTGATAAAAAAGGATTATGGATCCATTGGTTTGGCAGAGCATAAACAAGTATTTAAAAGGATTGACAGATTTAATATTTCATCCATGTTTCATGATTTTAACGGAGAGGTTGAAGAAACCCACCCTCAGAGAAGCGAGCACTGAAACCACGGTGGCTGTTACTGGAGTCAGACCTAAAGCGGACATAGATGGTACTCTGTGTTGAGGTGATGGCTGGAGGAGCACTGGTGCCACACACCCGGGCAAGCAGAGGAGCAGACATGGTTGGACCATCATGGATCTGAGTGGTTGAAACACATGGATACAGAAAGGTTATGTATCTTAAAAGGTAAAGAATGTGCTCATGTGCTTGACTGACAATCAACTTAGCCACCAATAGACCAATACATAGAACACACAAGCAAGGCAATGAACAAGGTGTCTGCCAGCCCATGAGAAGCAGTGCAGCCTAGGTTCCCAAAGTTCAAACTAAGGCAGCTACTAATTACAGCTTATTTTTGCAGGATTCTATGTCGTCTATATATTAGTGTATATATTAGACTTTTCTAGCGTCCACGATATCATGAAACCTCATGGGATTTATAATTATTTCGGCAAAACGACAAAGTATCAGTAGGTACAGCAAATAATTTGCTATATAAAGTATGGCTGTCACTAAAAGTTAAATATTCAGAGATCTTGAAGAACACCATTGTTGCATGACCCTACATCCCCTGTCTTTTTACAGTTTTACATGGAAATTAGTATGTAGCCCAGAGTATGTTTCTCTGAGAACCTCACATCCAGACATCTAAATGATCCTTGCAAGAAACCTAACACAACACTGTGAATTTGTATTTTGGGTGTAATTCCGATACTGAACACTGGGTGGAGTCTTGACTTGTGCTATGCATAAAGCCAAGGCTCCAGGTAATTGGATTCAGGTGACCAGGTGATTCAGGTGATCAAAACCAAGCATTTTGGCTCCTACAGGATCAACCACGCCTCCTCACTAAGAGCTCTGAGTTGAGCTCTGAGAATGTTTGTACATCTCTCCTAAGCAAGAACTCGTAGTTAAAAAAAAAAGGAAGCTATGCTCTCAGAGTATTCTCAGAATGTATTTGAATACAGGCCCAGCTTGATTGCAAATCAGAAGAAACAAAAAAATGACAAGGTAAAATGTTTTTCATAAAAAAGTGTTGAAATCAGTCACTCACCGCCACATAGTCCCAAATGCAGTCACTATGTTGTTCGATATCCAGGTCAGAGAAGTTGAATAACACACGGTGGTTTTGATCCACACTGATCACCCAGGAACAGTCCACATTGTTGGGATAGCTGCTTGGATACAAAGGAGAATGGATCTCCCCTGATGGAGCTGTGATGGGGCCTCCACAGCCTGCATGAAGAAACACAGGTGATTAGACTTTACTAAGAAGTATATTGTAGGTGCTGGTTTTAAGTGCAGAGCTTGTCTCTGATTATTTTTTAAATAATATAACAAAATCAGTATGAGATGATGGTAATGATGGCAGCTACAGTTTCCTTAACCCGTTTAAATTTGGCTTACAAAAAATTCTTCTCGCTAAATAAAGAAAAATCGCTTTAGGCCATTCTGAAAAATTACCCGACTGATTACGTTCCTCTATCGGTCATTTGCATGATGTTTGGCTTAATTTCTTGTATCAACTTGTAACTTAACTTTTCTTATGTACATGAGAAGTCACCCTATGTTGATAATCCCTTTCCAAAAATATACCCATACAGTCCATAACCTTCCCTATTCTGTTGTATATTGGTACAGAGGTCTCACAAAGGGGAATCGATAAGTGAAGTCCACTCACCTCCCTGGACTTCAACCCAGCTTGCATTAAAACCTCTACCACTGACATAGGCATCAGACTTGAAACGCACAGTGAGCTGGTTGCCAGTGCTCGAGACTTGCATTGGGCTTGATGTAGTGGTGCAGAGCTGAGCCAGTCGAGGGGCCAATAAGTCCGGACCACCAAACACCTGAAGGAAAGTCAAAGGTTATTGTCAAAAGGCAATTAACCATCTGAAATATAACTGATGCTGAATGGCCACAAGCTAGCCAAGTAAATGGCTTAGAGGTCAATAACTTTTTTAAAACCAGGGTACCAAAATCATTACCAAATGCAAATTCTTTGAAAGCCACTTTAAGAGGATAAAAATCCAATTTAGGAAAGTTAGTCATAAACTATGACCTATGACCCTTTGACTATATGACTATATGACTATATGACCATATGACCCTTTAGCCTTTAAGAACTAATCCTCTGTTCTGATTTTACAAACTAAAGCAATGTTGCAATGATCACATAATTTTTTTTTTTTTTTTTGTGAACTATTCATTGAACAAAGTCTAACAGAGAGATGATCAATATCTTACTTCCAGCACATCATAGCTGCAGTCTTGGTGAAACTCCACATCAAACTCATGGATGGTAATGGTCAGGCTGCTGCCATATGATGCGGTGATATACCAGATACACTCACGGTTTTCTGGATACCTATTTGGGTAGCCTGGGCTGTTGAAGGAGCCACTGGGACCAGAGAGCTCCCCACCACAACCTACATGGAGAGGGGACTTTAGTGTCAGTATCAAGATGCATCATCATGATGAACCCTGCTGTAAGAGACTGCTGCTGTTTAACTGTGACCATTGAGGTGGATAGCTACCACTATACCATCTTCTGGATCTCTTTGAGTAATGCAGGAAAAACAACCCCCTTTACATTTTATATATCAAGCTATATATAATTTAGTTTTTGCTGAACCAGCACTTCATTGTTTTGGTTAAAGACAATTAAAGGACACCTTTGACATTCTTGGATTGAAGACCGTTCTGTACTCTTTATTTTTCATGGACTGAGAAAAGACTCATTGGATTGAAAATAAATGTACTATCTTTTCAGGTAGAATTTATAATTGGATTTATGTAAGACATCAGGTTCAATGCCAGAGGCAAGTTATTAATTATGTTATGTCCATACAGCGTTCATTTTTAATTCATGTGTGTTTTATTACAAAACCAAGGTGAAAAGGTAATTTGCATTCATCTGCACTTATACTAAGGACTTGGGATTTATTTGATGGAGGTGTAAGTTTCATTTTTTATCAGGCTGAGGCTGGTTATTTGAAATGTTATTAGGTTGACTGTACGTAAGAATTGGAAAATAAACAGGATTGGTTGGAAACTGCTATCTGAACTCTGAATTAGTTCTGCTCATTGATTACAACTATTGTAAGTAGAAAAAAAAGGCGACTGAACAGGAAATGACACAAAAAAAAAAACTGACATCAAACAATAAAGATTGTTCTGTTGATCTGATCTCACCAATAAAATTTTTTTTTTTTTAAAATCTTACCGTTTTGGGACCACATCATCTGGAAGCCAGACAATGACACAGAGGAGTCTGATCTGAACACCACGGTGAGGGCTGAGCTCGTGGTGCCGTTGGCTGGAGGGGGGTTGTACCCACAGTATGTGCCAATCAGAGGGGCTTGTGCGTTAGGTCCATTATAAAGCTAGGACAACAATATAGTAGAGAGGGGTATTAGTAAGCGTTACAAAAAACAATTCCCTTCATTTGGGCTGACAAAAATAACATTTAGAGAAGACAAATTAAGTATTGCCTACATCTATGGTTTGTAACATGACAAAGACAGTTATGATTAGTGGAGTTAATTTTGTGCACTATGACTTGGGAGGTTGACAGTTGCTAGAACAGACCACAAGAAAAGAGGAAAGTCCCTCTCTTTTTGGACCCTCTTCAAACATAAACCAGCACAAGATTAACCCCTGTACTGAAGGAAGGCTGGAGATGTCCTTGAATAATGTCTGATATCAATCCAACTTAGAAACCATTAAACCTGCTTATGCATTCTTAAAAAGCAAAACAAGACCCGAAGAACTCCGAGACTGGCACAACTCTCTGGGGCTAACTACAAGCACATATGAAGGTGATACTCTGAAACCCCCCAGTTATATGAGAGAGAGAGAGAGAGAGAGAAGAAAAAAACTGTTCAACCCAGGTGTAGTGGGCACAGTGAGTGTGGAATTTGGATCCAATATTGTTGAATAATTTTTATCTATGTACCTTTACGTAGTCATAATAACAACTACTGCCCTCCATCTGGAAGGCATTAAATGTGTAGTTGATGGTGTTTCCACTGGTGGCCTGGATGGTCCAGCTGCACAGCGAGTTGGCTGGGTAGTTGTTGGGGAAGTTCAGTGACTCCACCATTCCTGAGTGTCGGCCTGAGATGAGCACCCCATTGCAGTCTAAAAACAAACACAGTCAATTAAATTAAATTGTTGGATTAATAAATGTTTGTATATCTATAATCCTAAATATAAATATATGTGTACGTTTATTTATATATTTAATCTCGCACTATGGAGATGTGCCCAGGGTAGGGTCCCATTGTTAATTACAGAAATGATCCCCCCCCTCCCCCCTCCCCCTTTCTCATACTTGATGTGTATGATGCAAGGAATCCTCCAGTGCTGACGCTGCTGTCAGTGCGTAGTTTGACGTAGAGCTGGTTGCTTGAAGAGTTGATGGGGACGGGCGCCTGACTGCCACACAGTCTGGCAAGCTCTGGAGCACTTGTACTGTTGCCATCATACACCTGAACACACACAACTGCATGTTTAGTAAATCAAGCACAAAGTAAGCGACATAAAAAGCACTCCTGGTCAATTGCTTATAGAAGATAGATCAAAAAAATGAAAATGATATGAATCCTTTCAGTGATCCAGATGTTAGTACATTTGTTTTGCTTTTTTTTTGTTCTGTTGGTTCTTTTTTTGTTCTTATTCAAAGTAACTTTGTATTTCCATTTAATTTTGAAATTGTGCCAAATTTTCACCTCATAACAAGGGAACTTTGCTCTAAAATTTTTTTAAATCTAATGACATCACCGCTTGATATATATTATAATTGTTTTATTAAACATGAATTTGTTGGAATTAATGTTTGCTACATGTACCTATCCAACTCCTAATTAATAATCTGTTCTGCTCTGAGTTTGAGGTTTTCTCTGCTTTTCTTCAGGTGCCTCTGGAGTTACAAATGAAATTCCAGTTCAATATGATACAGTAAATTAAATCTGTAAAGGACAAACAGCTGTGTAATGCATCCATATGCTGTTGGTACTCACAGCTAAGTAATCAAAGGAACAGGAAGTGCTGGACTCCAGGTGGAAATTAGAGAAAGTGAGAAGGATGTTGCTGCCCTGGCTGATCCTGATGTTCCAGTAGCACTCAGTGTTTGGGTGGTATGGCAGGGGGTAGTTAGGTGAGGAAAACCCTCCAGATGCAGTTGTCAACATCCCTCCACAGCCTTGTGAAAAAAAAACAAATCAGAGGGACAGGCGCAAAAAAAAGAAAAACTATCATTGAAAGTATATCAGCCACTTACCAGTCTGTGTGCCATCCCAATGCGCGTTGAACCCTGATCGCGTAACGATGTAATCAGATCGGAATTTTACCCAAAGACGATTACTATGGGATACCAGGACTGGAGGTCCCTGATCCCCACAGAACTTGCCAATCAAAGGTGATGTCTCATAGCCACCATCCCTGCGAAAGAGATGTGGAAATTGACAATGTCAGTGCTCAAATTTCATAAAGAAAGACAGATGTTTCACCACATACAGACACCTTTAACAATCAAAACATAGGTATTCTGGTATCCAATAAATAAAGGGTATTTATATAACCACAACCTGGCTGATACAAATCTGGCCATAGATGTATGTTGCATGGTAAACTGTGGATTGTCATTTGGGTTTAAGGATCTTTTAAATTGTATTTTTCAGATGGAATGATATAGCCACTTTCAGCTGTTCAAGCTGTAAGTGGGTTTCAGGCTGTGACTATGCTTACAGATAAAACAGTTTCACTTCTCCAAAAGCTGCCAAACTCTACCACCAAAATTCTTCCCATACCTGATCTCCACAAAGTCAAAGCTGCAAGAGGGAGGGGAGCCCTCCAGGTCAAAGTTGGTGAAGTTCAGCATAATCTGCATGTTGACCTGCACAATGATCTTGAAGACACACTCTCTATTAGTGGGATAGTAGCTAGGGAAGTTGGGTGAAAAGAAGGATCCTGTAGGGGAGGTGAAGGTCTCACTACAGTCTAGAGAGAGAGACATAATTTAACAGAAGGTTAGAAACAGAACCTTTTTATTATAACAACAACTTTTTGTTTTGTCCAAATAAATAAAAAGTACATTTGTGGAGTGAACTTTTTAAAACACTATCAGATATTATGTTTGGATTATTTTGGACCCTGTCATACGCCTTGTGCAGAGCATCTTGAGGAGTCTTTCCTATTTTCCACCAGTGGCTGGAACTGTGACAGCACTATGGCTACACATGAGAGCTGTCACAGTTCTGGTACACTCCCTGCTTTCCTCCTACTTTCATTAACCAATAAGTGATGATTCACTTTGAGTAGGAGTGTATTTAGCTTTTTCAAATCTGTACCTGAACTGTTTGACTCTGAGTAAGACACAATAATAAAAATTATATTTTGTGTATGTCTAATGTCCAGATCTCCATTTGTGGAGTGGCTGAAGAGCAAGAGTTTCCTTCTATGAAACCAATGAGTGTATCAGCCCTCATTCCCTTTAAGAGCTAGGTGCACCTGTATGCCTCTGCATTGGTAATTAAATATAGCAGTGAATCCCAAGCTTGTCAGTTCTAATCCTGTTGTCTGTTGATCGGTTATTTAACGGATGTGTACCTGTGGTGGCATTAATGGAGACATAGCTGGCAGAGAATCCCTCAGAGCCCAAACTTGAGTCGGACACAAACAGCAAGGAAAGCTGGTTGTCTGTGCTGGTGATCGATGGAGGCACTGAACGCCCACAATACCTGCAACAAATCACCCGAATCCATTAAGTCACCAAGTACAACCACACATACAGACAAAGATGAAGATAGATAAAGCATCATGTACCTTCCAATCTTGGTTCCAGTATGCACAGTGCCATTATCATACACCTCCACGTAGTCGTAGTTGCAGTTACTGTGGTACTCCAAGTTGAAGGAGTCAAATGTCAGCCGGATTATGTTGCCCGGGGTAACATTGATGTACCAGGTGCAGTTGGCACCATGTGGGTATTGTGTGGGATGGCCAGGGCTTGTGATGACGCCTGAAGGACTGGTCAGAGTGTCACCACAGCCTGATGCAGGAAAACAAGAATAACATATCAACTTTAGAGATTGGCAGAGCTTTAAGACGCTCTTTAGTAGCCTAAGAAGACAAGTGTTAAAAAAAGAAAAAGTTCAACTAAATTCAAAGGAGCTTGTCACGTCAAGAACAGCATGTTCAGTTTGTGAAAGGTTCCAGTAAGGTTTTCTTTTTAATGTATTCTGTGTGTTAATTCAGAGTACACCTTACTACATTTAGAGCAACTCAACTGCACACAAGCATAAAATAGCAACAGAAGTACCAATAGTCATAATGGAGAACAGCTAAGTTATTATGAGGATATATATATGTATGGATAATGATACAACTCTTACCCTCCAGGGCTGAGTCATAAGCTGCTTCAAAGCCATGGTTGGTGACAGAGGCGTCAGTTTTGAAATAGATATACATCGACCTCTGAGTTGACTGAAGCCTGGGGGGAATATCCACACCACAAAATGTTCCAAGCAGAGGAGAGCTAGAGGTCGAGCCATCCCTGACCTGGAAGATGATGGAAAAAAATGCAGCATATAACTGATCTATATGTTCCCTCTAATGCATGCATCCATAATACTGTACACAATATTAACTTTATTGTTCCTTTTTTTATTTCCATACCACATAAAACAAACATAATGTGTCACCATACTGTATATGTAAGAGCAAGCAAACAGACATGCTTATGCTGAGGCTCTGAACTAGTTATATTATAATTTACATTGTTTTTAAGTTTTTTGTATTTTTTACAGGATGACTATAATTAATGTCTCTCAACATCTTATAACAACTCGTGTGATAATTTGAGACAAGTAGCAAAATGCAGATTAATCTTAGAGATTTCAAATGTTTTTATCTTTTCCCCAATTTTATCTTTGTTTGTTTTTCGTTTCTTCACTATAATTTAGTTCCCCATTGTTCACAAAGACAGGGTCATTGACTAATGAAGAAAGTACTCTTTGGCAGTGTTTTGCCACTCTGAGCAAAAATGTTCAATACTTTCTAAGAAGCTTTCACATTTAATGTGATTTGTAAAGTTGCTTTCCCTCTGACTACATTTTGTAAAGTGGTATTTTGTGGTACAAATAGTGCTAATAAAATGTATATTGATACATTTTAGGTATGGGTAATTTAACTTTAACTTAGTCTTGTGGATGCATGAGCTCCTATCTGGCAAAAATGACAAGAAATGTCAAAATCAATCAACAAGAAATGGACGCCTGCCTTAAGTGAACCCTGATAACCTTTATGAGTTGTTTCATGTCCATTTTAATGTATTTACCTCAACAAAGTCAAAACGACAGGAGCCTCCTTCGACATCAAATGACAGGAAGTTGAGGGTGACTACGTAGCCCTCTGGTTGGTTGATGACCCACTCACACGCCTTGTTGTGCGGATATGCGTTGGGATGGTATGGAGAGCGTATCTGCCCAGTCCCAGACAAAGTTCCACCACAAGCTGGGGAGAGAAAAAGTCAATGGTTAGTCTGTGGCTAATAGAATGAAGTGTATGAATTCATCTTAAACCCTATTTGCACAGGATTAGTATTACCTGAGTAACCACTCTTTGGTTTATTAAATATCTCTCTCTCCCAAAACTTGTGCAGCAAAAACAAATGCATTGTGCATCCACCGAGACAAGATAACATAAAAATAACACTTTTCCTTTAGCACAGAAATTTGTCTTGCATTACATGACTCAAATATTGATTTATCACATTGATCCATCGTCTTAAATGTAAGAAGTAATGTAGACCTTACTGCATGTACTGTATGGGTGTCTTTCCTATTTTATTTTCCTCCTGTCATAGTTGACAATTTTCTCTCCCAGCACTCACAGAGTTTAAAAAGCTAAATGTAGTCAGACATGCTCCAAATCACTGTGCGCCACACACTTTAGACGATCCCTGTCACGCCATCAAAATAAGGCAAAGTGTTTTTCCCTGTTAGCTTTGAATGCATCCCCATAGACGGAGGTCAACTTCTCCCCTGGTCCAGCTCCTAATTGACCTGAGACTATTTAACGTACCCGTAGCAACATGGCAGCCTTTTCTCTTGTCTCTTGGTCGCCAAATGGACCCCTCTCTAACTCTGAGGTAGGCAATGTAGTCAAATGATTGTATTGAATATTTGTATATTGCAATGGTCTGAAATTCTGTCCTGTATGTCTGTCTACCTAATCGTGTTACCTGTACCTGCTGGGTACTATGGATGTAATAATAATGTAATAAGAGAAATATCCTGGCATCCATTTTTAATAAATAGAGTAGATTTCACATCCCAACATACATGTTAACATCTTGTGTGTCTTTGTGTGGAATCTCACCAACAGTGTAGACAGCCCTGAAACCAGCCCGGCTGACTGAGCTGTCTGATCTGAACCGGATCCATAGGTAGTTGGAGGATGATCGAATGGGAGCTGGCAAGGAGCTCCCACAGTATTTCCCAATCAAGGGCATCAGTCTCCAATCTTCCATCACGAACCTAGAAGGAAAAAAATCAAATACATGTCATGTGACCTTTGTCTGAGCAGCCAGGTCGACTTTGACGTCACTCTGAGTTACAGTCGTCTCAATTCTGCGCCGGTAGGACAGGCAGGAGCAGGACTCATTTGAACTAAATGAAAACAAACATGTAAGACAGGGTGGTAGCCAGTCAATGGAGGTAGTCAGTGAGAGTCAGAAAGTTTAGGTAAAGGATCTTCAAACAGGCTGCAAGAAAAGAAAGAATATTAGAAAGACAGAGACAAAGATTATAAGAAGGATTATTATTGTATTTGTGAGTCATAAAAAAGTCATACCTCCACATAGTCAAAAGTACAGCTGCCGTGACTCTCCAGGTCCATGTGGGTGAAGTTAAGGGACACCTCCGCTCCCACTGGCAGTCGGATCAAATAGATACACTGGCGGTTGTGGGTATAGGCATTGGGCCAATTGGGAGATATGATTATCCCTTCGCTGTCTGTGAAGGTACCGCCGCAACCAGGGTCACCTAAAGCACAAAGAACACCTGCGTAAGGAGTTGCATTGCCATTGCAGCACATCTACATAAAGCAGGGAATTGACACACAGCCTGGGATAGAAGAGTAGTTATTAGAGCTTCATTTAGGGAAGCAAAGAATTGAAACTTGAATCGAACGTCACAGTTAAAGCTAGGATAAGACCTCCCCCTGTCCTGTTAGCAACTCGGAGTGTCAAAAATAGCCTTCCAAAGCTGTCATATGATTGGCATGCATATTATCTCTCATTGTTGGTTTTACACCATACCTTACTGGCACCGTTTCTTACTTGGTGATGTTGTGTATGTAATGTGGAAGCCTTGGTCCGAAATACTGAAATCAGAATGGAAGTGAATCCATGCAGCTGGACCGGTGGTTTGCACGGGGGCAGGAGACGCAGTGCTGCAGTAAAGACCCAGAACTTGGTCTTCAGCCAGAAGACCATCCCGGATCTACAACAATGAGTCATAAAAGTAAATAAATTAAAGAACAGATGGTGAAAGGCCCAAACATTGTGAGCTTGTTGCCTGGAGTGTATCACTATTGGCATACAGAATGAAACAGTGCCAGTGTTTGTTAGGTCTGTTGGTGTGTGCTGGGGCAGCAGGCTGAGCGTAGCAAACACCAACAGACTAAACTAACTGATCTGCATAGCCATGGATGTCATGGGGATGGAGCTAGACTCTCTGACTGTGGTGTCAACATCACACCATTGGTTTAATCTTTTTGATAAGCCCCATCTTCCACCTACGCTGCTGTACAAAACAGATGGAAAAATGAATTCAAAGTTATATTTCAGGGTGATTTAATAAAACATGCTCCTGATGAGGTCACATGAGGGAGAAACAGAAAGAGGAGCGGTAGGCTGGTGGGTGTATGGTGAGTGGGTGTATGTGAGGCCCCACTTTGACCAGGGTCAGCCCTGCAAATTTGAGAATTTGGTGGAAAGATCATTGTTCTAGTTGATTCACAAAAATCTTCTCTTTGAACTGTAATGACTTATTTGATTGGCTTTAATAATGTACTTGACAAATACATTATCTGGCTGTCACTCTTTAATTGTTGAGTCCATCTAAAGCCCTATTTATCTATTTCACCTCTTACACAAAAGCATTGGGATACAATGCTGTACAATGTTTGTACCTCTAAGAAGTCATAGTTGCAGTCAGTGTGATGCTCAAGACTCAGCGTTCCAAATGCAAAGGTGATGAGCAGGCCTGGATCCACAGTCACGGTCCAGTAGCAGTCACGGCTGGGCGGGTACTGTCCAGGGTAACCAGGCGAGTTGATATTTCCATAAGGAGCAGTAAGTTCGCCTCCACACACTAATATGAGAGTAAGATTTCAATATAATTTGAACAGCTGTTATACAGACCAGGCACATTGACCACTTTGGATTTTTTACTTTACACTATGTAGTACAACTCTGCTTTACCGTTATCCTTAGCGAACAGCGCAATGTAAAGAAATTGATTTGTCAATTATTTATCACATATTGCTTTTTGCTCTAATGCAATTCAGTATCTATTTGTAGACTTGGCATTGTCTCATGGCTGACTGATAGGTAGTTGGGACCCTTACCTGGGTCCTGAGACTCCCAAACGACTGTAAAACCATTACCACTGACAGAGCCATCAGAACGAAACCAGAAATACAAGGAATTGTGGGAGCTGTGGAGTTCCTGTGGGTTATTTTGGCCACAGTATTTCCCGAGCATGTGAGCAGAGGCACTGTCCCCATCGTGAATCTGAAGGAAGTCAAAGTTGCAGTTGGTGCTGCTCTCCAGATGAAAGAAGGGAAAGGTTATACGGAGAATCTAAAAAAAACAAAAAACAACAACAACACAGAATTTAATGACACTAGAATGAAAAAAATTATCACACCAATGCAAAAGAAATGGTTGGGCTTTCTTGCACCATGCCCAATTGTTTACGATGGGAAGGCAGAACAAACACCTAGCTGTGGGAGTGTCACCCACCTGGGGGAGTGGTTTCTGCCCTTTGTGATGTCACAAACGGAAAATCTCCAAACAGCCTGTTTGAGCACACATTTTCTGAAAAGTGGAGCAGGCTAAAGATGGAGAGGAAGTACTTTTTTCTTGTCATTGGGGGGTTTGTAGACAGACTAGGGACACATATTAATGTATTTTGCATAATATGGGACCTTTAAGTTAGCTGAGCAGCTCAAACTAGCCAACCTGTTCAGAATGACAAACAGAAACTAATTTACGAATGACAGGAAATGGCACTTTTAGTTTTACAAAGGAAAACTGAGAGAACTGACCTTGTTGGGATCGATGCGGATCACCCAGGCACAGCTGACCAGGTGATCATAATCATCATGACCTGGGGTGTTAGGAAAACTGAAGGAACCAGCAGGGCCAGACAGATAACCTCCACACTCTGGAACACATTCAGAATAACACTTGAAAGCATTAGAGTTAGACTCTCTCTTTAAAGATTGATGGCGTTTATTGATACACAATACACACTCCCATGGTCCTTCCATTTTTCTTGCAACTTGCATTTTCTTTTCAGCCTTTTTCAGCCATCATCATACTGTACCCTGGTATGTATTTGAAATAAATTACAGACTGGTAGAAACTTTATAAAAACAAACATGGCAACATTAAATTGAATAATTAAGTCTGAAGGACCAACAAAAATCTGTCACAAGAATAAACCAGGAATCCTACCCACAATCTGATGGCATGTAGTGTAGACACAGCTTGTGCAACATTTATAAGGGATTACACAAAACCATTATTCTTCCAATAAGAACAACTATATGAGGTCAATATGAAACTGAAATTATTTTGTTTTTAAAGTAATCTTTTTCATACATTTTCTACGCCCAAGTGCTCAAACATTTCCCAGAAAATGCTAATAATGATTATTATGGGATTAATGTTAACATGGATTTAGAGTAATGACGTTAAGAATAAGGATTTAAAGCTTAAATTCAATGTTGTCTATTTTATGATAAAAACATATTTAACAGAAATGTCCCTGCATTCTTATATCCTAGGCCCCTTTTTCCTTGCACTTATTAACTTCCTTTCAGCCCACTCTTCCCCTCATGTAATTATCTTCATTTCCAGCCAATACCTTGCTGTGCAGTCTGGCAGAGGGGGCCAGTCCATTGTGCAGTGCAAGCACATGTGAATCCATTAATGCCGTCGGTGCAGGTTCCTCCGTTCTCACAGGGGTTGCTCGCGCATTCGTTTATATTCTGGTCACAGTTAACTCCCTGCCATCCAGGGGAGCAATTGCAAATGAAGCCAGGAGCTGAGGTGGTGGCCTGTGATTGGATAGCAGCAATACACTAATCAGACACCCATAGATTTGTTGAAATAGATGTACAGTATTTGAGTCAAAATGTTCTTTTTTGAGATTATCCTTATCACAAAATCAAAATTTGAAAATAAGTTCACTACACGAATGTGAACTGTACATTTTCTGTAAAGAGGATTTACAATGTGTTGTTGGTGGGATCAATTCAACGTATAACTATCCCGATTGTCATGTTTATCCTTCAAATAGGCTGTTTGCAGAAAATATTTTGAGAGCTCTTTGTCTTTGTCTCAGCAGACACATGTCATTCCAAAAGGTTTGAACATAGACACAGTCACACACACTTACCACACACTGCCCATTGACACAGGGGTTGTTGGTTTGACAGATGTTGCTCGTCTGGGTGCAACCAGTTGGTCCATAACCATTGCCTACATAGCCTGAGGGGCAGGTACATATAGGGAGACTTGACCCTGGTGGACATAGAAGTTTTTAATGAGTAATAGATAAACATAAGGTATCCATAATCATGTCTGACTCTGTCTTAAACTGCACATGTAAAAAAAAGAGAACCATTGATATTCTGAAGGTTTATTTTTACATATATACGTATTGCTCAGGTCAATTTACAAGGGAACCCACTCAGACCTCTCCAACAGTAAATTAAGACTTCAGTCCTGACACACGACCAGTCACTCACTTTTTTCCTGCTCTTTGTATTAAATACCTTCATTAGCAGGATGTTACAAACTGTGCAGTGAAATTAAAAATCATAGCAATATATGGACAATTCAAATCGATGAGACAAAAACCTCCTCGCTCCCGTAAATTCCATCATGCAGTGATTTTGGGCTCGTTTCTAGGTAAATGAGCCTCATAGCAAAAATTGTACTTCACAAACACTAGCACTGACAGCCACACAGAGTCAGAGTGAACAGTTACTGTCTGCTGCGAGTTAGTGCACTGCACTATTTAAAAGCGATGTCATTCTCAGTCTGTAAATATTAGTTTTGCATTACGATCAAAGTTAGAAACAGAGATTAAATCAGTCCTGGGCTCCCTGAGGTTTTTTGTCTGTCTGTGTTGCCCTTACTGGCCAGATCAATGGTGGAAGCTTGATCCCATCAACACATCTATATTTTTCAAAATTGAGCTCCATCAGTATTACAGCAGAGCTCCGTTCAGAGTGGAGGTACATACAGCGTATCTACATAATGAGTTGAAATAAGAGCAAACTGCATGCATCAGGAGAACGTTATGGATGTTTATGCGCTTGAATATCATTGGTGCAATATGCTCAGTGAAAATGACCTTGAGACCGAGGCAATCGATGCACGAGTCATGATGCGCTTATCGGCTGCAATAAATTCTGCTGTGCAGTTGTTTTTATGTTCTTTCAGGGGAGGCTCACCTTTACACTTCAATAACCTGTCTGTTAAATTAGTTTTATTATGGCCTATTATTGTTTCAGTGTTTGCAAGAAGAGACCCCTCTCTGTGTGATTTACCCAGCTTCATGTCTTTGGAGGACACAGATTGAGGGAGTTAAAAGATAAGCACAGCAAATCAGTCTGTGGAACCAACTCCTCCCAAGAAGACAGCGCCGGAGAGTCTCCTTGGAGGGCCTTTCGCTGAACAGGCAGTACTGCAGCCCACCAGTGGCATTGAGATAGAGGTTGATAAGTTCAGAATCGGCACAGCCATTCCATTTTTAAAAGAGCAAGGTAAATATTATGTTGTAATGTAAAATGCAATGAAATGTTGATTAGTAATGTTCCATGTGTCCTAGGTTACTGATTGGTCACGTATTTTCTGGTTGAGGCACAAACATTTTCCGGTCTGGGCCTCCGTTGACTCTCGTTATAAGTTGAACATTTGCTCCTCTTCAATTCAAGGGATAGGAGCTTCTTGAGGCACCAAGAAAAACATCCATGAACGCATTACACACCACTACCCAAAGGCAAGCAGAGGGACACTTCCCTTGAAATGAGACTTGCCAGGCATGCAGTGTCACAGGATCAGAGCATAGACCAGACTAACATTACAAGTCAGCAGTTTTTAATCTGCCTAAATTTGTCTAAGATATATCACATGACATGATACAAAAAGCTAAATTCCACCTATATATTTTTTCTAGAATCCCCGCTGTCATATTAAGTGGAAGTGGTGAATTACAGGAAGTAGTGGAAGTAGTAGTGAAGTGAAGTACAGTGTTTTGAAGCAGCTACCCCATCTACCATGGATCAAATATTCCATGTGTGTGAATTACCTGGGCTGGAGGAGCAAGTAGCTAATGGGTAACAGCCGCCATTGTTTGTAGCGCAGATATTCGACTGGGTACATGTTTTCCCATTCCCCTCATAACCTGCACAAAAACAAGACCTCCTTCAAGGACTGGTTTTATCTTAGCACAGATGAGCAGAACACAAACATGATCAGCATTAAGAGAGGGGAAAGTTGACACAGATTCAGACATTTGCTCGAGTCTGTTGATTTTTATGTTTTAATCTTATTTTGCTCTAAACAATCATTACCTCTGAGAGATAAATAACAAAAATCAACTTGGATTCATATTGTGCTACTGTCACTGGCAGTCAGCCTCCTCTCCTACCTGGAGGGCATGGACCACAGTGGAAAGAGCCCATGGTGTTAAGGCATTGCACCATTGGAGCGGTGGAGCATCCACCGTTGTTGGTCAAACATTCATCCACATCCTGACAGCTGTAGCCGTTTCCTTGCCAACCTAAGACATTGTATCATTAATTAGAACAAAGATGCACATATTCATGTAATAATAATATGTTTCTACGCACAGGTGAGCACAAACAGTGGTGAATCATAGCTAAAGTGAAGGCTAGCCTTTTTCGATTTCATGTAGACACAAACATAATTTAGAAACTACCACATTAACAGTAACATTGGCTACTAACTCATCTTATCAGGGCTGGAGCAGAATAATTAAGACATCTTTTAAAGGAAAATATTTGCAATGAGAGCTTGGACAGGAAAAACTGAAATAATCAAATGAGGTCGTCTTAAATCTTTTTAAATATTGTGGGCAGCTCATTACAGTTCAGAAAGAGTGTGATGAGAATTTGAGAAAGATCAAAACAGCTGAATTGCATTATGGGATGACAGAAATGTCACAGTAATGTGTATGCAAACAGGACAACCTGTCTTCATTGAAGCCAGCACTTGAGTTAACACACTTGTAAATAGAGCCAAACCAGTGTTTCCCCTAGGTTTACAGCGTTGGAGGGGGTGGGGACAAGCCGATATGCCGACACAGCGACACAAACACTTGAAGGAATCTTGGTGTTCATGGGTTACTTTTAATGACAGATGTCATATTCTATCGGAAAGGTATCCTTAAATGACTTATTTCCTCTATCCACTATCCTCCCCTACAATAAAGGCACAAAAATAAATCTTGCAAACAGGCAAACATTCAAAACAAAGTGTTACCAGCAGGACAAGCTCCACAGTAGAAGGAACCCTGAGTGTTGTAGCACTGAACAACAGGATTTGATGAACAAGGTTTGTCCGGTAGGTTGCACTCATTCACATCAGCCACACAGGCCGGGTTTCCCGCTGGAGCCTCCCAGCCACTCTCACATATACATTGGTATTTAGGCTGTATAATGAAAAAAACACCAAAGTCATTCTTACAGTTGAACATATTCCTAAAAAAATAGAACTGCAAAGGGGAATAATACTGAGCTGTAATATAGAAGCGAGGGCTGCACTATTAATCAAAAGATGCTATTGTTTGAAACTATGCAGCCATGGTATAATGATATGCCTAAATAATGAAAGGTCAGTCTTTTGTTAGGATTTAGGATTTATAGGGCTTTGTCAAACTCCCAGATGTTTGCCTTGGACAGCTGAAGAGAGACAGGAAATCTTTGGAGGAGAGAGTGAGGGATTACATGCACTAAAAGGACGTAGTCCGATTTTTTTCTATTATTAGCCCTCCATTGAGGACGAAAGGAAACTATTAGGATAACACATTCTTCTTCTATTAGGTTGTGCTATGGGTATTATTTATAAGAACAACCATCAGTATTAAGCAAGCCTCAAACAGTTGCTTTCATAAGTTACGGTAAACTGACTGCTCACCTGTCCAGGTGTTATCCGATCTGCATCAATGCATGTGCCATGTACACAAAGATCCTGTCCAGCATTCCTACAGTCATCATAACGCACACTACAGAGAGTCCAGACCACTCCGGAGGACAGGTACAACTGCACAGAAACGAGGTACTGTGAGAACCATTGTGGTGGCAAGTTGTTATAATGTTATACTCATTTCATTGATCACTGTCAAGGAGAATTATCGTCACTTATCACTACCCTCAAAATATCTAGATCTACAATACAGGACTTATTGAACAGACTCTTAGGCACTAACTCTACAATGGAGTTAAAATTAAATTTAACTCCATTGTAGAGTTTCATCTTTCTTTCCAAAATGTCCATGTCACAGAAATATCCAGAGTTCTAACCGTTACCTAGTGCTGAAGTCATTTTTATGTAAAAAAATGTTAGGTTAAAAAGATTGAAGGAGTTCTAAAACCCGAATATGTCATTACAACAACGTTTTATTTGAAGTGTAATGCTTACGTGAATGATCCAGGGGTGTTTACACAGGTTGCTCCATTCTGGCAACCCTGGACTGTTCCTGAATACGCCTGACACTCGTTCAAATCTGTTGCACAGTTAGGACCCTGACTCACGCAACCACAAACAAACAAACATCAACACACACACACACAGCAAGAAGGCAAGATAGATAGAAACACGGACACCTGGTTTATAATCAGCATTGGAAAGATATTCACTTCTAATTGGATTACAAACTTGGTAAAGACAGTCCTAAACCCAGGCTGGTAGAGTCAGTATTGCTCATCCTTCCACTGAATGTATGGGTCCTGAATTTTAAGGCCCTTTCACAATCAATACTAAGATTGCTACTTTTTGTATTGTGCTTCAACAGATTACATTTTTGAATGTGTTTCTTTGTTTACTGTAGATAAGAGCGATCCCACACTGATTTACAGTAAAGTTTCAAAGTGTATGTCATATCATGGCCAATAGTTCACACTGTTTGACGGATCAGCTGGAAGAGTTTCACCAGAAGGATCCATGTCTGTCTGGAGTCTGAACTTTGAACAACATTGCACTCTGTAGGTAACACTTGACATGACTGTTAAACTGACATTAATCCTGAGCTAATATTTGACTCATTAAGAATTAAGCTGTGCATTAATGATCACCATATCAGCAACTTAAATGACTACCTTGGTGAGTAATACATGAATCTCTATAAATCATTTCTGTATATATTAATTTACTCCATAATGACTAATCTTATTAGTCAACACAAAGGGCCAAAGCTAAAGTTTCAACTGGTAAGCCTCGTCGACTTATTATGATTTCACTTGAAAGACAATCACCAGTAGCAACAATCATCAAGTTAAAATAGCCAGCAATTCACAATTGAAAGTGATATAGAAGCCTGAATACCAGTCATGACTTCAGAAATCATTTAAATTAACTCTTAAAAATTGGTGTCTATAAATAATTTGAAAAAAGTTGTTTACATGGTTTGCATTGGTTTTGCAACAATTTTCAAACAAATGCCCTCAGTAAAAAAAGGTCACTTATCTGAAGTTTAGTAGAAGAAATGAGAAATCTAATGTTTGATTTTGTCTGCATCACTATTTCACAGATTTTGTTTTAAACTGAATAAATAAACAGACAGAACCTGTAAGACACGGTCTCTTATTTTATTTGAAGATTTGGACCTAACTTACGCCAAACTTCAGGATGCTACCTTTTTTTATCTACTTGAGGGCATGTCGTCAAAAACTGTTGCAAAGCCAGTGTTTGTCATCAATGATAAAAGTCATTTTTCAAATTATGTCAGAAGTCATGACTGATATTCAGGCTTCTAACTCAGTTACTGTGTTCAAAGCTAAATCATGATCAGCATCTGTTTAAATAACTCAAATGAAACTGTGTCCCTACTCAAATATGTAGGCCTAATCATGTTATGTCTTTTGTGTTCCTTTTTGGGCCATGGCTTTGGGGCTTTGCCAATATCTTTGTAGTGTTCAACATTCGGCAGAGACATTCCCACCCCTGGTAATTGGCATTATTTCAATTAAAAAATTATATAAAATTGTAATTTGCGATCATCAAACATGATAATGAAACTCACAGCCCAGTTGCTGGGACACACACAGTGGTATGAGTTGAGTAAATTCAAACATGTTGCTCCGTTTTGGCAGGGATTACTGCTGCAGGACACCTTCTGGACGGTCTGGAGGATAAAAGAGAAGAGGTAGGTATTTTACATTCTGGAGTTTGAGTCGTTACAAATAACAGATCCTGTGTTCACTCTTACTGATTCAAGTGTAGTCACTTTAGTCTCAAGTGTTGACACCTGTAAAAAAAAAAAAAAAAAAAGCAGGGAGAACAACTTTTCGTCAATGGCTATTTACAATGTATGAAAACGTCATAATATGAGTTATTTGGAGAAATTAGATCATAGAGCTTTAATTCTTAAGATACAATAGACATAAGAGTCTTGTCTCATCCAGTACTTTGACAGTATGAAAACAACTCACAACTAAAAATAACAATGTCAAAATCCAAAGGAGTACATGGTTTTCCTACCCTGGTATCAAGCTGGTTTAGTTTGTTGGTGACTTCAGGGGGAACTCCACCTCCATGACTCTTAAGGTCTTCAATCTCGTCTTTGTTGGATTTGATCTAAAATCAGACAGATCAAATATAGACACTCAAGTATACAAAAAGCTAGAGCTCGCTAGGCTAGAGGAAATTGTCACAGGAGACATTATCCATCTACCTGTAAGAAAAAAATATTAGTGCCAATAAAAACAAATTATGAATTACATTTGTTGGACATTTGTCTTAACATTTCAAGATGTTTTGTTGTTATACAGCCTTTTTTTTATATAATTGGTATTACATTTGGACAGAAAATTTTTGTGAATACATTTGTGACACATCTGTTGGGACGACTGTGCTGGTCGTCAAAAAAAAGGGACAAGAGGAAAAACACTGTGAAGCTCTGTTGTAATAATTCACTTCTAGATTAAAGATGCTTTTTATTTATTTGATAAACCCAAGAAATTGCAACCGGTATTGATGGATCAGTGGATTGCACTTGTGATCTGCTGTTGATAACAGCCTTTGCTTTGCAGAGAACAGTGTGAAGGAGGCCCTCCTCGTCAAGATTCTGCACCTTAAGGCTGGAATTCACGACCTTACAGCCCTTATCCATCTCTCCCATACTTCACCATAATGTGATCCACTAGCTGGATTGAAAAACCACTTTATTCCTTTCTGAAGGAGGGTGTTGTTGATTAGTGCAAGATTCCATTGTTTAGTTGCCTTCTTCAATTCACGCTCAGTCCCAACAAAGTTTGTTCCATTGTCTCACCTCATTTCCAACACTGGACCATGTCTTGCTATGAAGCACCAAATGGCATTAATAAAGGAATCTACCCCAACTCTGTTCCTACACAAGTCTGCCATCTGTTGGTGTCCTGGAGCTGAACGCTGTAGCAGATATGCCTATAGCCATGAAAGCACCAAGTGTCCAATATTTCTGATCAAGGCTAGAGAGCATGTGGTTGTGTCCCACCTCTTTTTGTATATTTTGCAGAATGATGTCTGATATGTGAAGATCCTTTGCCAATATGGCAGAATGTTTGGATTCATCAGGCATAGCTGCTCTTTGAATATTGTACCCTTTTGAAGGCTGTTATTTCATTTTGGAACCTCAGTCCTTGACAAAAATTCAACCGCAGCTTTATTGAGCTCCTCAGCTGAAAAAAAGCCACTTCAACCTGAGTTCCTTGCATCTCTGCTTCCTGTTGGTCCTTTTCCAGACCAGACTGAGCCAGACTCAGACACAAGTGTTTTATTTTCTGACAAAGGCAGAGTAGCAGGCTCTTGAACTTGAACCATTACAGGATTGCCACAGTTCTAGCAATTACAGTGAAGTATTTAACAGCCAAATAGCCAAATATATTCATCAAGAAAGGGGTAAAAAAAAAAAAACACCAGATGCATAGCAAGAACGGAGGGAATATTGGTTGAACAATTGAAAACCAGTTAGACCCAAATATCCTTCACTGTTGGATGCTTAAAAATACACAATAATACCGCTTACAGCGTCATATTTCATCATAGGTTTAATACTGGAGGGAGCGATGGATAAAGGAAAGGCCCGGCTACTACACATCGTTCTTCTGGTGGCGAGGAAAATGATAACCATATCCTGGCTTAGACCTCTACCTCCCACCCTTCTCCAATGGAGAGAAAGGTTAGAGAGGGTTTACTTGATGGAGAAAATAACAGCGAAACTCCATCTGAAAATGGATTTGTTTGTGGTTCTATGGGCTCCTGTCATTGCTTACCTTAATTTACTGATAGAGTTGACATAATCACAATTTATTTAAAAGAAAACATTATGTATATTTCGTTTGGTTTATTTTGGACCTGTCAGTAGACATATTCATAGAGATAGAGATGTAGAGATGTACATAGAGATGTGAAAGGTTAACAATTGCTTGTGTGTGTATGGACAGATATATAGATCTCCTCTTTGTGCGGATGAAGATGTTGCCATGAGTTTTATTTGTGTTTTATTTATTTTTTGTATGTTTGCCGAACTGTAAATAATTCTTGTAAAATTATTACCATGTTTCACCAACTGAGATATGTAAATATAAATGTGTAAAATATTGAATACAATAACTGTTTGAATAAAGAATGTTCAAAAAAATACACAATAAAACATTTAAAAAGAGAGGAAACAATAAGATGATGCCGTGTCTATAACAGGTTTCCCCCTCCCAAAAGTGGTCCAAAAGTTTAAAAATGGTAGGTTTAAGCTAGAAAGAGGAGCACTTAAGTTAAGTGACACACAAAACGAAACAAATACATAAATAATACAAAGATAAAGATTTCCTACCAAATGTTATAAAGTATGACCCACTCACTTAAATCCACCCAGGACCTGATCTTTGGTCCTCTACAAAGTGCTGGGTCTGATCTTCACCTGTTAATCATTCATAGTCTCATATGAGCAGCAGCACGCTTTCAGTTCATAAAAACGTCAATAACCTCTAAAAATATATAGATTTTCTAGCTCATAATGAAAAATAACTTTTGATATGTAGTTTATGTGTCAGAAAGTACAACCACATCCTTATTTTAATTTTAATTTCAAACCTGATAGGAACAGGAGCACCAGAATATTTCAGTATGGCAAGTTGATCACAACATTTTAAAGCTGCGGTAAGCAGTTATGTATTCAATAAAACATCATGCTGACACTGGAAAGTGACTTGTTTAGGAACATGTGAGTCAGGCAAAAGGGGTTGTAGATGGATATTCCAATAGTGGAGCAAAAACACATAGATTTGTCTTAAGTGGACATTTAAAATGAATGTTGTTATTTTTACATTTGATAAAGTATGAATGGGGTTACTGAAGTGCATTAACATGAACCTTTCTTCCAGTTGTAAAGTTTTCCTATGGGTGTCATTGTAATGTTATTGAGATGTTTGTTTGTGAATAATCTCACTACAAATTACCAGTCCTGAACTTTCCCCCTCTCTATTAAGTAAAAAGTCTTCACAAAAGTCATAACTGCAGGGTATTTCTGTTCATAATACAATGTAAAATATCACTTTTTATAAGATTTACTTAACTCAACTGTTTAACTATAAATAAACACCAATGTTTAGAAGAGCACGACCGATTAATCGGCCAGTCGATTATATCGACCGGTATTAGCATATCCAGTGACTAATGGTATCGGCTACTTTGTTGCATATAATCGCTGATAACACTAGATTTATTCATCAGTTTAAAAGCATTTAATTTGAGTTTCATTGTATTACACTCTTCTGGTGAAAGAAAACTGCTAGTGTAATACAATGAAACTCAAATTAAATGCTATACAACAGGCATTATCACTCTCTAGAGTGTCAAGTGTTGATGCACGAACATGTGCAGTTACTTTCCAGTTGAGTGACCAACTTGTCTTCATTATAAATCTTTTCCACAAGTGTTTGATAACTACATTTGAGGGATGAACGCAATAACTATATATAAATAACTATATATAAATAAATATATATATATCGAGAGATCGAACACATATCTAAGAAAGATATCAGCCAATATATTGGTATAGGATTTGTCTCTTCCTAAAATCGATATCAGACCCAAAAATCTCATATCGATCGGGTCCTAATGTTTAGTATTAAGAACAATTGGGCTGTTGAAGGCCATGACATTAATGATGCACCTTGTGGTCTATTTGTGATCTTAATAATTTTTTTTTTTAAAACACACATACACAATTGTTTGAATGTACTTGTCTTAAGCCTACCTGACTCAGAAGTTGTGTGAGGTCTTCATCATCAACTTTAATCCGACCTGAGGATGACGTCTGGAAGCGGATCTCTTTATTGTCACCAGTTGTGAAAACAAGGTGACCATTGTCTGACAGCATCCGAGGCCTACGGGGTCACATCATCAAAAGTCTATCAACAGTCTTTTCGCCCATATTTAAGAGTTGTATTAAAGTACTTCCTATAGTAAAATAATATGTTTAAGGCTTGCTTTTACAAAAAACCACATTCTATTAGAATTCATGAACAAAATCCTCGACTCACTGGTCATTGCTTACGTCCCTCTTGCTACGTTTCTCTGCAGCGTCCCTGAGTTCTCCTTGCAGTCCCACAAGGAAGATGAGGATGAGCAATAGCCATGACAGCTGCAGTGTCCCAGCCATAGAAAAGAGATGTGTTGCCTGGACAGCCTCAACACCTTTACTGGGCTCTGATGTCCTGTACACTTAATGCTCACAGCTAAGACTTTGACCTGACAGCACCATCATAAAGTACAACACTTTACCAAAGCTGGTTAACTTTATTATTACGTGAGAATGTCCATCACATGACAGATGTAGATCAGTTACCTTATTATAGATTTCTGTGTATATGCACTTCCTAGAAGCCAGAGTTTGTTGTACAAATGGCTTTCCTCCAATTATTCTCCTTTCATCTTCATATCTTGCTTTCAGTATTCTTTTAAGGAATCCCAATAATGCCACGCTCATATCAGGAACTTTCTAACGAGCTAACTTTAGGTAAAAAAAAATCAGGGGGGAAATACACAATATAATTTTTTTTTTAATTTAATCTATATTTTTCAGAGTCCCTTACCAAGAATTAAAAAAAACATCCTTTATGAACTGTTTTTTTTAGTGCTGTATTTGTGTTTGAAACCATCAAATTTTGAAAAGTTGAATAAAATTATTTAATAGTTTCGTTAAAGTAAAAATAGTGGGATCAATATTGATATTTGGGAGCAAAGCCACCATTAGAATTTAAAATAATACATTCTTCTTTATTTACTATAAAACTCAGTACATTCTGAATCAATTGTATCTTAATCAATAACAAGTTACAATTAAAGATAATCATCATACATACATTGTTTTTTTTGTGGTTGACATTTTGACATGCACTAAAAACAAGGCACTTACGAAGGTATCTGACTTGTTTAGTTGTGCTCATTGAGGCTTAACTGCTAGTAGTCACGGTAACCATCCTTGCCCAGTATTACACAAAGTCAAAGTGCTCTCCAACACATAACAATGCATGCAGGAAGTTAGTGATTTCCAGAAATCATGTGAGACAGTCAGTGAAGTTAACAGCTTTGCAAAGTTTCAATGTTTTATGGTGGAATTGGCATTTTGTGAACACGATAATGCACGTACATACAACTCTCTGTGAATATCAACATGACCACAACATATTGTTGGTGTAAAGATGGTGAGTTAAAATCCCAGGTTATATACATATATATACACAACCTCAACTGGGCAACTGTGGCTCAGTTGGTGGAGTCAGTCGTCTCTCAAACAGAAAGTCGGGGGGTTCGATTCCCAGCTCCTGCAGCTCCATGTCTGATGTGTCCTTGTGCAAGACACTTAACCCCAAGTTACTCCTGCTGCTTCATCGATGGCGTATGAATGAGTATAATTGGGATTAGTTACATCTGATGGTCAATTTACATAACAGCCTCTGCCATCAGTGTGTCAATGTGTAGATGTGACCTGCAGTGTAAAAGCACTCTGAGTAGACAGAAGACCAGAAAAGTGCTATACAAGCTCAAGTCCATTTACCATTTAATGGCAGTAACACAGACACCGTCAGAGAAAGTAATAATAGATAAAACTTTACTAATCAGGAAAGAGCCTTTTCTTTCTGAATAACAGTGGTCCCAAGACTGAGCCCTGTGGCACAACATTTATTATTGTAAGAGGAGAGTCCTTCAATTTGCACACACTGATCTCTTCAATGTACATTTTACAAACCAATAGATAAATTGTTCTGAAAACCCTATACTGTCTGTTTCATAATAACATAGTCAACAGTGTCAATGGCAAGTCAATAAAGAGGGCTGCAAAGTGTTCCTTATTGCCCAATTGAAATAATCAATCGATTAAAATCACTAACCTAATCTACCTGCCTATCCAGGCATTATGCTGCATGAAAAAGAGTCTTTTAACTTAAGTGATTTTTTTTTACAAGTCATACTCAAAATGCTGACTTATTGAAGCAGCTATATTTTAGCCAATGCTTTAACTTAAAAAGAGAGATAGCTAACCAAATGACCAAAACACTATGCATACTAATGGAAAACTGGACAGATAGAATGAGAGCAAAAGTGAGTTTTTTATCTACCAATGTCTGACGCACATGTAGGCTACACTTTAATGAAGCAAATATGCTCATATTTGCAGTGTACGTGACATTTTACTTGCAGCAATTATGGCTTCCATTCAATAATAATTGAGCTTCTGTGCTTCTACTTTAAGCAACATTTCACAAAACAATTACATTGGTTTTCCCAAACATACCTGCAAATCAGAAGGTTCTCAGTTCATAATAATAATAATAATACATCATCATTGTTTATTGGTACATAGTCAATTCAATACCACACATGGAAGGTGAGGAAGACTAGCTTCATTGGAGGGGAAGGGTGAAAAACCACACACCAATTGCATTGACATCCAAGTTCATTACTCTACAGGGGAGTGATGGGATCGCCTCCAGGGAATCAGTCAGCCACCTGCTCAGCCTAACAGCTCCTGTCCAAGATAAGAAACAAAAAAACCAGTGAACCAGGCCAATAACAGTACTAACATGCTACAGGTAGCTAAATGTGTCATTAACTACCCCTCATACACACACACACACCGAAACCGATGAACAGCAAGTTGAGTGTGAGATATTCATAAGGCTTGTCTTGTTTTTGATAATAGAAGATTATAATTGTATTATAGGCAGTTAAGATTGACCCAACTTACTTTGTGGATATCCCTGATCCCCACAGTCATGTTGATGAGGAGACCGTTCAGAGGGTGGAGGAGCTGGTGCTGGAACTGCCAACAATAAAGACGGCCCTGAAGGACCTCACAGTGGCTCTCAATCCACAGCAGGTGACAGAAGTGAGGGGCACCAGTTCCAGTACCTCATATGCAGAGGTTCGTAGCTTTTTATGAATTCATAACTTTTTAAACCTGTGTTGTGCTGTTACACCTCCAATCATCACTTCATATCTATTATAAGACTGTTAAAGCACAGAATAGATGTCATCTCTTTTTTAGAAGCCAAGCTGCCCCCATCAAACACTTGATAAAGGTCATGTCAAATTCTAATGCATTTCATTTTCCAAACCCTGAAAAAATATCAGCTTGTAGCGAACTTGACAATTTTATTTTGGGTTGACAGTCAGAGTCAAGTCTGACAAATTTAAAGTAAATACAAACGAAATATATTTGTGTTAACCAGCACAAAATATGAAGCAATAGCCAGGAACAATTTCATCAAACACAGCAATGAGACCCAAAAGCAAACAAACAACCAGAAAAGCAGTTTTCAGAACATTTATTTTCACAACAATCACACCAAACAAAAGTGCAAACATCGGGTGTGTGTGTGAGTGTGTCATAGTCACAGTTTAATGTTCAATCTAAACAGATGAAGTACGCTTCAGTTTCCCCACAAAACCACAGTTCAGTCCATTCCATTTAAATATTAATGCACAAAGCCACAAATCAAAACTCCTAACCGGGTTTGACCGCGGACCCACAACTCAAAGCAAATGAGGAAATCAAAGTCAAGGAACCAGCTGTTCGCTGTGCAACAATCAAAACATGAAGAAACACACACCAGGAGGTACTCACGGTACCGAAGTTTAGAGAGATCAACACACACTCCAGCAGCTGAACCGACGGGGAACTCAACAGATCCAGCAGGGAATCTTACCGACGTGACTGCAGGGACGAGGCCCACACAAAACAGCTTAAACGCGGACTTAATAACTGGCGTTTTCCTTCTCACTGCTCTCACTCGATCTCTGCTGAATTGAACACATGCGGATTCAGACTGCGCGGGGACTCTGTGGATGTTTTTCATTGGATAACGCAAAATAAAACCTCAACAAAAGGATCAGCCGATTAGCGGTGTTCTTTACAAGTAGACAACAGTAGGTGTGTGAAATCTACTGTTTCCTGCAGAGGGCGCTCTCACTCCTCCCACTGATAGAATTTAACTGATTGGACTAACAACACCGCACAGCTGGTCAGTATTGCAAGATCCACTAACAAACCTATGTGTGGTTCTGTTTTAACAACAGCATAGTTATAGATTTATTTACCAGTTCTATAAATTTAAAGGTTTGCGATGGCCGGGAATCGAACCCGGGTCAACTGCTTGGAAGGCAGCTATGCTCACCACTATACCACCATCGCTTGATGGATTCCTCAGAGAATATAGGAAGTTTCTTGCATAATGCTTTAAGGTGCTATTCTTCTCAAAACAGCAGACTCCCGCAGATGATGCCTAACTAATTTAAACCATAGACTGTAAAGATTTAAACATGTTCTTTATGCTCCTGTTTCGACTCATTCACTGTTTAGAGAAACATGTAGCATATCTGTGGTAGTCACTGTGTTAGTGATCGTAGCTATCATAGGAAAGACTTGCTCTCTCTCTCTCTCTAGTAAAAACAGCTCTAGAGACTTTGGAAGCACAGCCTACTTCCAAAGTAAACCCTTTTCTTCTTCTCTTGGCAAACTATATATAGACTGCTTTTAGATCGTGTTTAATGCTTAGGTTCTTAACTCTGATTTTACCTTTGACTATTGCTGTTTTTATGGTTTTATTGAAATTGTAGCACTTTGAGATTTTCCTTTAAATGTAAAGTGCGTTATAAATAAAATGTATTATTATTATTTATATAACTCGCACAACAACTCTTAAGAATGACGATATTAATGTTTTACGCTCTTGAATTACCCAGAATGGTTATTACAAAAAGTGTCTGACTTTACCGGAATTATTCTAATAATAAAGGACTTTCCTCCAATATGAAAGGGTCATGTTGAAGAAAAGTGTTTATTTCCATGTAATTAGAAACAACTTTTGAGGGTGGATTGGACTAGTTTTTACTGCTTTATGCTTCTCTGTGGCAATGCTTATTTTGGCCAGAAGAGGGCAGCAAGCTGATTCTCTATGTACAACATGTCCCTATGCACATTGAGTATCATTAACATTACAACAATGTTAGGACAATTAAGTAAATTAAAGATGTTCCGCCTGAAGCTAAGTTTAATAAACATTTATCTTAGAGCCTCAGAACAAATCACACAAATATGCAGCTTAGATTGCACTGATGTAGTTAATGAGGCTGTATATGGCATGGAGACAAAACTGATAATAAATATGATTATAAAAACAACAAAATAGTAGATTGCAATGCAGTCCAGATCACCTGTATCACATAATACGAGAAATTACGACTGAAAACAAAGCACTGTAAAACATCAATATGATAAACAATTACATATGTAATAAACAAAGAGCTTGCTCAGCAATGACTTTAAATCAATATTTGGACGTAGAAGGGGGGCATTTGAGGCAGTTATTATGAGTGAGTCAGTAAATTAGGAAGCTGTTCCAACATATTCACGTTGACTTCTCTGTAAAGTATAGCCGCGGAGCTAAATCATGCCTCAATGCAAACTAAGAGCTAAATCAAAGGTCGAGCGTCAGCATCAAGCCCTTCAAAGCCATGATTCATATTCTGAAGCAGTCGATGTGCTGGACTGCAGCCAGGAGCCACATAAAATCCTGTCAGCTGTATTTTCAAGGTCCAATGACTTGAATCCTAATTTCCTTTAAAAACCCCCTCTATATGGATTAATTTATGCCATGATTTGATGTAGACCATGATACACTGCGATTCTTTTTACTGATGTGGGTCACGTTGGGTAAAGTGGATTTTGTGACTCTGTGGTATTAAAGTGCTCCATGGACAGCAGGCAGTGCGAGGTTCTTTTTCTATGGGCCGACATTCAAATAGAAGTTTAGGATTATACCCTCTGCCATTTTGTGTCGTCATTCTCCTCTCTGACGTCTCAGGCGCGGTGTTGAGTGATCCAATGTGATGAAAAGGCATTCATGTTATGGGGTTACATGTGGCTAGGGCTTTATATACCTTTTTTGTGACACTCTGAGGTGTGCATGTTTCTATTCCTGTGGTTCTATGTGACCTGCAGAGTGAGTGGAGGACACCTGGCTCATTGGCTCCCATACAACAAAAGAAGCTGTAGGTAAGGAGCTGGTGCGCCCACTGGCACGCCATCCTGTGAATAAGACAGAGACAGCTCGGGGTACTGCTAATAATAATGATGATTTGTCCAAGTACAAAAGCTTATCTCGTTGTCTTACACTTACACACTTCTTTTTTTTATATTATTTAACCTTTATTTTCAAGGGTGACCTGGCAACGAGAACGAAAAAGTTCAAAACAATAAAGTAAGAGCAACAACAAAATACATTTGCTCACAATCTTAAAAAGTGTATCTGGGGAAAATGACCAACCCTGCCTATAAGATAATGATTATGATGGAAGATGATGTTGTCAGTTGGCTGGTACGGGAGGATGGACTGACTGCAGGGCAGAGGGAGACTCAGGATGAGCGGTTCTGTCTCAAGAATAATTCTGCCTGAGCTGATCGAGGCCCAGACTGTGCCTGGAATTAGACAAACAAGATGCAGGGATGAGGAATGAGGGTGAATGGGATGAGAGGAAGGGAAGAGAGGGTGGGTGGAAGATCTGAGACAAACAGGGTGGAGCGGGATGGCTCGGCATATGTCGGCTTGTCAGGTGATTGGAGGTGTGGTTTGGGCGTGGTCCTTCCTCTGAACCTCAGTTAATACAATAATCTTGAGATGACATCTGTTTTGAATGGGCGCAAAAGAAGACTGAAGTAAATCAGACAAAAAGTTTCATGCAAAGACTTTTATTTATGAATACTCTGCAGTACTGTACATTAGCACACATTTGTCTCCATGTCTGATCATTCTCAACGATCAAATATAGACAAATATTGTGCCTTCACAAACGCTTCCCTTTTCACAAGAATCTAAAAATACCCTTTTTTTTTTTAAATATGTAGCATAACTTTTTGAAAATAAAATATACATTATATGAAATATAACAGTTGTTTATTGGATAGACTATATAGTACCAAATGCAATTATATGCAAATTACACCTTCTCGCTGTGACTTCTTACGCATTTCATGCACACAAAAAAAAGAAGAAAAAAAAAAAAAGATGCCGCGCATACAAAAGAAGCTGTACATACTTCTGTATGAAAATAGAAAATATCAAAGCAACATGTGCACCAATAGTCTATATCATGTTACAAAGAACTTGCAGTACAAAAAGACCGACGATAATGACCAGATAACACCATAATTACCTGGAACACAGAGGTACGCGTACTGGGCTGGGAACAGACAAAGACAAAACCTTGTTTATTTGAACTCCAGTCAGAGACACACTTCCATGCAAGTCCAACACCAGATCCAACAGGTTCCACGTCAAATACAGCCGCTTTTAAAGAGTGACTAACGGGCGTACAGAAGTTGCAGTTCTAGCTTTGAATTTGGTGTTAAACCCCAGTAAATGTAGATGTCCAAATGCATAGCACAAAGTTTGGTTTGGTATGTTTTTTTTGTTTTTTTTAATACTTGTATTGCTACCCCATAAGTGAAGTGAGTGTAAACCAATTGCCAGTTATGCCCACAACCTATAAAGCACTGATATGTGTACATCACACTACTGAACATGTTCAGACACTAAGATTAGCATCGTCACACAAACGTTCTTTACAGTATCAACACTTAACGTCTTCAGCTAAACTACAATATTATTATTATTAGTATTATTGCCGGAACGACCTCAAATGTTTCTGTTTTCTCTGGAGATGAAATACTGACGTCCAGTTGAAACTAGGATTTGCAAAAGAAAAGTAGTGAGTGTGAAGTTCTCCACAGAAACAGTGTGTACAAGGCACACTGCGATCAATATAGCTACATCTATCATTTCCTGCTAAAAGCACTTCAGAAATCACACCTAAACTGAGATGTGTGACTGAAGAAGAAAAAACACGAACCTCCTGGTTAAATATAGACGTCTGGTAATGCCACAAAGTATAGATTTTCTACTTCCACAGTATGAGGACGAACGAAAAGCAACACATCAGACGTCTCTGATACATGTTGGGATTGCTGATGCTGAGAGTGACGGCAGCGGAGAACGGGGGAGGGTGTGAACACCAATCCTCCGAGTATTATCTCCGACTATTTGAAGAGATTATTAGGGTGCTCACCCGGTAACATAAAGCCAATAATCTCAGCAGTGCAAATCCAACACTTGTACCAAAAGGTAGAGCTTTAAAGCAGACGTTTAAATGCGATGAGCTCCGTGAAATGGAGACTTACTACTCGATTCATGTCACAAACATCCCACATACGACGACTATATTGCTCTTAAGTGAAACTATTCACGAATCCACAGTGTTTCTCATTGCATCCAGGCTCTCCGAGTACATTCTCTATCACACGAGTATAAGAATAAAGAGCACAGGGTTTCATTATTAGTAATACACCCAAAGACTACACTTCCAAAAAATCTAGTTTTTCCTTAACAGATATGAAAATATACATTTGTCAGCAATTAAATGTCTTAAATTGATTTTTTTATACTCTTCATAAAATCTTATAACTCTTTCTTATTTACATTTGGTGTAGGTTAATACTGATTGTAATGCAATACTGTCGCCTTATTTTCTTGTGTGTTACATTACTTAAGTTTGTGAAGCAGAAGCACTTTTACATTCATAGTTCAACTCGAGAAGGAGCCCTCGAGTGCAGACAGGAAGAATGACATGCATTTTTCCAAAAGAGAAATAAGACAACTTCACGGGAGGATGTCCATTTGTTGAGCAAAAATAAAACTTGGGAGAGGGAGAAAATGAAAGGACAAGGGGTGGTCATGGTTGAAAAGGCCTGGAGAATAGGCACCAGGAGGGGCACCTTTATTTGGCTATAACAATGCTCTCGCAGCACCAGGACAGTCAGTTCTGTAAGAAATAAATGTGTAACAATATTGGAAGGTCACAGCTGACTAAGCCATGAGGTGAGATGAAAGCCTTTGTTGTTGGAAAAGCTGTTAACTTGAGAAAGACTGATTTCCACAGTGGTGAAGGCAGAGTCAGAGGTCACACTCTTTCCACTCGACTGGGGTCGTAGGAGTCTGATGAGAAAAGAGAGACAGAGAGAGAGAGAGATGAGTCAACACAAGCCAAACAAGTCAGAACAATATTATTTGTCCTACCTAAAGGTGGAAGTTCCCTTCCCTGTGAATTTTTATTTTTACCACTAGCAACTCTATAAAGTCATCTTTTATTGAGATTGGATTGTGCATCCTTAAATGTTCCTGTCTGCATAAGAATTTAACATTTTGTTCTAAACAAATGTAGCCGTGTTCTTTATATTACGTAAAACTGGATATACAATTCAATGTTAAAAATCTGTCTCTCCAAAACATTTAGGCGTGGCGTCATGGGCCAAGAGCCAGCTGCTGCTTTGGCTTTTTTTTCTACTAATAACTTCAGATTAACATTTCTGGAGACTAAAATCCTCCAATAAACAAAAACGACAAAATGCAGTGACGTGACCTGATAAACTAAAAATATACTGTAAGGCTGGGTATATTCAATCTCCGGTGGGCAAGGCAGCCAGAGCTGCTGAAACATAAGATCAGGGTTTAGAAATATCAAAGTTTTGTGTTGCTGAGGTGACAAAAAAGGATAAATCAGCAATATCCTAATCGACTCGACTGATACAATTCTGCCTTTTACACTGTCCTGTAATGGAAGAATGTGCGATACTTAAAACATAAATACAGCAGAAATCAAGTATATCATATGAAAATGTCTCTCTGAGTCATGACTGTCTACAATGAGTGAGTCCCGGCAGGTGTTGTTGTCAGAGCCGTGTTTACATCATGTTTACACTAACGGGACGGCCTTGCGTATAAAGCTGTTTCAGTCAAGGACTAAAAGAAAAGAAGAATAACAGTCCACTCATTGGTCATTCTGTGTTAATTGAGGTGCAATATTAAGCTACAAGCTAACCAAAGCGTGCTAATATTAGCCTGCTAACACGACAATGCAGTCAACAGGTAAGTGCAGCTTGAGCAAAGGACAATTTTGTGCTAAATTATGGTGCGTTCTAATTCATATCGCCTTTGTGAGATTGCGAGTCGAGAGGGGTTGGAGGTGTGCTGCTGGAGGAGAGCGGAGGCTTTAGTAAGGCGGAGGTGTGGCCAAACAGCAGTTTGTTTTGGTTTAATGCTGGTGCTCTAGGGCGACATCTACTGGATCAAAAAGTCACACATTCTTCCTTTAAGAAGTACAATCAAACTCATTAGTGTACACATTTTTTTCTAAAACAAACATGTTCAGGCTGCTTCACTTTAAAAGCAAAACAAAACTTTTGAAGGATCATCTTCTAATTCATTTGAACCCACCTGAGACAGAGAGCATATCCTCATCCTCCGTGTTGGAGGGGCCGCAGGTCCCAGTGCTGAAGCTGAGTGGCAGTGTTATTTCTCTCTTGGGAACACTGCGAGGTTTTGGAAGCAAAGGGGGCTTCTGGAGCCTGGTGCGCTGCTTCGGCTTGGGCAACTTTTTCCCCCTGGCACCTTGTGTTGTGTTGGCTCTACTGACCACGGCTGCATTCTGTCCCTCTGCCACCTTCTCCAAAGGCTTTTCTTTGTCATCCTCCACAATCTTCAGCTCCACCTTGTCTTCTGGTTCTTCTGCCTTGAATTCATTCTCCTGTTCTTTGCTCCCTTTAGTTTCAATATCGATTTCTTTATCCTCTTCATTCTCTGCTTTCAATTCAACGTCTGCTTCTTTATCCTCTTCATTTTCTGCTTTCAGTTCAACATCTGCTTCTTTATTTCTTCATTTTCTGATTTAAAATCAACATCTGCTTCTTTTATTCCTTCATTTCCTGCAGCCAATTCAATATTGCCTTCTTTACTCGTTTCATTGTCTTCTCTTAGTGCAATCTCAACATTCAACTCCTCTGTCTCTCCTTCTCTTTGTGGTTCCTCATACATGTCATCATTGGCTTCTTTAGGTTTACAATCGTCTTCATGATCCCCTGACTTGTACAGTGGTGTTTTTTGTACTTTTTCTTCCTCCAGTTTCTGTCTTCTTTCCTCTTCTCGTAGCTTCACGTCCTCCTCCCTTATCTTTTCTTGAGCTTCACCTTCCTCTCTGTCACATTCCCTCTCGTCAGACTCTGAACCTTTGAGACTCAGGCGTCGTATTCGAGACACTGAGTCCAGCTCTTTTAGACGAGCCATTCGTTCTGGCGTTGACCTGCCCTGAGATGTAGTAGCTGAAGAGGCAGCAGAGTTTAGCTTGTCTTGCAGGGATTCGATCAGTTTGCTGTTTCCGCATCGCCCCTTTTTCTCCACATTACACATGCTGAGTGTTAACTTCTCAGTGGTGGAAACAGGCAGGGACAAGTGAAGCTTAGTGGGAGGGAACTCAGGCAGGTCCAGTACCACCAGGGACTGGCCTTCAGGATCCTCATTGTCTGCACCATCACTGTGGTTGCTGCTGTGCTTTTGTCTGTCTCCTTCATGGTTCACATCTGATTCAATCTCCTTAACCTCATCCGTCTCTGCTCCCTGGTCAATAGGGAACTCCTCTTTCACTTGCACACACTCTTCTATCACCTGCTGTGTCTCTTCACCTTGGCTTTGTAGTCTCCTGTCTTCAGTAGTGTCCTTATTATCCTGGTTGTCCTCGGACTCCATGTCAGCCACACCCAAAGCCTCAACTGGAACAGCTATGCCAAGGATTCGAGCGGCCCTCTCCTCAATGGACTCATTTTCAGGGATACCTTTTGCACTTTTGACTTCGTACAGGTTACTAAGGTCCTCTGCAGGCAAAGAATTGGCTTTCTCTTTAATCAATAAGTTTTCCAGGTGCTTGTCTGCTATGGTCGATTCATTCTTATACCTCATAGGTTCAGTGATAGAGTATCTTTCATCGTCATTCTCAAGCATAAAAGTAACCTCCCTGGTCAGTCTGCTGAAATGTGGTGAACCCTCTTTCTTAGGTGACCTGCTGCTTTCACTTCTGGTCCTACAGATACTCAAATTCACCTCTCCCCTGAATGGGGAAACAGTGTCTGGTTTAGGTTTTCCCTCTGTCTCAGTCTCAACCTCAAACTGCAGCTCCTCATTTGAATTGTGCTCAGGGCTACTGCTATTTTTAACGAGTGCCACCCTGTTGTCCCACGAGAACTGCACTGACTGACTCAGCTCCTTATGATTAAGCGGAGAAGGGACTGACAGTGAACGCTTTATTGGCTCCCCTGGACCACCAGGAGTCTCTGTGTAGACAGTTAACCCCACATCCCTCAGCAAGGACTCTTGAGGAACCGGGATGTCCTGTCTATAGAGACGGTTTGACTCATTGTGTGGGCTTGGTGAAGGCAGGAGGGCACTGTCTTTGAGGCCTGGGTTTGGGAGTATTGATAGCACATTTGTTGGTTGTATGTTGTTGGCCAGTGGCCTGGAGAAAGAACTCTTCATGTCCATGGAGTCTAGGTCAGCAGTGGAAGCCAAGGACTTTGATCTAACTTTGATACTATGGGGTATTTCTGTGTGCATTGGAGGAAGGCTGATTGCTTCCCTTCCTGGTTCTGGACCAGCAGTGAAAAGACCTTTACACCGGTCTCGTTTCTCACCAATGCATTGACCCCCATTGGGTCTCTTGCTAATCGTGTCTTCCATCACCTTATTTATGCTTTCCAGTTCATCGATGGCATCACAGGGTCGTCGGCTCACTGGCTTTAAGAGAAACTGACCAAAAGCCACTTGCTCTAAACTCTCTGGACTGGAGGTGCTTTTCCTGGGAGATGATGGCTGCTGATCACTCAGATCATGCGCCATTGATGGGGGGGATGCTTCTTGTGGTGAGGTTTGATGTGATGATGATTGTGTTGGGCTGAGTCGAGAAAAGGCGCTGTTGTTAGAGAGGTGAAGGTTTTTCTGGCCTGCCATAGGAAAGCCATAAGAGGAGCTACTGTCAGTCCCAACACAACTCTCCATTGTGGGGTCTGAAACAGACTGAACATGGTCTTGTTCGCAAAGTGGACTCTGGGGTTCTGGACTTTTCACCACTGACAAAGGTGAGCCAGTCTGGGTTTCCTGATTACGGTACTGGTTTCCAGGCCAGGACCCAGAATAGCACAACTCCTTGTCTTCCCTAGCTTGAAGTGCCCAGGCATCTATTATCTCCTTCCTCAGAGGAGCCCTCTTGTAATTCCTCATTGAGGATGTGCTGCTGGTGTGAAAGTGAGAGTAGTGGGGTTTGATGGGCATTTCATTTACCGACCTGCTCCGAACATTCGGGCTCTCTCTGAGGCCTACAGCAAAAGTGTTTGTGTTGGTGACAGTCAGGTTTGATACTGTCTCATTGTTGTTCTGATCTGAGGCAGAGTCTTTGTGAATAATGGTCGGTGTGTGAACAGGGACAGACACAAGACAGAAGATGGTCTCACTCACTCTTCTCTTGGTGTTCCTGTTGATTTCTGGCACTGAATCTGGGGCAATTTTCTTCACTTGGGTGATGGTTTCAGAACTCGATCCCAGGTGAGAAGCGCTCCTTGTTAATGGGGCCTGGAAGGCCGATGATGGAGATGGAGGAGGACGTTGGTTTTTGGGATATCTGTTGTTGCAGTTTTGGTCAGTTGCTGGGAAGTTATCTACAGTCTCTTTGTGCAAATCACTGTGCCACCTGTTATTGTCATTGTCGAAGTCGCTAGAGGACGTCTTGTTAGCATCATCAGCCAGTTTGGCAGAGATGAAAGGCCCCAATGGCGGGGGCAAAAAGGCACTGTCGTCGGATGCAGGCTCCGACACGGTGACACTGGGAAGCTCGTTGCGGATGTGGCGGATCTTGTCAGCGTCTGTCAGGGAGTTGCCACCCAGGGCTGAAGAAATATGGCGGATGCGGGGGTCATCAAAGGGGATATATTGGATCCCTCCACCAGGGTGCTCCTGGGTAGTATACACAGGGTACAGCTGCTTTTGACCAGCCATGATCCTTCCACTGTGAGGATCAGGCCAGGAACCAGCTGGATGTCTGGTAAACCAGTGAGATCCATCTGGAGCCACATGTATCTGCTGGTACACATCCCCTCTGTACCTGAAACAACACAGTTGTGCTTTATTTCAGCAATGACTTTAAAAGAATACAATAAAATAAAAGAATGGCTTTAATGGTTTATTACCCATCTATGCTAAAGGGGAGAATTTGTAAATGTCACAAATATCACTAGGGTACATAGAATAGAGAAGTATCTTCAGAAGAAAGGAGCCACTCCATTGTTAGGGAATAACATAAAACCTTTTCTAAAAGATCTACTTTTCTGGCTGGGAATCTAATGCCTGGGATAAAGGTATTCTAAAGATACGAAGATCAAAACTTCATTCCACTTTTTTTATTCAAACATCAGCAAAGATGTATTAGTGTGAAATGGCATACCCAATTAGGGGGGCTAAAGTCATACACTTTCAAGTCATAAGGTAACTTTGTATTACCAGAGAAAGCACAGCAAACCTGCTATATAATGTGGCTTATGATAATTTCTGTTTTCATTGTTACAACTTGACACAAATATGTTGACTTGGCTAACTTAGCTATACAATTCATGATTAAAGATGCTATATGTTTACAAAACAGACAGTTGACAAAATTGTACTAATATTAAACCACAGCCAATTAATAAAAAAAGCAAAAATAACTCATATCTTTATAAGGGAATCAGAATCAAAGGACTTACCTGTAGTCAACAGTTATTTCCCCATATCCCCGACGGCCCCCTGCCATTATAGGAACTCTTTTATATGATGGAGGGGGGATGTATCCTGGAGGTCCAGAGTCTTGTGCATAATAGTCCAGTTGGGGGTCATCTGACCTTGATATGGGAAGTGGTGTTCTGTCCCTTGCCTGGGAAATCACAGAGTCTCTCCCAGACAACACCTCACAGCTTCCCCTGATCTGCTGGTGCATCTCATAGGAAGGAGGTCTGGGGGGTCGGGTGAAGCGGGGCTTTGGTGTCATTGAAAGTTGGTTGGCGCTAGCTGGCCTGCCATTTTCTGGCCAGCGGGGTGCCCTATAAAGATCATGTTGTGACAATGGGTGGCCATTGACCCTCCTGTACAGCTCCTGACCTGATGAGGCAATGTCCACATATTGCAGGCTCTCAGGCTGCACCATCCTGGGCAGGGACTGAGATTTAGCTTTGGTCCTGGGGTGTACAACCATGCCCTCAGGTGTCCTGGCATGAAGCCTCTGCTGCTCAAGTGCCCAGCGCTCGCCCTCACTCTGTGACAGCTGGCGGGCAAAGCTCACGGCTGGACGCCACTCTTCTGTCCCCAGGCTCTGGCACTTCCTCTCAGTTACCATCCTCCACTGATGGAGAGCGGCATCCCTCTGTCTCAAACGAGCCTGAGCCTGGGCCTGAGCTTGAACCTGGGCCTGAGCTTGCACATGAGCCTGAGCCTGGGCTGCCCAGCGCTGCCTCTCTTGGGCTAGCCTCTGACGATCCTCTGCAGACAACTCCTGGCCTCTCGCTTGTTGAGAACCCTCTGGCCTGCTGTAACACCCTGGGCCTCCTCCATGGGGATCTCTTAAGTCTGCATAGTCCAGCAACACAGTGAAGTCCTGGCCTCTCCTCCTCCAGTATGCCACATCCTTGGACTGTGGTTGAGGACCTCTTGTTCCATCACAGAACCTGTGAGGGGGGACACACATATGTCTGTGTCAGCATGCTTCAATAGTATTTGCCATAAAAAACAGAAAATGATGGAACCCCCTTTCCCCATCCATTTTCCATCAACTGAACTATTTTTCTCTTTCCTCTTTATCTTTTCCAATCAGGATATCTCACAGTTTAAACAGCAATTGGCCACGGGTAGTAGTGCATGGGTAGTCCTTACAATGCATATCATTTATTAGATTACATTAAATGCCACTTCTATGAGCTTCTTTCTGACAGGTGTTTTCAGGCTCCAGCTGTTTTTGAACACATGCTCCTATGCATCTCTAGCCCTATCCAAACTGTAGTTTCAAGGCACGTTGTTTACGTCCCCTTGCTGTTTTGTCTTCTCTATAAATGTCGCAGAGTCGTAATGTGCAGACGAAGTGATCCCACTCATGACAGGAGTCATGGTTCCACAATGTCGAAACACAATGTGAATTCATAGACTGGGGCATTAATATAACGCCGTCACAGAATTAATATGAATGTACAAAGACGTCATGGCGGCTGAGCTTAGTTACGGTTTCAGAACTTTTGCAGAAACGCAGTATGAATACATGAACAATCACTCTCTGCATTTAGTTGCCGCAGATTTCAGTCTGACTTGACACTGGACAGTATGTTGCTTAAAATTGGAAGTGCACAACTTTCAAAGAAACCTTTGGGGTGTCTGAAGAGAGCTCTTGTGTTACTATTAAGTATGGGAGCTCAGGAAAGCAGTGGCTGTTTAATTCTTCAGTTCTTCTGAACTAGAATCAGTAAATTAAATTAATTTATCACCCCGGCCCCGATCTTGTTGATTTAAAGATGAGACAACACATTGTGGTACAATACCCACATTGGGACAATTTGAGCAAATTATGACCTATACAAACACTGATACACAATTATGCAGGATCTTAAAGTCCCACAGAAAAGATGAAAATAAAACATTTAGTCTACAATGATGACAGAGTCAAAAAGGATATAAAGCATCTCCCACTAGATGGAGACAGGTGACCATAAGAAGCAGTGTAGTGTTTAGTAATTGTGATTTTCTATGGGGCATAATGAACACATTACACAATGACACACTGTTTCTGATAGTCCCGGATGTCCTCCAATAGAGATCAACAATTTAAAGGTCGATTCATTAACAATCTTTCTTTGCACACATCAAACGGTCTTCATCAGAAAAAAGAAGCAGCATTTCACTAAACCGGTGTTTATGAAAGCTCCTGCTATTTTTCAAAGAGGATGTTTGACAGGAAGCCTGATGGGATACAACAAGATGCAGTGGGTCTCTGCATAGAGCCTGATCATTTCAGGCTATTTGTGGAGTGACTGACTGAGTGACAATGCAAACAAGACGCAAGCACATGTGTACACCCCCTCAAGGCCAAGGCCGCTGAGCGTCCTTGACATTTTCATCCATGATCACCACTGACCAGAGACGTTTGCTGCGGGAGGAGAGAAGCTAGCCATGCCAATCGGCTAAATTTGAGGGCATCTCATGTAAGATGAGTTACCATCATTAGTCTAATTGGGTCTAAGTAGCACTGCCTAATGGGAGTGCCAAGATAGGCCCGTTCCTTATCTAAACTAAAGCTGCCAGGCAAAACGGATTTGGATGAGAGGAAAAAAAGAAGGATGAACAAACAACAGACTGAAATCACAAAACATATGTCTTAGTGATTCCCACATTCCCCACAGAATGCTCTGATAACACTGGCACAGCAGCGACATGAAAATGCGGATTACTCGTCTCAAAGAATAAAAACTGAAAAGTGAAAAACCACCAGCACAACCGCTGACATTACTCAAGGTCATCGGACTATTTTCAGATGCTCAGTCACTGGCTGGTGGCAAAAAGGGATTAGGGATGAAAAAAAAAAGGGACTGTCAGCCAAACAAAATGTAAGGAAATAGGGAAACAATCTGATGAGCCTGCCTAATTGTGTGGACATGGGAACAGCTGTATTGACTTTGTCTCAGTTACAGCACACTAACCCCAGAACTGGTGCAAATAGGCAAATCAAACAATCCTGTTTTCAGGATAAAACAGATTGGCTGCAGCCTGGTGATATCTCTGGAAATATCAAACGCTCTAACAGTCCCTACCCGTGAGGGTTTCAATTACATAACTTCAGACCAGGCTAAATATAGCCTATCCTCTGTATACATATTTAAATAAACCCTATATGAGTCCTGTATAATTGATGGGTTCTACACGTGACATCTAGGTAGGTATGATTCTTGTGACACAGTGGGAGCAGGTTATTTATATACTGAAGGTGATGTTTGTGGGTGGAATGGGGAAGGGGGTATCCTGAAAACCTGGCAACTTGCATGTGTAAGACTGGGCATGCTCAAATGGGTGCACATAGGTTTGCCCAAAGCTGTTTTGATTACAACTCCAAGGTCCCATGTGGCAGATTAAGACTCTAGCACACATTATCCCTCCTCCCCTGCCCAAGACTTGATTGGGAAGAGGAGGAGAGAGGGGAATAGAGATGAAATGAGAGGAAGTAACACACAAGGGGAAAGAAAGAGGCAGGAAGGAGATGGCGGCAGGGACTGAGGAGCAGTGTTAGGCAGTTCCATTTAAGATGTCCCACAAAATCTCTATACTCTTCTCTTTGATGACTCATTCAATTTCATTAATCTGCCCCACTAAAATGAATCATTTTGTAATTTATCAATGCAGGATGAGGACGGTCCTAATTAGGTTAGGTTATGGGGGGGGGTCCAAAAGGTGTAGGGCATGCAAAAGGTTAAACATACAGGGGTCAGCAGACACTGTCTTACCCGCTGTCTGATGTCAGAGACTCTCCTAATGAATGGGTGTCAATTTGACCCTCCCGTCTGGACTGGCTCCTCTCCCTGGGTTCGTTGTTGTTGTTGGGACAGCCCCCGACGTATCCTTGGGGCTGCCTGGGTCCCCCACCATTCCCATAGGGCACCCCGGGACCTCTCTCATATCCGTTCACTGTCCTAGGGCCAGGCATGTTCTCCAGGATTTCATGGTGTTTGCTGTAGGACGGCGGAGGGGACGAGGGAGCCTGGCGGGACGAGGAAGCGGGGGCTGGGGTAGGGGTTGACGAGGGGGTGTTGGTATGCTTGGGCAGCTTGTATCCATGAGAGATGAGGAGGTCCTCCACGCTGTACATGGTCGCATTTGTTTATGCTGGTGTGTTTTCTTTTTTTTCCCCTTCTCTGCTTTTTTTTTTTTTTTTTTTTTTTTTTTTTCTTGTTGTTGTTGAGCGAGGGAGGAAGGTAGGTCGGTTGTCACAGCGTCTCTGCTTCTTCCCGACGTGCAGCGGCAGGATCACCGGCACAGCTGCGCAGCTGAGGCCATCACTGGGAAAAAAAGAAAAGAGAGGGACGACATGAGTAGACAGGACGAGAGACGGAGAAAAGAAGGTGGCGGTAAAACCATTATCCCCGCTACCCGTGTCCCATTTTTCTCAACCCATTTGGACAGTTGGGACAAAACAAAAAAAAAAAAAGACCACCCTCCAAACCCAAATTCTGAGGCGCCACAACAAAACCAAGAACACCCGCCTTCCTATCAGCCTGTTCCTCCCTCTTCTCTTCTTCAGTCATCCTAGCAACAACCCTGTTTCCATCTTTCTGGGAGATCACAGGCACCAAACCCACCACCAGCACTAAGGACAAGGGGTTAACAAACACCCTCACAACTATCCAAAATAAAATGACGATCAGTTTGAACAGATTTCAGAAGGATGCTGGTGCTACAGAGAAATGTCACTGTTTACAGTGGGCTCCCTGTAGACTCACATACAGTGGCTGTAAGGTAGCTGTTAACAGCCAACCCCTGCTCATGTTTTGCATGACTGAGACGACTGGGGGATTGTGTTCCTCTCTGCTCACCTCCGCCTCCTCTTGCTCTCGACATCTTTTCTTCATCTGAAAAGTATTATCTTGTTCTAGTCTAAAGGGATAAGAACATATTTTCAGCTATATGCCCTAAAAAAAATTCAAGACTTAGATAAGGGATTGCATACTTAAAGTCTACTTCCTTCATTTCGGAATCTTTAGGAAAGATTTTTTATCGACATTAATACAGAAATGAATATCATAATCAAAATGATGTAGTATGCTCCATTCCTTCTTTATGGTGTGACTACATGTAGAGTTAAGTGATGATCTGTTATGAGATAAATAAAGATTCAAATGTGAAAAGAACTCTTTGTAAGTTTTAAGGGGCAATTCCTGGGGCTGGTCCTTCACTGGAATCATCATGCTTGACGGTACAGACTTAAATGTTGTTCTGTCAATTGATTGAACACAGAGCAATGGAAGAGAAAACCCGAAAAAAAAACCTGCCCCTTAATGAGTTTTATTGGGAGCTAAATGGTCCACAGAGGTACCCTCCCCTGCAAAACAAACAGGCCTGGGTTTCGATTTTGCTCTTCAGCATACACAGCACCAGATGAGACTTCGAGTCTATCTACTGCAGACGTTAGCTTAGTTTGCGTTTCTGCTTGTTTCCAGGTTAGGAAGGAAGAGCTGAAGCACCGTCAGAGGCCTCCTCTGCTACAAAACAAGAGGGCCCAGTAATTAACACCGGTGAAAACACTGTTTAACACAATTCCACATTAAACATTCAGTGTCTCTCCAATGCGCTTCAGTGGGGCTTCCCACTGGGGGCTGTGAGCCAAAGCTGCCACTTAGCCACTTTAGCTCACAGGCTGTCAAAAATCCTTCATCGCGTCAAATGATGTAGGTCTGATGCAAATGATTATGTAGCACACAGCTAGCATGGATGGAAAACACAGAGAAATGTGCGTCTTAGATACATAGATGATACACATATGAACCAATTTAGGAGTGTGGAGTGGCCCCAGTCATGGAGAGAAACAGTCAAAGCTTTGTATTGAATAACCAGATCAGATTCAACTGGTGACATTCTGTGTTGGGAAAAAACCCGTAAAAATTTGTGGCGCTCAAAATTTAAAAAAAGCTTGATTGTTTTTTCCTTGGTCTGTTACTATTGTTGTATGATATGTAACAAAGGGACCTTTAGTTAAATGAGAATTTGAAGGAATTTCACATGAAGGCCTACATGGGATGCCGCAAGAACAATTCAGCAACGGACAATTACACCAAGTAAAACCTACCAATATACTGACATTGTAGAAAAATAAATGAGCAACAATCCTGAGCTCTCTGTCTAAAAAACTACTTCCTAGTATCAAGCACTGACGAGGAATTGAACTGATGATACCCAGGGTGCATCTGCTCGTGATGTAATGCCCTTGATGAAGCCATGCTTGCTGCCTTGTCAACAGGACAGATGCTGCTGCAGCCCACTCATTCAATACTCTCCACTGGAATAGACTGCCAACAACCTGGCTGTCCTTAATAAGAAATGGCATTCAGGAACAGCAGTGTGAGATTCGGTGCCAGAATCAAATGCTGTTCATACAGTTTAAAAGCCAATCACACTATGATTGTTTAATGGCAGAGCCAAATTGCTTGTTTTCTGTTTCTGAAAAACAGACGGCTGACACAGCCTCAACAAAATGTATTCAGCAGCAAAGCCATTTTCATTTGTTTTTCTTCTTAGCATTTGTTTAGCTATGATAGTCCCATAGAGATGGAAAAATCCATCTATGAAAGGAAAGTGACTCAGAGGGCAGCATCATACCCCTCCTGCTCCCTCCCTCCCTCCTTGTACCTGAACCCTGGGATAGCCTACTAGGTGATTATGAAGAGCCAAGACCGTGAAATGCCGCTCTCTTTGTATGTCTGCCTCTCTAATACGATTATCATTTTCATTTAAAACCTTAAACCAGTTAGTTTTGGAGGATTGACTCTTGGCGCTTACCCAGTTAATACTTTTGTTGAGTTTAACACTCTCCATTTTTATAAGTAATCTCCAAAAGGAGAGGCCGGTTCTGAACAAAAGTTGCGGTTGCTTCATTTGCTTCGGGATGAGCATGCAGGCCTTAGACGATACATTTCATGAACTGGGGTTGAACTTGAACTGGGCAGCACGCCACCGTGTGACTTATTGAACATCCGTCACACGGTGAGTCTCAAATGCTGTAAATTTCAGCAAAATGGAATCTAAGATGCTCAGATTTGGGGTCATTTGTCACAACAGATTATAGATTAAACTCAAATGCTTAAAAATAAATGTTCTTTCCACCGGTAACTTCCTTGCCCTTTACCCTACTAGAAAACAACCAGTTTGTGGTTTCTGATGTGGATACCAATCTAAAGCATTTTTACTTAAATTGCTCCTGGTTTAACTTAACTGTCTGAAATTATTCACAAATGATGCATTGATTTCTTCAGCTTCTCAGAAGGCTGCTTTCTTCAACAAATAACTTCAGTAAAGAATAACTTATTATATATTATTTATCAAATGTAATGTGGCCCACTATCTGCTCAGCAGTAATTCTAAGAACTTCTGGATAAAGGTATGACTCGATTAGGAAACAATTTCTTAATCACATCAAGCATGGTTTTCTTGAATATACTGTATGTACTCTTGTATTGGCTCATATGAGCAAAAATACAGATGGTCAAAAACATCTGTGACAGGCCCATTTGGCTCGATAGTATCAGTCAACTTGGGCGGCTGAGGCTCAGTTAGTTGAGTCGGTCGTCTCTCAACTGGAAGGGTGGGGGTTTGATCCCCAGCTCCTGCAGCCACATGTCCTTGTGCAAGACACTTAACCCTAAGTTTCTCCTGCGGATTCTGAATGTAGATAAATGTGTATGAATGGGATTAGTTAATACTGATGGAGACTTTACATAGCAGCCTCTGCCATCAGTTTGTAAATGGCTGTGAATGGGTTTGTGTGACCTGAGCAGTCAGAAGACTAAAAAATGCGCTATAAGTGAATATATATCGGTCAACAGGCAAAGAGCTGGAGCTGAGGCAAGCCTTAAGCCTCCTGACACTAATCAAGCTCTTCAGAAAATCATAACGGGTGAGTTATATAAAAAAATCACCCCTTATATACAGTGTGTACCGACAAAGAATGTAACTAATAATATAAAAATTGTTTTTTTGGACCAGGCTGTAAACCTCTTAGTTTTGGGGTGTTTGGGACTATTGGGCCTTTTGGAGGCAGCCTCAAGTGGACACTTGAGGAACTGCAGTTTTTTTTTTATCACCAGAGGTTGCCGCTTGCTTGGAATGTACCAGAGTCTCCACTCATTTTATTGACAGTTTTTCCATGAACTGCAGTTGAACTTGTGCTGGGCAGTGGGCCAGCGTCTGTGTTCAATAACTCATGTCGTGTTCCTGAAATGCTGTAAATGTCACGTAATCCAAGTATCAGGGATGGAGATATTTGTGACCATTCTTCACCACAGATTATCGACCCAAACTCATGTCAAAAGAACGATTTTGTTCTCTTTTAAATATAAATTTTCTTCTTCTGTACTTTTAATTAAGCTTGAGCAGCGGGTCTCCCTGCAGCTCCAAAGGCGCCTATCAGACTGCAAGATCAGAGTCAGATTGATATCACTACCCTTTTCCTCCTCTAGATGAAGCCCGCCCCTCTAACCAGGCTAAGGCTTAATTAAATGAGCTTGAGGTCAGGGGCTAAGTACATTAATATGATGATTCACTTTTGTTATGATATATGCACATTAACCTGTCTTAACTGCACACCCATATGCTGTCTAATCTCACTAAAGCCTTAATCTGAGGCAATTGCTCCTGGTGTCATCACTAAATGAGGATTATCTCCATCATCAGTAAAAGTGAGGATTTCCTCCTGTAAAGTGACCTGCCATTGCTCAGTCGCCCACCCCCGCCCTGCCCCCCCCCCCCCATGCCTTCCTTCCGTTGACAAGCTCTGTTTAAATACTACTAATGCTGTTACGCAATGGAATTACCCATTTTATATCAAATAAAACCTCAGATTCAAGCAACGGTTTGCAACAATGGTCTGCTTTCATCCGCCTAAACACAAACAACATTGTGTTTCGCTACAATGCCTCCTTGTGTGAAAAAGACTGGCGTTACAGGAGCATGAATTTGGCAACCTGGGGGAAAAAAAGTGCAGATCTCCTGCATTTTAATGACATGGCTCACTCAAAAGAGACCATAATGATTTACTTTATGGATAGCATATGCTGCAATGTAAGCTAAAAATAAATGGAACCACATGAGGGCTGACATTTACCTACAGACGACCCCCACACCAGCCCCCACTTTGTCTCTTATCAGCCACTATTACTGAAACAGATTTTATATTCGCAACACAGTGACACCTGCAAGACCTCAGCCTCTATGGTCATGTGAACTTATGTCCAGGCCAAATGCGTGTTTGTTAAAAACAGATACAAGCATTTTTAGCTGTGTGGTGGAG